TTTGGTGCTCCTGCACTCGCTTTTCACCATGGTTTGTGACGACCATCCAGAATCTAGCTGGTTTTCCTGGACTTTCAGAAGTTTGATGAAAACAAGTTCCTGGCTTCTATAAACACAAATTTCTCTGTATGCATTACATGGATCTACGGTGAACTCTGGATTCCGTTCACTTGAACGTCTCTTTGATCAGATAACAGTTGTCAGAAACCATCTCTTCAGAACAAGCTCTATGTAGTATCTCAAATTTTGCAGCTTTTTGGATTGTCAAATTTTCATTCTCCAAGAGTGAATCTGTGAAAATGCAGGCATATTCATAATCTGAACATTCATTCTGATTAGCTTCTGAGACCAAACAAATCCCTAAAATTAGCATTCGTGCTTTCTGAAAAGAAAGAATGATGGATCAAAGAGTTCACAGAACTTTGTGCTGAGTTGTTCTCAGTGTATGATTCAATCTTCAATAACAGCAAAATTTTAGGAACAGAATTTTGATTTCTTTGTTTTTTGTGAAACATTCAGATCACTGCGATCATAAACAATATTTTCTACAAAAGCTGTTGCCACCATCAAACATCGTCTTGTCAATTTGTGTGGGAGCCTCCTGCGTGGTGGCATTAGTTCCCACGTCTATGAAGTTTCTTCTAGTGACACTACACTACTACATATGTGCGAAAATACCTAAAGTTGTGATAGTCCTTTCCTTTTATAAGTTGGTTCAGCGAAGAAAATTATTGGAACTGTTTTGTTTTTATTGTCATGTTTAATCGCACCTAATGGTATCCCAAATGCTTGTAGCCACTGTTTGATTGTTGTTGCTCTTTTGCCTTGAGGTCCTTCGCGGATCTATGTATGTTTATAGTTCTGTAGAGCTGGTTTCAATTCAGATTCACATCACAGGAAGGACCATACTCTCCTTGTTACTGTAGGATTACGATAGAATCTGTGAAAAAGATATTACTTCGAGGAGTATAATATAAATTTTCTGAAAAAAATTCCAAAAAGCTTAAAACTTCTGCACTGGGCTAATCAGAGGTGCTGACTGTAAATTGTGCAAAAGTTATGCCACCTACACAGTGGCGGCTCTTTTCAATGTTCCAGAAAAGTGACTAAACTGACTACGGATGTCCCAAAAGTTGTATGCACTGCTTGATCGCAAATACCTTTCTTCAAGAAGCCTTTTGCCTACCTTCAAGTACCACTTTGTATAACTGGCTTCACTTTACTTTGTTAGATTGACAGTGTGGAGCAAAACACCGATCCCTCCTCGCTCCTATAGGATAACAGTAGGAACTCGTAGCAAATGGCGCCACTGTGAGATGGGCCTTAAAAAAATTTCCAAAAGAAACAGGGAAATTCTGGAATGAGGTTTTCACGCAAACTTTTGCTTCACTAAACGGCAGTTTACGTGTTTTCAGACCTTCTCGAAAGGTGTGATCAAATTTTTGCGGGACATCGAAAAAACAGTTGTCACGGTATATCTGGCATAACTAATAAAAGAAGTGTTACAGTGAAGTGTGAGTGTGTACACGAAATCAACGACTCTGCCTTATTTAGTGTAGGAGCTTTCAGCTTTTTTGGGTTTCTTTATAAACATAGCTTATAATGTCTAAAGTACCTCTGCAAAGTTGATACCGTAATCCTACAGAAATGAAATCGATCAGCGATTGGCTCCATACTGCAAATTCAAGTTGGAGCCGCTCTACAGAATGGTACCTGAAGTTAAGCAGGAGACTTTATATGAAGAATAATATTAACGATTAAACAGTGTATACCTACTTCTGGGAAACCCTTTATTTGAGTTACAGGTTTGTCACGTTAAGTATTGGGAAAATTATGCGTAAAGATCATATACGCAAGTTCTTATCCTTTGCTCCTTTTGTGAAATGGCAGCTCTTTCACTATGTCCTTTATGCTATAAGTTCGTGCAGTAATCCTACAGTGGTCACGAGCAATCATGTGATTTGTTGCATATCGCAAATCTGAGCCAAAACCACTACACAGTGATTCGCCCACTCACTAAAAATATTGATATAGGAGAATCATTTCTAAACAATGTGTACATATTTGGGTTTTTTATATAATAGCTCCATATCTCCCAATTTCTTAGAAGTGCTAATCTCAACATTAACTCATATAGATATGGAAGCTGTCGTATATAGGACTTTTATGCAATGCATGTAAAGTCGCTCTCCAATATACCTTTTTTGCAGAATCGCTTAATCGCGGAATGGTACTCCTAGCAGTCTCCTACGAACTTGCACACTCCGTGGTTTACATGAAGAGAGCAGTTGTAGAGCACTTCTCACCCACTAATTTGACTCACTTGACTGTACTATCTGCTGTGATGTTACTGATCATGTTCCTCGTACATCAAATGTACTTGCGTCGTTTGCGCTATCCTCCTGGCCCAGTACCACTGCCCATCCTGGGAAATTTTCTCCAGGTATAGTTTTTTCGTTTTTGACGGAGATCGCGTTATTTATACTTTCCCTTGATAAGGAATTCAAAGTAGTGATATGATTTTATTCATTTAAGTGAAACAGCATGGTATTGATTAGATTTTTTCATATATCGTTATCTGATGCAGTTTTTCCGAAGCCTTTTCCTTAAGCTCAGTCTCATTCAAAATGCAGCGACAGGATTAACAATTTTGTGGGCTCTCTAAAACTATTAGGTCGTTTCATGAGTTGGTAGCGTTTTATTTGTCGTCGTTCTTTGAGGAATCGGTTGGTTTACGGCAAAGTACCTTTAGCATCTGGAGGAGTCAGTTTTGTTCAACAACACCTGCTCCTTACTTTTGAAGCAAACCTAATGGCCTTCGTTATTACTTCCCAAAGCAAAGTTTTTTGAGAAGCAAAAATAAGCGATTTTGGCTTCTGCATTTTCGGCTACATATACATATAGGAATCACCAGTAGGAATTTTCCATCCAGAATTGTTATGAGTGATTAGAAACAACTGTTTATAGGACTATGGTGCATATAAAGTGTTGGAACTGCATAGTAGAATAAATGAAAAAGGCCTTTGTTCGAATAATTAGTTTGTTAGAATATTTGGAAAAATGACTTAATTGAATATTCGAATATTCGAGGACTTTCAAAAGACAGTTATTTAGATGTTCGAATATTTGAGAAGTTTCGGAAAACAGTTGTTCAAATTTCGAATATTCGATTATTGCATTTGAATAATCGAGCAATGCATTCGAATTTCCATAGTTAGTCAATCGTTTATTCGAATAGTCGAATATACGATCAAGTCGGTTATTCGAATATTCGAAGTTCGAATTTTGGAATTTGTCCATATTCGATTATTCGAATTCGAATAATAAGAAAATCGGAAATCGAATTATACTCGTTCATTCGAAAAATTTTCGAAATTAAATTTTTCGATAGTCAATTCGATGAAAATTTCCGTTTGTTACAACTATAATATAAAGTAGGCTTCTTGTCAAAAGAGACGCTACAGAGAATGATAAAGCGCTCTTTTAAAATACGCGTAAATGTTTTACATTTGGTGGGATTGAGAAGGCTCTCTATGCTAAAACTTCTTGAGAAAGCGTGAAATGGTTGGTCAGAGCTTATATTTGAACTGCGCCATTCTTATAAAGCCGTTCATCGGTCAAGATCCGACAGCAGACGTTTTGTTGAGAAACATCGCATAGAATTTTAGCGGCAGCCCCTCAGCACTGTCTCGTTTTAGCAGTTCTTAGCATATTGGTGGGACACCACTGTGTAAGCATATCAGCCTAGCTTGCTATTAGCTACTCCGCCTATTTCTGCAGAGAAATTTTTGTGGGATATTGAGCAAATGTGGTAAAGGCAGGTGTCGAAATCACCAATTTTTCCGACCAAAAATATTGATTTAAGTAAAAAATTTAAAAAATAAAAAATAATTAAAACGAAGCCTGCTTCGAAAATAAGTAGTGGGCCTAGAGAGGCAGGACAGGATCTTTCGAATACTACAAATAGTAGGTTGAAAAGAAAAAATGTAGCTTCTTTCATCCATTTTTCAGCTAAATTTGATATTTCTCAGGAACTGCATCTACAAGGCCGAAATTTTGGGTCGAAGTTTCGAAGATTTGTAGATACAAATATATATATATATGGGACGAATCCAGTACTACTAGGGGCGGAGTACGCCATTTTTTATTTTTGAATTTTTCTGGATGGAAAATAATATACTATGGGTACAGATAAGTGCATATGTCTGTTACATGCAGGAGCAAGCGGGAGATTGGTAGGGACTTTTGGGGCGAGAATTCGATTTTTGGCACTATAAGTTGCTCTTTTGCTTCGGCTTGCAATTTTGCACAAATCACGGCTCACAGCTCTATATTCAAAGGTTATATTGTAAAGCTCACTTTGCTATATCGAATGGCACCCTCCCATATTTTTTGGACTCGTCTTGTTGTTTTGCTATCAAAAGAAACGAGATCCTTTTCTTTTCAACCTAATACTTCTCCGTGAACCGACCGCCTCATCAGAAAAGAAAACAAAAATAAAAACCTTACGAACTTATGAAGCGGCGTAATACAATGACGATGATCTGAGAAATAGCAGTCACTTCTTTCACGAGATTCAGATAATGTGCTTCGTCTTTGTGTGACTGTTATACTTGTTTCTCACAAATCACTTTCCTGCTGAACAAGTCCTCAATTTTTTTTTTGAAAAAAGAGTACAGCACACCCTTAGGCCTAAGGCATACCTCAAGCGATATCAGTCGCTGTGCGATTTGATGCCGGAACGACTGTTCATAATTGGTCGTCAGAGCGCTTTGTTGAGGCAGTACTTGATCGTTTTGCAATAAATTACAAAAGCTACGCGCCCATGTATTGGAGGGTTGCGCACGATAAATTTGGAGACATATGGCAAACTGCCATGTCGCGTGAATGTCGCGATTTAGCCGAATAGCGCGAGGTATGCCTTAGGCCTGAGAGTATATATTCGCGTTGACTGAGCAATAAAAACTTTTAAGCTAGATACTGAAAGCCCTCATAAAACTATGCTACGATGGAGGAAAAAATATGGACCAGTGTTCACAATATGGATTCCAGGTCAGATTGGCTTGAAGTAAATATAGCAGTCTTCACAGGACTGCGTTTCAGGTCCCGTGATCGTCATTGCCGACTACGAAAACCTCAAAGAAGCTCTTCTAAAAAACGGTTTGTTTACTAAACACAAATTACTTGAAAGTCTAGTGCACCCGAAAACTGGCTTTTTGCAACATAAATGCTAAAACGATTTTCTCTCCCACCAGTGATAACTTAGATACCTAGTTTGAAGACGCGATAAATGCTAATGATAGTAACACTTTTTTTAGCAAGATGCTTTTCTGGACGTCCACATAATCCTATGTGGAGCGTGTTCTATGGTGATGACCAAAGTGAAGGTGACGGAATCATTTTGTCTGAGGGTGAACGTTGGCACCACAACCGCGAACTGGCACGCACAATATTCAAGTCAGCATAATGTGCATAGGCTGCTCCAAATGGGATCGCTGAGCTTGCGTGATGATGCTGCGCGCGTGCACCGCAAGCGGACGAAGACGTACGTTGCGTTGGTGCAAGCAAAGTGCGTTCTTCATGTGACAACCCAGCGTGATTATCGACATTGCGTGTAGTAAATTATACAGTAGAGCGATACAAGCTCTACAAGACAGATAACAGATTCCTCAGAAATTGATCTAACTCGAGTTAGCAGCAAAAAACACCAGTAATTGGGTCTTAGACAGAAAATGGTCATCATTTAGTAGACACAAACTAAAATACATAATTAGATTTGCTAAATTTTCGAGGGCAGAAGTCAGGAAACAAAAGTCGGCTAGAAATGTAAAAGCGTCGCCTTTTTCGGTATTTTGTACTAAATGAACATTTTTCGATAACAGGGCACACAATGAATAAGACTTTCATGGTTTAACTTTCAACGGTTTGTAGAAAACAATTATACAGAGTGTCCCAAAAAAATATGCACACTGTTTGATTGTAAATAACTCTCCTGTAATGAAGTGTTTCGGGAAGCTTTAGGCACCATTTTGTAGAGCGAGGTTCAACTTAGATTTACAGTGTAGAGCGGATCGCCGATCTCTCATTGCAATAGCGGCCATTTTTTCAATGTTTCTAAAAAGTGCGGTTACACCGTTTAGAAAGCTTCGTAACCTTGTAAAGAGTTGGGTATTGAACTCAGCGTCCATGAAAACCCTATTACACAATTTTCCACATTTTTTTGTAATTTTTTGAAAGGGCCGCTTTTTTCACAGTGACACCATATGTTTGAAGTTTCTACCGTAATCCTACAATAAGAATGAGCGATCGGCGATTCGCGCTACACTGTAAATCTAAGTTGAACCTCGCTCTACAAAACGGTACCTAAAGCTTCTCGAAACACTTCATTACAAGAGAGTTATATACAAGCAAAGAGTGTGCACATTTTTTGGGACACCCTGCATATGTGAAACGAACGCTCGTTCTGGTAGTTAAACAGTAAAGAAAAGAGCAAAATCTATCGGATGGTGCCCCTTTGCATTTCACACTGCAGCTGTAGCAAAAGAAACGCTCAGTACTTTTGCACCAACTTGATAATTAAAAAAGCTGCAAGAAGTTGGCATTAAAACAACGTACATGCTGCAAGCCATTGAAGCATCAAAATTGATGAAGTCCTCGATCGCTCATCTAATTATCGAAAATGCATGAAGAAGACAACAACGTCTTTAGCAGACCAAAATCTACGAATAAAACCGTATAGAAGAAGAAGCATTCTATGAAGGATAGCAGAAGGCAATGAGTAATGAAGACATTGTTTTGACTGCAGTTTCTTTCGCGCTCGAAGGCACATTTCTCCGCGAAGCCGTGCACGCGCAGTATGATCATGCGGGTTCCACTAGCGTTCTCCATTTGAAACAGCATATATATATATATATTCGCTTGCTGCTCGGGATTTATCCATAAAAGTCTTTAGAACTTTCAAGCTGAGCGGTGAACAACTAGAGGCTAGAGTCAGAGCTCATGTAGACTATCTGGAACATCATGTAGCAGCAGAAATAGGCAACAAAGAGGTAAATTCGCACGGTTTTTTTTTTGTAACAGAAGGATAGCATCAGTTCGTTTCGTTGCAGACTGCACAAATGGATATGCATATCCCTATCGCCTACTGTGTTGGAAATATCATTCAAGATTTAGTGCTTGGAAAGTCGTATCCATACGGAGATCCAGAATTTGATGGGTTGAAGCGTCTCATCGACTCGACACTTCACGATGTAATACCTTTCCGTCACTGAAAAATAAGAGTGAAACCCAATATAGGTTTTTCTGTGGAGATTACAAAATAACTGCAAATCATGATCTTCTTTCTCTGGCTATGAGAGATAGGGAAATATGCCTGAGTTCACCTTCAAAAAAGCTGGTAAAATAAGGAGGACTGATGCATGCCAGATAAAGTTAGAACAATATCAAACCTAGCGTGCAGTATTTACCCTCACTTGGTCATATTGAAGTTTTGAACTATAATAATAATAATGGGGGGGGGGGGGAGAGAAGGGAGGTGAAGGTCGGATGGATCTGAAGAGGATAATTGGTTTACCTCAACTGGGCGTTGTTCGCTTTTATGACCTCTATTCGGTATGGGCTTATTTTCGCGTGAAAATCCTTACGCTAGACAGTCAAACAACCATTGGGTAGCTGTACGTTTGGTACGTTTTCTATAAGCAAGAATTGATATCTCTGGTATTTCGTGTGGTCCTAGCGATATCCAGAAAGACTGTATTATTATCAAAGTATGTTAGGAAATTCTGTCTCTACCTTAGCGAGACGAACACACCACTAGCAATTGGGAACTTCAAGAAACCCACCAACAAGAAGAATACTCTGGGTACATTTTAATAATTACCATATCTTAGCTTCGGTGTTCCAACGGCTAATGCAGAGTGAAATCAAGTTAAGATGGCCCCAACCGGCACTATGAAGGATCGAGAAACTACTCGGTCGGCAAGATTATCATAACCGCTAAAGTCTACTGCCAAGGCAATACACGTCTGAGCAGCGAAAGCGCAGTCGCGCAGTATTGTAGCAGGAATGCACGTGAAAGCAGCTGCACTGATAAAATTTCGAATAAAGTTCTTCTGTGCTCCTTTCCATCTCCTGAAGGATACTTCTCCAATAACAGCATGCTGATGCCAGCATTTTTCGTACAAAACTTCGGTTTGAAACATCGGAAAAATCTCTTTCTATTGCGCTGGTATGGGTGTGCATGGCTCTCTGCTCCAGTCATATTTGAATCATATTTGAAAAATTAGCATTGCGCTTTTTCAGTTACTTTGAGGCTTATTCAAAGACATTTGGAATGTTGAATGAATTGTCAAGTTTTGAACAGGAAGCTTGTGGAAGTAAAAACCAAAAAATGGGATCGGGGAACGGGAAACAACAATTTATACAAGAACATCTTGGACAGCTGTCCTATGTGAGTCACTGTAAGACTGCCCACGCATAACTTCTCGCAAGAGTTTCTCCTAGATGTGTACTGTTTTCGTTGAGGTGTAGGTTGTGACTGGCTTGATGGGGTACGGTATACCCAGAGTACGGTCGCTACACGAAACAATGCTCTAGCAGTGGCCGGTGGAGATAGCGCATTGCAAAGAGTTTTCAGTGCCTTACAAAATGAATCAGTATGCCGCACTTGTGCCATCTTCAGGAGAAGTTCTCTCGATTCCGACTATTTGCAGCAACAGCGACTTGATGGGGGGGGTTTTTTTTTAGTAAAACAGGGCCATTTCCTTATTTTGCCTAGACACCGCTTATATGCGATCAAAATCGGCTCCACCAAAAGAAACGATGATCGAGCATGGGGGGAACGGACTAATTTTCAATTTCAATTTCAATTTGCCTCAATTTTAGGCACCGCCTCCGTAAACGGACTGCTGGTCCTTTCGCTCTACCGTCGTACATCTGTCAGAACCAGTAGTCCGCGGAGGCGGTGCCTAATTGAGGTGTTCGTTCCTCTACCCATCAAGGCATCCATTAGTGATGCTTTGTCCAAGTCTAATCGGGACCCACTTGCTAAGTATAAACCGATCAATGTTCATGGGGTTCACGTATTATATGATTTTCTGCAGGCAGGATCAATTTCCGTCCTTCTGGCAAACCAATTTCCTTGGTTAGCTACTGTACTGCCAGTGGTCAGAAGATATCTTACGAATGGTTTTCTTCTCAGAAATAGGTACTTTCTATGACTACAATTTGTCATACTATCGTTGTGCTTAGATTCATGCAACTAATTGATGAGCACGAGGAAGCGCTATCGATGGATGGAGAGGCAAAAGACTTTATGGAGGCTTATCTTCGCGAAGTTCGACGAAATCCAGGCCACGAGCACATACGGTATGCACTCGCATCCTTGCTGAATAATACAAAACATCCGGCAAAAGTCTGGAAGCCTGGCTGCTCTGCCATAATTCAAAAAGGCCCTAGTTTTGATGTGGAAATTTGCACCAAATGAGATCAACAAATTGTATTGGAGTGCGAAATACAATTTCTTTTTTTTTCAAATTCTCCTTACTTGGATACCCAAACATTCTAGAGCAATGTATATTGACAATGTAGAATATCTGCCCTAATTATCGCAGTAGTTGCTTTTGCAATTTAGTGATGACAAACAAATTGCGAATGTCATCTGCTTCCAGTGGCCGTTCTGTCTTCAAGAATTGATAGCTATAATAATGTAGCACCCACTAAGATTGAGGCTATGCTCGAAGAGCCTTCTAGGAATCCAGTTAGGGTTGATGAAACAGATTCAACTTTGAAGTCAATTTCTCAGTTTTCGATGGCACAAGTTTCCAGTGTGCAGTATCTTTGGCTAGCATTCGTTCAAGCCAGGATTTTGTCTCAATATAACTTCCACTCTAATTTTTCAAATCTTTAGGTTTTAGACTTCTGACGCGCTTTGTTGTCACATTAGTGCAAGAAACTTTAACCGGTTAGGAAAATCTGGCGCAAGAATTGCGTCTAACCTTGTTAAGTCATATTTATCCTTTCAGTCGTCGTTCGCTTTGTTTTGTAGCCGCTGATTTGTGGACAGGTGGTATGGAGACGACGGTCACTACAATGCGATGGGCAATTATGTACATGATTTATAATCCGTCCGTGCAGCGACATTGTCAAAATGAAATTGATAAGGTAATGTGAGTTCCAAGAATGACGTGAAGATGTCGATGAAAATCTATTTGGTTGTGGTCTACCAAGGCTTGTGATTATCGAAACGCATACGGGAACGCATTCGACATTCCGAAGCAAGTTTCCAAGTGACCACCAAAAAAGTACCCAGATTGTTGATCCACGTAAAGTTTAAAGCTGATTTGTAGGCATTTGTTCAGTCCGATAATCGGATCTTCGCCCACAGGAACGGTACGAACTTTCCACTAGGTCGTCACATAGTAACTCACAGTAATGGTCATTTCGTAATTTTTCCCCGCTTAGGAGTTATGTAAGTAAATGAAAATCTATGACCTAAACTTGGCAAAAATATTAGTTTCCTCCCAACTTAAGTGCTGTATACTACATCTTTGAGGTATGACCAGAAAAATTACAGCTTCTTATACGTTTCAGTTTTCGAGAAAAATCAATTTTACCATAAAAAATCTGAGAGAATCATTTTTGCATTTTTTTACTATTTCTATCTCTGTTTTAGGCAGCGAAAAAATGCAGCAAGGGTATTGAATACACACTAGTTGTACTGTATATTGTCAAAGTAGGAGGCTCACTGCCTCTATCGGTGAGAATCTTCAGCAGTGATTGAGTCATTCGACTTTTGGCCTTACAAATGGTAGATAGATTTGCTCCAAACTTGACGTGATCACAATTTGAGGTAGTTCCTCAATGATCAATTCTTAGAGCTCGCTTTGCTCTATCGAATGGTGTCCCATGTGCATTTTCCTTTATTTGAAACCTTGGTAGCATGAGTTACGGACTAGTGATCAGCAGATAGAAATTTAATTCAGTCAGAAAGAAATCTTTTCGATGATTATGTATTTGCAAAAGCAGTTCAGATTTTTGGACCCGAACCAGCTGTTTATGCGCGAAAATACGAAACGCCCTATATTCTGGCAACATTATCTGAAGTGCAGCGTATAAGCAACGTCTTGCCATGGGCAATTCCGCACAGGTGAGGAATTCGGAAAAGCAAGAGCATTGAACAAAGGATTCACATCAGGACTATGAGTGATGTATACGTCGATGGTTACTTTATTTCCAAAGGAACTGAGATAATGCCGCAATACGGTTGCTTGCTCCATGATCCGAATATTTTTCCCAATCCAGAGCAGTTTCTTCCCGATAGGTAAGTCAAGGGAGTAAGTTAGGGATGAAATTTGCCCTTAGTTTCAGATTCCTTGACGTAGACGGACTGTATCGCCCTCGAATAGAAATGAGGCCGTTTGGAATGGGTGCAAGGGTCTGTTTGGGAGAATTTCTAGCACGATGTGAGCTGTACCTGATTTTCACTACACTACTGCAGAACTTCACATTTACAGCAGTAGGTAAGCAAAACAGTTTCAAATTATGAAGATTTCTGCCTTTCCTCCTTCCTCCGGTTTCAAAACTCGCAAAAGCTGAGTAAATAGAGACTGCTTGGAAAATTTTATGATAAAACAATTGTGATCCATTCAGAAGGTGTACAATTACCGAGTCTAGTCAGAAACGAAGGTATGACGGCTGTTCCACAGAACTACATCGTATGTGTACGTCCAAGAGAAAGGAATTACTAACAAACGGTCCGGATATAACAGGAGGCGCATATGTAGAGTTTACGCATATCCTGTACGCTTTAACTCAACTGAACATCTTTGATACTATATAAATCTATTTCATCACATTGTAGAACAGGACAATCACGCTACTCAAAATATACAAATACTCCTATTATAAATGTGATGACAGTAGTGAAAGTGAGACGAATGATATAGAAGACATTACAGTATCACATCAAAACAAAGTTTACAGCTCAAATTTCAACAGAAACTAAAAATGTAGATACTCGCTGAATTCTGTACATATTCAAGAATGAAGTGATTTTTTTACACTACATCCGTTACACAAAGCGCATTCAACAAACCAGGTTCATAATACTAAACTCAAAGATCACAGATGGCCCACCTTGAGCTTCCATGTACCCTATTATTTATTGTAACGATATAGTGAATATGTTATTAGACGTAAGGGACGGAATATGACGCAGAACGTGGTTAAAAATCTTTTGTAAGATAATGCCTCAGAACTAAGAAAGCAAGTTGCTGCTCAGGTATCATTATGGTCTTCTTCATGTTCGACAATGCACTGCTTGATTTTTAAACGCATCGGTTTCTTCTTTTTGCGATCCTGAATATGCCATGCTTTGATACTGGAACAATAGAGCAAGAACATACCTGAATCTCAACAATCGTATCAGAGATATTTATAACGACACGAACTTTGCTTTTCGTCACTTCATCGTCTTGAACAAAAGCTGACCAATGTGAAAGAATCTCGTCATCTATTTGAGCAGTTATACCATTTAGATCAATCTGTAAATTCGACAGTCAACAAGCACAAACACTCTTTGCTAGCCTTCTGATGGACATAACCTTATGATAACTTTGGGATATCAAGAGATTAGATACTATGATGCTTTTTTGTGCCAAAAAAGAGCAACTTAGAGCATACCTGCACACGAGTTGTCGGTGTTTGCGCAGGCGAAGATACAGTAAACATAACCTAAATAAACGATCTTAGTAGCTCTTCTCTTCAGCTACAATTTATACCTCCGGATCAGATGCACGCTTGTTCTCCATGCTTATGCCTTTTTTACGGAAATCTTCATAAGCCTCGTATCTAGCTACATTCAATTTTTGTGACGCCAAGACCCCAAAATAGAAAAGCATAAAATATCGACAAAAACAAAAGTGACTGACTTGTCAACTTTTCCCAGCACTAATGTGTTCTTGTTGTGAACATTGAGTATTACGATTACCGTCACCAAATCTACTATGAGAATATTCCCCTGTAAATAATTTTTTGGTGCATGCCTATGAAACCAAACTTGTGCATCTTACTTGTCTAGCCATCAAAACCTTGTATATTCGATCATTAATGATAGCATCATCAATGGCCGCCGCGTCCTCTGCTATATCTGAGACTGGAGTAGATAGAACGCCAGAATTTTCACTATGAAAGCAAACATACCCGCCAAGTCCAGATCATCCTCTTCTGGGACGATGTCCATCTCAAAATTCTCGTCTTCAGTTGATGTGGTGATCGATGTGGAATCGTCAATGAAAGAGGAAGCATCTATAAAAAGAAGTGGTATCTACGAAGACAGCAACCTTATGAAGGATGCCAGAGACATTTGTAGTCCAATCATTACGGATATTAGTAGGTTATTCATTAGGTTGATGCATAATTCCTGCACGAAAAAGTAGAAAAAAGTGTTTAAAAATGCACAGACAAACTAATCAATTCCAGAATATGCTTATTGTTATGTATATCAAAATTGGTATTTTATAGCACATTTTAGAAAATCAATATGCAGAATCAGTAGGTCAATTTAAAAAAATCGAAATTCGTAACTATTCACAGACATCCAATCACTACCAATTTCTCTTAGTTGAAAAGAGTATGTTATAAAACTAAGACTGAAATTGAATTTTAGTAGACGTTTTAGCAATTTTAGTGACAAAAAATCGAAAAATCACTTTTTGGGTAATTCTCTAAATCACCTTATATCGTTAATGTATGCCCTCAAGGAATTTTGAATCAAGCAGTTTAAGAAAACGCAAGATTTTTTCTTTCTATTATGCATCAAAGAAGAAGACTTCATCGGAGCTGGGTGAAGTAGTAGAATTTTAAAAATTTTGGTGCAGGAATTATGCCTCAATCTAATAATACGACTTTAATCCACTAATTGCACTAGCCATCGATTTGATTCTCCCAAATAAATTCTGGTGAACTGCAAACACTAGCAGCTCATATGTTTTTACAGAACTGAGGTAGAACTGAGGAAGAACTGAGGTTAAATTATTGCAGAATTTGGTCCCGACGACGCCTCCATCCCGAAGCGGATCATGTGTATTCAAGAAACAAATTATAAGATGAAAAATCTAGCCCTCACCGTAATCCGGCGCAGCCTTGAATTCTGGAAAAGACTCGACCACCCGCGTTGGAGTCGGCTTTGGCGGTTCAACTGGAGGAGGCGCTGGTGTGCTTCGTGGAGTGTTATTGCGACTCGGTCCTGATGGAGCTAAATTCCACGTATTTTGCAATGGAAAAAAATCGGTCAGCCGCCTACAGTAAAAACTTGGTGATTCCTCAATCTGCAAAAGTTCACGATGAGTTTTTGTTTTCAAAGATAACCTTTACACCGAAACAAACAAAGATTCCATACACTAGAACTAGACATTGCAGTCCACTTTTTCAACATGTCTACGTAATGATCGTCGTCGGAAAAACATATGACATCACAGTGTCAAAAAGGCGCATCTCACGTACGAGGGATTTGGCTTATTCCGCAAAAGTACAGTCGTTGTCAATGCAGCGTCTGCGATAAGAGTCAAAATCGAAAAGAAAAACTCTTGAGCGCAACCGGATCATTGTGATTCATAGTGAAGTGGGAACAAGAGTGTGACTAAGGAAAATTCGCCGAACAACAATGAAGAATCTATACTCTCGAGGCCGCGAAGCTGACTTTTTCAAATCCATTTCATCTATGCAGTGCTCTATTGTTCTAACTAGAAATCTCAGGATAAAGAAGCGATTCATTCAACGTCGGAAATGCTGAAGAGCATCATAATAGCAGCTAAAAAAAGCAGAAACAAGACAAATAATGCTGCTTTCATTCATTTACACATGTTTAGAGATGATGAAACTTAATTCGAAGAGACTCAGCTATAGCATCCAAATCCACTTGTACAAAACTTTTTTTCAAATTCAAACTTGGTAACTTGAGTATATGGAAGCAAAGCTATGCTTGGGCTCAAGATCAATGTGTCACTGTGATTCTGGTCCAGAAATGAACCAAACCGCAGATTTCAGTGTTATCACTTGTGAAAAGACGAAAGCCTCGAGTCTACAATGATCGCTGCGTACCTGCGGTCCAGAATGCATCGCAAAGTAACCTCAGTCGTCATCCACTTCTAAATACCAACTGGACAAAGCTTTTGGGACCTAGCTCCATGTCAAGAACCGAGACCCAAAGTCCTTCAGTAAATCGCTAAGCGCTTTGAAATCAGGACAACAAGCATGAGAAGATGGATTTTCGTCAATAACCTATAACAAACCAAACACCTCAAAATTGTTTACAAGGACGGATGGACTTTACGCATGATGACATCTCGACAGTTCTTGCATGAAAAACGGAAAAAGATCTTACTCAGTCTACAACGTGCATCACTGTAGGGTAAACTACACAACATATTACTTGCATGACTTGGACATAAAAACATTCAGTAAAAAAGATGCGCAAAGAGTTCAGTAAAGTACGAACGAGTTCCAAGCTGTCCGCAATCCAGTTTTGAGCTAGTCACGCTATACTCATCACTTCACTAGAACTAGCTGAATACAGTACACTATAAAATGTGGCGGATAGAAGCAAAAAAATTCTCAGAGTTGCGCCAGACTAGGTTCAGCTCAATATGGAGACGTAGCCAGAAGACAAGAGTGAGAGGACTCAAATTAGAGGTAAACCGTAGCTCAAACTGATTTGTGTCAAAGAATATAGAACGAGACTTCACTATTTTCAAACTCAACGCCTTTTGACGATAAACTAAGCTTGAAATAGGACGAAGGGGATAAGATAACCACAGAGAGTATGTATAGACAGATTTTGAGTGCCTAAAGCTACAAGCGAGTCTCTCCTCTGTTCGCATTGTTAATAATTAAATTCTAATAAAACTTGGTGCAGAAAAAAAGCAGTTTTGCTTTAGCAACTCTCATAAGTGGAGGTGTTATCCAATCTGCCCAGAAGAGTTCTCTCACACAGTCTAGAAAAAGACACATGAGAATCGCTTCTTTAAGCCAAAGAACTGGGCAACTTATAAGCAAACTTTCTCTAATTACGTAACATAACACGGTGGTTCATATACGTCTAGTTAGGATTTCAATGGGCGATTAGGTCGCGACGCGGAGGGAGCGCAGACATCGTTGGTGACCTGGTTCGTAGCCATTCGCCGCCAGTCGCTCGACCACACGCTCGGCCGTCATGCGCCTTCCGATCCTCACCCTCATCTGTTCGCTTGTACTCGTTAGCTCATGCCCTCAATCGGTGACGAACCTGTGCAAGTGCGAAGACCTGCACAATGGCGTGTCGCTCGACTGCTCTCACTCGAACGGTGCCGAGGTGGTGCAACTGCTCCGAGACAACCAAGCCCTGCTTGGTCTCGTGCAGGGCCTCACCATGCACAATGCGAATCTGCGCTCTATTCCTCCCAGGTTCCTAGCCGGACTCTACATAAAACGACTTGATCTCTCGTTCAATCAAATGGTTGAAATTGATGCCAATGCATTCGCTGGAATGAGCCCTGTAGTGCAGGAGCTGATATTGACACATAACAACCTCACGAAGGTACGGATTTGAGAAACTGAGTTGGAATTCCTCAACTAATTTATTCAGATACCCGTAGCCGCAATTGCAACCCTCGGTACGATACTTCGCGTGGATCTTTCAAATAACTCGATAGCAGACATCGCAGATAGCGATGCGATTCCCTCCTTACCAAAGGTCAGTCATAATCGCTCTACAGCCCTCATCAAGGCATTGAAGAGCAGCAATTCTCCAGCGGAAAGACCACTGAGTTCTTTTCAGTTGTATGACATCAACCTTGGATCCAATAAGATTTGCTCAATCCACTCGTCAGCATTTCGAAATGTAAAGGACTCCATACAAATAATTAATCTCGGCCATAACTGCCTCAACTCCGTCCCCTCCTCTTGTAAGTTTGCGCAGGTTATATCAGATTCGGACTTTACCGATTTGCGCGCGAACAAACATCCACGACCCGGAACGCACAGTCGAAACCACCGTTGCATGAAACGCATGACAATAGCAAAGCACCGAAGGAGCACTTGCACGAAACCCTGACTAATCACGCTTTTTCAGCGATTCGCGGACTCAAGCAGCTGCAGGCTCTACACATGCAGAAGAACAATATAACCGCTTTGGAGGCGCTCAATTTTTTGAATCTGCCCGTGCTGAATCTGCTCAATCTGGCCGGCAACAAGATCTCAGAGGTCAACAGACAGGCGTTCTTGAACGTTCCACAGCTGAAATATCTATATTTGACGAACAACAAGATCTCAAAGCTTACTGCTCATCAGTTCGCTTCTTTCGATCAGATAGAGATGATCGATCTGACAGGAAACGAAATTACTGACATTCCTAGCGAGTGCATGGCACAGCTACCCCAGCTTAGGCAACTATTCCTTGGAGGAAACCGTATTGAAACTATTGGCAAAAATGCATTTGCCAACAGTTCTATTGTGATACTGAGTCTGGTCAATAATCAGCTGAAGGAAATCACCGAGGGAATGCTGGATGGCATGACAAACTTACAAAGCGTCGTCTTCAAAGGCAACAAGGTAAGCAAGCTTAAATCATTAGATGCTTAGTGTTAGTGCTTGCTGTTTGATAACGGTCATATCGCTGGGCAGGATCAAGCAGCTCTGATTAACAGGTGCTTAATGCTTACTATCTAGCAACGGTGTTATTATCGCTGGATGAATTTCCCATACAAATTGTAAAATTTTGCCCTTATTTGAGTGAAACATGCATCTAAGTTATGGGTCTTGTCAACATTTGGGATATTTTGAATCGTTCACCTGTGAAACACTACAATTCACTTCTCGACCGATAATCGCCGCATTCAAAGTGCAGTAGAAGAGAAATGTCGCGAAAATCAATGAATTTTCGAATAAAAACGAACGTTTCACAAGTAGGTCAAGCATCTTTCTTCACTAATGCAGTAACTTTCTTACTACCACCCATATCTATGGTCAATAAAAGATGCTGACGAGAACGCCGGTAAATAAAGCAAGTACTACTCAAAGCAGGAAAGTATGCGTTCTCAGAATTTCGAAGTAAATGAGAAAGATGTACAAGTTATGAATGCTGCGCAAGAAAGGGGATACAAAAATTCAAATTCCATTGGGTTAACACTTAAATCTAGCAAAAAAATTTAAAAAGACTTTTTATAATCATTTCAAAAGTGCTCAAGGAATCCTTTCGAAGAAAATCATTTGATTTTAACGTAAATCATCAAAATTATCTTATCATACGTGCCCCAAAATTATGTATACACTATTTGATCCTTGATGTCTCTCTTCAAAAGAAGTCTTTTGTCCATATTCGGGCGCCATTTTGTAGAGCTGCTGCTTAGTTTTTGAGATATACCTTCTTGAAGTTTCTACTGTAATCCTCAGAATGAAGACTGATCGGTGAATCGCTCCATACTATAAAGTACCTGAAAGTCAACACAAGACTTCTTGGGAAGACAGATATTGACGATCAAACAATGTATACACACTTTTGGGACACCTTGTAGACATTATTTACGACCTGCAAAAAGCTGATTTTAGAAATTACAAAAATCATAAATTCTCGTAGAAACGTCCGATCTGCTCAAAATCCAGACAGCTTTTCAAGTGCTTTTATTTATCAGCTTGTATCATAGCGATACCGCAATGGCGATAATATATTTTGCATCAACTTTGCTTTCAATCATGTAACATCCAAGTATTTCTGCAACAAATTTCTTCGCTCCAATTTTCGCTTTTCTTCCACAGCAATTGATTCAAAAAGGTTGACCAAGTGGTTTTATACACGCGGCGATGCTCCTCGGTAAGAGTTATTGGGGCACGATGGTTACGAAACACGTGCTGACCCATTTCGAATCGCTCTGTTTCAGATCAGCTCCGTGCATCAAAACGCGTTCTACAATGCACCTTCGATAGTGATGATCGACTTGAGTGATAATCAACTGTTTGATTTACCGCCATCCACGTTCATCGCTCAACTTAACTTGCAAATGATCGATCTGCGCAACAACAAGATTATCCGAACACCGTATGCAGCATTCAATCGTCGAATAGGAACGGTATTTTTACAAGGTACGATGCAAAGTCATTTTTCCCGTAGTTATCCATCCATTATTTTTTTTAGAAAATCCTTTGGTATGCACCGAAAAGGTACACATGCTGCAAGATGGAGTAGCTGTCTTCATCGCTACAAGTGAAGACCTAGTCTGCGGAGCAAAGACAACCACCACTACCACCACAGCTGCACCAGTGATGGTAAGAGAATTTATTCTCGAGAGACCGTTTTAGCGATGTTGTGAATAGGTTCACACTCAGCTGATTCAATTGTTAAATATGCGGTTGCACTTCTTACTGGGTCATCGCTCTTTTCTACCCAAATTTGACTGATAGTCGCGATGGAATTCTAGGTGCGTGGCTAATACAAGCCGACCTTGACCTGCTAGCTTGTCAGCGCCGTTATTAGGCGACCTTTCGCAAGCTATCGAGGCTAACGGTTTATCTTAAGACAGCCATCTAACGGGGCGCGATTTCTTTGACGTGGAAGCGAGAGGATACAAAAACAAGTGATAGGGCACATTCAAAATCCTATAAAAGACATCTATATGCACCAATTTCTTTATGTATATACGTACCTAAAAATTCTGTCTTAGATGCAAAAGCTATCACCTCGTCGACCTCAAAGTACAGCTGAAGTGAAGAAACCAGCAGGGGCATTCCAACAGGCCGGACTGATTCAGGAAGAAGCAGAAGAGGAAGAAGAAGAAGAGAAACAAGTAAATAATAAAATCTCATCAAAAATTTACGAAATGTCACATAAAATTGTTGTGTTTAGGAACCCATACCAATACGACCTGTTTCTCAGAATAGATCAACAGCTTCACCTAGAGCAAAACAGATTTCCAGGTTGTGGCATATATAGCATCGATTATATCTAAAGATGAAGCATTTAGAAATGGTGGGCTTCATCAGTCAGATATCTCGCGTATAGCTCTTCCGAAAGAAGTTGATGAGGAGCTCAAGCGGAAGCTGGGAAGCATAGAGATTGAAGAGCTGCTTACGACTGAATCACCAGACCTCGACATGGATGGAGCTGAGAGCATGGAAACGGTAAGCATTAGTAGCGATATTCTATTCATTAGGCTGATCCTAAATCCAGGAGATGAATACATCGGTGGCACCTACAACATTAGGAAGGCGGGTGTACACTGACATTGCTGATAACCCCAATATCATCCATCCTTTCCCAGTACCGTTCCTCAAAAAACAATCGGTTGTTCACCAGGTAAACATGAATTATCTTCTCAGGATAAGTAAACGCATCAAAACGCATCAAAATACTCAGGCTTCACGAGTAAAAGAGTCTCCGATTGAAGCAACTTCGCCACCAACTGCTGAAAAGCACACATTGCCACCTTCAATTGTACTAGCACCGATAAGGTAAATCAGTAGTGTTGAAATATCCGATTCCAATCTTGCTACATATATTCTAGAGCGGCTTCTTCCGAAAAAGATCAAACTATAGCAGATGACGGAGAGCGATTCGAGCAATTTGCACTACATTCCCATCCGACTACGCAAAGCAAAGAGGTAAAGCTTGCTCAGTAATATGGTATGCGTGGTATAGTCATGGCATTTTGGCGACTGACAACGCTTCTGCTCTATAGATTTCAGAAACTGTGACACTGCTCAGTGAAAAGGTATCAAATAGCTTTGTTTCTAAGATCTCCCCACCCTTTTTGGTGCACTAATAGTTACTATCTCTAAAGCGGCTCATATTCCTGATCGAATTAACCCAAATTCGCTCGAAACTCCGACTACGCCTACGACTTTCCATGGATAGTTGAACAGAAAGTAAATTTTCCAAATAAAAGCAAATCTTTCAGGAAAAAGCACCAGTTCCAGCTCCAGCTAGCCGGCTTGCTTCTCCTACATTTATTATTGTACTGTGCCTGACTGTAGTTGCCGTTGTCATGGTATCTGTCATAGTTGGTCTTTGCACGATTAGGCACAGGTGAGTATGGAGTTCAATATGACAAAATATGATTTGCTCCTCTTCAACCTATTTACAGGCAAATCGGACGGCTCACTTCCAACTATTCGGAAAGTAGTGCAGCACGGACAAATGCGTACGTTTCAGCTCAAGCAGCGCAAATGAATGTCATTTATGGGACTATGGAACGAGATAGGTTGGAACTTTTTGCGCTTATAACTTCAGCAGCTTTTCCCTGCAACGATTGTACATAAGATTATGTGAAAACAAATGATTTGATCAATTCTAGAACTGCATTGAAATAATCTTATTTAGGAACATTTGCTTATCACGGCCTGACGATGTGCAACCTTGGCTATATAATCCTGGACATAATTACTGCAACTACTATAAATGAAGAGATATTATAAAGAGCAACAACTCCACGTCTATGATCTGATAGCTCATCTCAGAACATTCCAAAATGTTACGGTTCCAGTGTTGTATAAAGTATAAAGATTATTATGATTTGCAGTATATCGACAGATTTGAACTATGACTATGAATGAATTGCAAGCTCTTCCACAAACTGTTTTCCATTCTAAGTGTGCTGCCTATGATGGCGACTATTCTTGATTGTATTTATATGATCCTTCTTGTAAGAAAGGGAGAATCTATCCAACCTTACAGCTACAAAACACCCAGCGAAAAAATAGATGAGGCATATGCAAGCTAAGAACCCGGTTGCGTTGCTTGGCGAATTGTGAACCCTTTGAGCTACCCATTGGTAGCCACGGTCTAATAACCCTCGTTTGATCGAAGCGTCTCAATTCACGCTGAAAAAAAAAACGATCCATCAATCCCCAATATTCATATCACTCTTGTCTTCAGAGCCGTTTCAAAATGATACTAAGGCAGAAGTATATTTGAGATTTCATCAAAAAAACCTGTTTTGGTTCTGCGCAACTAAACAACCTACACGCAGGAAAGAATAGAAATACGCGAAATGCGCTAGGCGTTGCTCCAGGCTATAACTTTCAAATTCTGCTTGTAGACTTGTTCAGTCGCTTCAAAAATAGTTTTTGAATGCTTGGAAATTTCACTTCGGTTTCTGATATACAATCACCTACGCAACTGCTTGGGCTAGGCGCTTTCAAACATAGATATTGGCAGGCACGCCTTCGACGTGATGCGCAAAAATGTTGAGACAGACCCGAAGCACTTGAGTCACGATACAAGCAGAGACGAGCTTGCGCATTATCTTTTCACAAGGCTGGAAGGCATTAGCCAGTGAGAACAAACCGTACACTGCTATGAGGAGGAGTTACTTCGATGAAATTAATAAAAACTCATACTAATGATTCACCATGAGCCAGCTTGTTGAAGGTGATACGGCGAGTCCTGTTTCGCGGGAATACTTGTTTATCGGTTCATCTATGTCTATATCACTAGCTCGAATTAGAACTCCTCCCTCTTAAAATCCGCTTCATTTGTTTGCTGAACTTTTATCGAATGCAAACTGCTCTAATTACACTAATCAGCCTCTGAATCCCGAGGTTCTACCTTGTCCACGAGATAGATGCGCAACCAAAATGTCTGGCAAAATCAGATTTTAAGCTACAGAAGCGGTAGTACAGTATGTGCATGATAGTTCGGAAATGACGAAAAGACGGATCATAAAAAAATTTAATTCTAGAGAGCGAAGATGGCTTGTAAAAGTACAACAGTCTTCACAAAGCTAGTACCTTCGCCCTGTGATATCACCTTTCCTAATACTATAGTGTCTTATCGTACCATATGAGTCGAATGCCATCATAAATAACATTATTGCCATTGTAGTATTCTCAAATCCCATTGAGAGCTGACTAATAAGGGAAGGAAGGTTGGTCAAAGTGGCCTTTTGTGATGAGATGTGGACTATTCTGTAGAGCTTGGAACGCTAATTCCAATTCTATCTCTGCTATGTGCTGCCGGCTTCTGGGCGAGGAGTTATGAAGGTTTTGTGAGTAAAAAGTCAAATGCAAGATTAGTATAAAATCAGTCGCGACCTTTTCTTAACGTTCAAATGAGGCAGCGGCGAGTTGGTACATTTGAATCAAGAATGTTTACTGCACCCAGTGACCTGACTATCAATTGAGCCCTGGAAAAAATTTTACGACTGATTTTACATTGATTTTGCATTTAATTTTTTACTCAGGAAAACCTTCGTAACTCCTCGCCCAGAGGCCCGCAGCAGATAGCGAAGGCAGATTTGGAATCAGCGTTCGAAGCTCTACAAGACGGTGTACAATCAGGGTGAGCAAGTAGCCACGCCAGTAATGCCGACATTTTGCGCGCGCAAATAGCCGGCGTCACAGGCGTAGCTATCTCTTTACGCACAAAGTTTACCGCATTTCGCCTTCAGTGCAAGCACACTATATTAAGCGGAAAATCTACTCGACTGTACATACTATTCTGAAAGGCCACTTCGACCAACCTTCCTTCCCATGTAAGCTTTCTTCAACGCAAAATGGGAATGCGCTCTGATCCTAGAAACTAATTTAGAAGATCCTACGTTGCGTGTACAGACTCTTGCGCACAGATGTACCCAAATGTGGATGAGCGCAGCAACAGACCGGCATGATTATTGACGGATAGTTGGACATGTTCTGGTACAACTAATATAAGTACTTTTACACACCTTAGAGAGGCAATCGAAATGAGAAACAATGGCTACACTAAACGATGACCTAGCCTCACATATCCAAAGCACCATCCACATCTTTCCGCAGATCCTCGAATTCAAGAAGTACATTCAACATGTCGCATCGCACATGTAAATAAGTTCTTGCCTGATAGGGAGACCAATGAGAGTTGTGAGTTACTTTTAAAAAGCGCACACATGTACTTAGAATGCCGTTCATAGATATTTTATTAGAGGTTGGGTTTTTATTTGTGTGGTACTGAAAGATATCAATTAAAATATTCCTAGTAAAAATATAGAAAAACCCCATAAAGTGAAGTTTCGCTACTATGAATTTAATATAATACCGCGATCACTGGTCAAGTGGCTCTATTATTAAAATATATCTATGATTGAAGATGTCGTATCTAAATGCGCTAAAAAAAGCAAGAGATGCGCAAACGCAACGCCTTGTCCGGAGCGCATTAACACTCACACAGTACTGTATTAGCAAACAAAGTTACTGTAACTGTCGCTTTGTATGACAGTAATAATAGAGTACATGCGAGAAAGGATTAGACGGTAGGTGTATACTGATTCGACCATGAGGAAGATAACTATACCTTACGTTTTCAAAATTCACTTTAGACACAAGAGCATCAATGTAATAATGAATGAAAAACTTTTTTGCAATTTTTACCAGGCTAAGCATTTGAGTGGAAAACTAGAGACTGATCTCGATGCAAGTGATGGGAAGAAGATTTAAATAATATTCCGCTTTTATAAAAAGTTTTCCTAAGTGGTTTCCGGAACACTGTACCCAAAAACATCCGCTTATACTCGCTATCAATGGTTTTAGAGGCACTTGGGCGGAAATCAGCTTTCGCTTGCCAACGATGTCTCCTCTCGACCCTAAGCTCAGTTCTTGCGACTCTCGGTCGGAATACCTTTTTATGATCACGTACCGTTTGGGCCTTGACCCGATGAAGGAAAGCGCGAGAGACTAAAGGCGGGCCAAGTAGCGGTAGGCGATCGACCACGCCAATCCTTACCACCTTATACCGACCCCGCTCATTGTCGCGTTTTTGCCAGGATGCGGTGGCCTGCGCTGTTTCTGCTCCCAACGTTAGCTCTCGCCTACTGCCCAGAGATTTTCAAAAATCAGGTAAGCATTTTTTGATGCGTTCAAACCAGCAATTCCGAAACTCCACCGCTTCTACGAGCTTTAGACAGCCTGCTCATGTTTCGATTATTTGGACGGTTCCGTCATTCGCTGTTCTGGGCAGGAAGGACCAATCATGGTCGAGCAGATGAAAAAATCGCATTTTGAAATTAGGGAGCTGACATTGGAAAACGCCAATATCGTCGAAGTGAGTAGAAAATCTTGGTTACATTGTCTTCGAAAGTTCTTATGTTTGTACAGATTGGACCAAGAGCTTTCAAAAATCTCCGTATAAAGAAGTTGGTGCTGGATAAGAACCGTATCAAAGCACTGCATAAAGACGCGTTCCGAGGATTGGAAAACGTATTACAGGAGCTGTCCATAGCACAGAACAAGTTGCCAGAGGTGAGTTTTTATTTGAAACATTTTCGAAGTTTTCTCTGCTATTTTTCAATGTCTTTGTTTTATTCTCAAGCTAGTTTCTAACGCTCAAATGTTAAAAATCCATTTTCTATGGACAGCGGACTTTGATGAACTTTTTCATGAAAAAACTTCTCTCATGAAAGATGCGCGAACGAATAGGCGCACTGACGGAATCAAGGTCGTCAGGGTCAGCGAAGCGCTGCGAATTGGGGTTACTAGAGCTGCACGGCTGCAGTCCATATGACTGACTGATTAGCGCTGCTACCGAACTGCTAAGTTAATCAATCACAGGTTCCAAGTGAGGCTCTTGCTGGTCTACGCGCACTTAACGTGCTCAGCCTAAAATGCAACAGGATTGGAAACCTAACAGGGCCTGTATTCAAAAACCTAACCTCCCTGATCGACGTCAATCTATCTTGCAACGAGGTAAGAGTTTTTGCACTCAGCTGAAGATGGATGAATTCGAGAACAGTGGTTTTAGATCTGCGACGTCGCTCCGAACACGTTCGATGGGGTTCGCGACACTTTACAAAATCTCATTCTTGATATGAACTGCTTGGATAAGTTCCCTGCTGGGGCAGTGAATAGCATGGAAAGTCTAATTGCTCTGCACCTCAAATACAATAACGTGAGTCTGTTAGTTGCAATTCTACATGCCTAAAAGTCTTTTGTGCAACGAGCGAGCGAGGTCAATGTGAGAAAGAGGAGAAGTACTCGCAGCCGCAATTAGTCGCTCATCAAAGACACTGGCGACCCTAAGCGGCCTATAATTACCACCATAATCAGTGACATCGATTTGATTGAGGGTCTTCAAGAAAAGCAGAAATCGTTAACAAAAAGCTGCATAAATGGAAAACTTATATTTAAACATTTAATTTTGCAGATCGACACTATTGACGCCAGACAACTTACTAATCTATCGTCATTGTCTATGCTTTCTCTAAGCAGCAACAATATTTCTTCCATCCATCCGCTGGCACTGGAGAACACACCAAACCTACGATACGTCTACCTAGCCGAAAACCAACTGTACAACTTTGACGTCGGCACGATGGCACAATTCAAGCAAACTCAGGTACCGTACAGTATTCAGATGAATTGATAGAAAGTAACAGTTCTTTCCAGGTGCTTGACCTAGCATTTAACAAATTATCGGGAATAACCACTGATACTTTCGCAGGATTAGAAAGTTTGCAGCATTTGAATCTTGAGAGTAACAATATCCAGGTAAATTCATGTCCTTTGCGATAGTAACACTTATGAGACGTCCAATGACGAGCGATTTCTAGTCGATAGCCCCTGGAGCGTTCGCAGGAATTCCTCTCTTACTTCTATGGCTTCCTAATAACTGTTTGGATACAATCAGTCCAACAACATTCCAAGGAGCACTCTTCTTGCGCCAACTATCACTCGCTAACAATAATATCAAGGATATCCAGGTAAAAACCTAATCACGAACTTTACTATTCCCGTTATAGATGTGATTTACACAAGGCATTTCTAGCCTCTTTCATTCAATCATCTTGCAAACCTCCATACCATCGATCTTGCAAATAACAAAATCCAGTCGCTCCAGCAAGGTGCAATCCAGGGAACTGATCATCTTACTGTTCGATTGCAAGGTATATACAGCTTGTTTAACACCTGTTTCGTCTTCACGCCATGCCCTTCTACAGAAAATCCTATGGTCTGCTCACAAGACGGTTTTCATGTCATGAACGGCCCTCAAGCTATAAACTTGACAACAGAGCCCAACAACATCTGCAAAACAAAATGGCAGGAGGAGACGCCTGATGTTTGTCCAAAGGTAGGAAGTCCAAAACTTCTTTAAATTACCAAAGAGATAATTACATGTATAGGCTCTCGCACGACCTGCACAGCCACCATGCTGTAATCGAAAACCACCCACTACCACCGCAGCTCCGACGACTACAACTGCTGCTATATCGACATCATCGGAGGAGGATACGACAACTTCTGCAGAAGAAACGACAGCTTCGAACGAAGAAACAACGTCTTCAAAGGAAGAAAAAGACGATGAAGAGGAAGCGAAAGAAGAAGATGACGAGGAAGACAGTAACGAGGAAGAAGAGGAAGACGGTTAGTGAAGAGGTGATCTACTTTCAGGGAATAAGTAAAGAGGACACGATTTAGATACTGAAGATACAGAACTCAGCCAAGACTCGGTGACAACTGAACCCACCACGAACACAACAACAACTGAAGCGACAACCACAACTTCGAAAGTGCCAAGAAGAAAGGTTAGTGAGTCTGAAGTCTTCAAAAACATTGTTTGATAGCGCAAGTATAGGTGAACATGGATCGATTCTGGAGACTCTCGCATAAACCTGCAGCAGGATCGCCTTTCATGAGGCATCAAGTGAATTCCGCTATGAAGCCGAAATACCTCATAACGGTTCGTCTTAGGACTAACAACTCAGAACACAGATAGCGAATGTGATCATGTTCAGACTGCGCCCCCCGCACCACGAGAAGAGGAGGAAGCTGATGAGGACGAAGAAGAAGAGGATGAAGGAGCTGAAGAAGTGAGTATCAATTCAACTCGATTAGACGTAAAGTACATGTATCTGGAAACAACGTTTTAAAAACTGCAACATACGAATGAGATAAACGTGGTGAGTACAGGAGGAAGAGGAAACAACAACACGAAAAGAATCTCGGCGAATCCCTGCAAGAATTCGTGAGCGACAAAAGATGCTTGGCAAAATGCCGCCATGGCTGCGAACATCATCTAAAAACAAAAGTGAACCAGAAGAGGAGTTCAATGAGGTAGGAATCTGCTATTATTACGTTGGGAGTATTGGATGGCTGATAAGATTATTCCTTCAGGACGAGGAAAGTGAAACTGTACAAGTCAACGATCAATCCAAGCACTAATTTCGCATTTTGTCATCTCTATCATGTGTCTCTCCTATTCAGAAGGAAATCTCATTACGTGTCGCATATCATGGAATTCAGTGTGCCGAATTCTGTCATTCTTCGAAGCGTTACTCTTTCTCATTTTGCATATTTCGCCCTACCTGATAAATTATCTAAAATGCTCTCTGTCACGGCTGGACAATTATCGTATGGCGATGGCATTGGACCCATGGTTAGCAATATGTTCGCTCTTGCCTATAAGAGACTGGGATGTTCAACATTGAAACTGAGAAAAAAAAACTTGGTACCTGTTTGACAGCCACTACAACAGAGACGGTTGGTGAGGTGGAGCTGCGCTCCGAATCAAAATGCTTCTGGTCCGCAGTCAATATGTCGAGAAAGTCAGACAGTGACGTAGATAACCTCGTTAGCTGAAATTTCCAACTATTAACTTAGTATTGACAAGCACACAGAAAGGTGTATGTCAAAGGCCCGAAATATTTCGCCGGATGGACACCAATTAGCGCAATTTCAATGTTTAGTAGCGTTCTAAAAGGCCTTCGAACTGAGGAGAGATATAAGGTTGCTGCATGAGATGCTTGACTTTGATATCATGAAATTAATTCAAAACGTAAATGCTGGAGGTCAAAAACCCGTGAAAATGCAACTAACGTCAAGTGAATATTTCGATCAAATTTCACCAAAAGTCGCAAAACCTAACAATTGGTAACTTCAGTTATTAAGCTGGAGAACTGTATTTTTGAGAGTTTTGCGCAGATTAAACTCCCCAGTTAACAAGTGAACGTTGCAAGACTTGCACAATGCGCTGACTTGAGCGAACTGCATCTAAAATAAAATTAACATTGCACAAACTCATTACAGCCTCCTTCAGAACAGCTCCTTCTTCTGCGCTGGCATGTAGAAACAACATGCAGCGAGTATGTTTCGAGAACTATAAGCCTCCTTGTCGGTTGAACAGCTGTCGCTTAAGGAAAACGGTATTCACCAATGTGTTTGGAAAAGTGCTACATTGTTCAAGTACATCATTGTCCTTCCAAGCTATAGCATCATATTGCGAAATGCCCTTAACAGGTGGTAATACGCACGAAAGCCGTTGAAGCAATACAGTCTGCAGAAGCTACCCTTCACTGAGCTATTCCGAGCTGCTTTCAAATTCAGGGGCAGAGAAGTATGATGTGAAAACTTTTGAGCTACTGCATAGTATCACGTGGAAGTTTCCAACAAACCTATGTGTCACGTCCAGATTTACTGGTTACAAAAAATGCGTGACTCTGTGACTCCAGCAGACCTCTGAAGATGCAGCCAAGTAAAGCTTTTTTTTTTCTGAATTACATTGTAGCCTCCAAGTTCGAACATCATTTTACTTGCTAAAATCTTGCGATTGGAATATACATCGTGCAGCCAACAAAATGCTGTTACTTTTTTTCGCGTTTGTGTAATCCACTGCAATTCCGCCAGTTATTGTCAAATCTGCTTATCTAGAATGTTGTATATAGAAATAACTGACACATCCATAGCCATCCGACAAAACAATGCGTCACTGTCAATATACCACCGCAGTTAACATTACCATCCTTAGTACGCATGTTGTCTAATTTATCAGCAAATGAAAAATTGGTGAATAACATAGAAGTGATATCTACATTTTGTAGATAATTAGAAACAATAATTTCCAAGATTTGATCAGTTCTAACAGGATAATTTCTGCATGCCATGTGAATCTGGACGAGCCGGTTCCCACCAATATTTTTGTAAATAAAAGTTCTGCACTAAGTTATGCATACTGATGCTAGTATCAGCAAATCAAAACATGGTTCTTGTTCTTATAACTTTGATCGGTATAAGCATAACAACTTCAAGCACGATGAGCATGACACTGGCAGTGAGTGTAGCCTCACAAGCCTCTTTGTCCACGAATGCCCGTGTATTTTTCCGGGTAGGGGAAGAACGCCGCCAGTTTGGCCCCTCCGCCTACTGGTCCTACAACTGGTCCTACAACGATGCAACAACATTGCAAAAGGACCAGCTGGCCGCGAAAAGAGAGTCATACTGGCGGCGTTCGTCCTCCTACCCTATGTTACCGATGACTTTCTCACGACTCGACGATACCTTATGCAACAGTAACCAGAGACTCAGAAACTGCAAAAATCCTTCCGGCTACAAGAGAACGATGCTCGGTGTAAGTGGTCTTTTGAGATGAAACGTATACCATCACATCACAATCCTTGGAACGCTGATTCCGAATCTGACTTCCGTTTCTGCTAATCGTTTCTCTAAAAGAAGTTATGAAGGATTTTGCGTCAATGATCGCCCAAGAGAAATACGGTCGAGGATGCCTAACTTTCAAAAAGAAGCTTGATTAAGGCAATGCAAAACTGAAAAACACAGGACTCGAAACTCCATCTGCATTTTTTAAGAGGCTACCGTATCACTATACCAGATCAGCAGTGGCGGTTTGCATTTTAACCATATTTCCTTCGGCGCGAAAATTCTTCATAACCTTCTTCAGAAAAGCGATTAGCAAAAACGGAAGTCAGATTTGGAATCAGCGCTCCAAAGCGAGTGTAATGGTAAACGTCTCATCTCAAAAGGTCACGGACATCAAGTATCCTTCCCTAGTCAACAGCGCCAAGATTGGGGAATGCTACCATTGCCATAGGTAAGCTTAGCATCTGAGAAACAGTATTAAAAGTGAGAAACAAGCAAAGGAAGAGAGATTAGAGAACAGAAGATCTAGCCCAAAAAAAATTATACTGAACAGCTAATTTTGTGACAGCGTCTGTCCACACCGACTCCGCTGTCACTGGAATTTTAGTCGCCTAAGCCCGATACGGGCTTTTTGCTGCGTGTAGGCCAGAAATACGACGCATCCTATCCCCCCCCCCCCTCCCGGAAACTCAGGAAAGAGTGTAGCTGGGGGGTATAGGACGGACTTGACACGATAACCTTGTCCAGGAATTTTCGCACCGAATGGTTGGTGGTCGTGTCGGAACTAGTACTAAATCATTCGTTTCCAAAAAAGCCTAATTGATAGATGGATTCACTAGCAACAGTGCCCTACCAAATTCAGCACGGATACCATGACCTATCCGTGTAAGAAAGGTTTTTGTATGTTTTGCAGAATATGGGCCGGCTCGTTCGCACTTGAGATCAGCTGGCAGCGAGCGAGTGGTAGAGCTATAGTTATGACCACCACCACGCACGAAGGGGCACTGATAGGCAGGGAGATAAAATACGATTGATTTATAATGAGCAGATTCAGTGTGAACTGAGGGAAGGTAATTACAGCAAAAATTTCATGTAAAGAATATACTGTTTTTCCTAGACGTTCAAACACGAAACTCACTTGAAGAAACTGAAAGTGATCAACGACTGCGCTAATTTGAGTGGTTGGCTCGACATAAACATTTAGCTGATCCGTTCTTGCGAGAATGACGCCAGAAAAACAAACCTGAACGATAGCAGCCATGAAAGCTAATTTCGCGCAATTTTCACACCCACGTCTGATATGACTGGCAATGACTTAGTATTGGCACCATGATCAGTGTCAATCCAGGCAGGAGATGTACGCAGCCAGAATAGGTCTTTCACTGAAGCGGATGTAGAAAAATAGGAATGGAAGTTACTGAGCTCTACCTCCTTTAGGGTGGCTCGATCCAGTAAGTTGTGTCATGTCATCGACCAGTGTCGAGCGCCCACCAAGTAATTCCGTTTTCGTTACGAATGATATAGTTGCCTTGTTGAGCATTTCAAACGGTTTGAATATGTCGCTATCGAATTGTGTGTTTGACACAGATAGAGTAGAAAAAGAAATCAGCAAACGAAGAGGGAAGCGTCGGTCGTCAGACGAAGGAGATGGAAATGGTATGATAATCTGGAACAAGACCTCAAATTTCGGTTACAGCTCAACTTATTTAATGAAGTGGGTTGCACCTTGGGCATAAGTAGATCCACACGAAGGTCGGAATGTGGAGAAGGTTCCATGTCGAAACCAAGGGATTGCTCCTGAACACTTTGCATGATATCCATTTCTTACTATTGTTGTGGGAAAAATCTTGCTTACGAAAGCTGTAGACAGGTTGTGCACTACGTAAAGACACCATCGCAATGTTCTTTTGTCTAATAACATAGAAAACGGTCCGAGTTGTAGGAAACTAGCAGGTGCAGGAACTATAAAACAGAGATTTCGTGGCCAAAATGCAAATACTGCTTCATCAATGTATCTGCAAACCTGACAAAGTGTTAGACATGGGATGTGTGAAGAGAGAGAATTCGAGGTGAAATATATACTGATCGTTGGGTAATGAGCGCAGGTGTCTGTAAGAACATTACTATTACCGTTACAATGTCTGGTATCCAGGATGTGCATGAAATCAAAAAGGAAATAATGGACTTTTTATTTGCTTGAATTACACGGCGACTAGAAGAAATCCGAAAATACGTGATGGGTACTGTTCAGTAAAGCAAAGCAAGCTCTTCGATAGGCCGTTCATGCTTTTGCGGAAAGTTTGATGCAGTGAAGTTCCAAATTGTAGTATAAAAAGTTCTAAACGCCCAAAAAATTGAAAAAAAGGCATCTCGGTCCCAAAAAATTCCTACGGATCTCCCACTCGCACCCATCAGTACTATCAACATCAGATAATACTCATATATACAATCGCCGTATTTTCGTGTTTTTCTCAAAGCAATGCTGGGCCGTTCTGACACATAATTTCATACTACAATCCTTTATAAGTATCTGCAAAATAGTAGCTTTTTCCGAGCACTAGCTCCCAAAAAACTTTGATTTTGGAAAAAAAAACAAAAGAGAAAAGCTAAATTCGATATTTCTCGAAAACTAAAGGCTAAAAAAACTATAGTTATACTTGTAGAAGTACTTAGAAAACTCTTATCACACCCAGCTTTGAACTAACACGGAAATTTTCGTCTTCTTAGTTTCTAGTCCAGGAAGAAATCCAGCAGTTGTATATAGGAATGTCTGATGTCGAAATGTGTGCAAGCGAGAGAATTGCAGGAAGATTCTGGACCAAGATGCGATTATTTTCGATTTTTTTAGGCATTTCAAGCTTTTTAGAATATTTCGACTTCAAGTGGATCAAGCCCAACTCGAAAATATGAACGGCATTTTAAAGAGCTTGCTTTGCTCTATCCAGTAACACACATTGTTTTGGATATTTTGTGTGGTTGCGGGGCCATTGCAAGCAAATAAAAAGCGCCATCGTTTTCGTGAAAGCCTGATATAGACGTCACTGAAAATGTAAAAGAAGAAAGCAAATACTTTTCTGCGCATACTGATTTACAGGCTACCTTGATAGCAAAAAAACTGACCGCTCGCTAGCGAACATATTCTGCAGACTCTCCCTTTTTGAGTTGGCATCAGAAACGCATTGAATAGTGAGGTCATGTATTCGGAGCACAACGTTGAAAGACATCAGCTGTGGCCAACACTGCACCAATCTAGTACGGCCAGCTTCATCTTAATAAGTGCCCAAAAGGCTCAAAGATAGTTGAAACAGGACGACATCCCTCTCGTACCTGTTCCTGTGCAAAATGCAGTAAACTGCTGCGCTAGCCTTGTTTCTAACCATCGAGTAAAATCATTAGGCGCAGAATATCGAGGCCAATGGCTTCTGTAATCAAGTCTCAAAAGATGAAGCGATGCATGTATCGAAGAGTACCTGTCACACGAGGCTAATGTTCTGGGATAGACGTCTATAAGCACCCGATAAAGTGTGACTTGCATAGCACCGCTTTCAATATCCCAACCAGGTGGATAAGCTAAGGGATAGTCACTCAAACGGATAGAACAAACACGACAATAGGGCACTCACTCATACTGGAATGCGCATCGTCGCATAGATGAAGATCAACCTTCTTGATGTGCAAATGATGAGACGTCTGGTCAAAATCGAAAGCTCGGTAGGTGTTAGACACAGTGATAGCTTGACCATTTGGAACACTTGTTTCTATGGTTTTTGTAGGTACCGGCGGTGTCTATATAAACTTATCCATACTGACTGATGCTGCGGGGAAAGTTTGTAACTCACTGGAGGATAGTCCTTTTCACACTGCCGAACTAGACTCATTAGATACGAAGAAAATGCTATAGCAGAACGAAGTTGTGGCAATGTTGCCACCCATAATATATCCTCAAGGAGCATATGAATTTGTGCGTTCACGACGGTGCCATCTATAATAGACGCTACCGTCATAAGAGCAGAAACCGAACAATGTATTAAGGACACAAACACAAGACTGATTGTGAATAAATATCGCTGACACTACCGTTGGTGTTCTTCTTGAGCGCCAGTCGAATTTTACCACCACTAGTTATCAATCTGAGAGGTGCATTTATCGTACAACGTTTCTCATTCCTGTCCGCTTTCGCCGAAGCTTCTATACGAAGTAGCTGCCAGGAAATCTGAAATTAACTAAAACATTACTGTGGAAAAAAACAAAACAACAACAGAAATCATATTAGAAGCAATAGCTGGTTGGACCCATTCTTAACATCTGAGTCCTAGGCATCACTTCAAGTTGAACGGGATAAAAACAGGAGATGTAGAGAACGTATGTGAAATCAGATTCATGGCCGATTTTCACCTCAATGACATGTGCAAAAATTCTACAAAAGCGGAAAGCAGCAAGGAGAATAGTGCTATTAAAAAACATTTACGCTATATTTGTCAATGAAGAAGAAATGGTTTTGACCATAATAACTCATTACCTTATTACAAATTCAGATGCATCTCTAAATGTAAGAAAGAAAAACAATTTTGAATCAGTTCTTAAGCAAAAATAAAAAGATCTCAGTAGCACGAAGATCCACAATAGATGTTATTTCGTGGCGCAATCACTGAAAATCTTTGACATTGTTTATCTCGCGCCTACCAATTCTTCCCGAAACGGCCGCTGAACGATTTCCTTTATAGACTCCCAGAAGTGTAAGTAATACTTTTAAAAAAATTTCTAATTTCCGTTTCTTTCCTACCATTAGACAGAAATTAGAAATGTCATCAGTAGTGAGGGAAGATCTCAAGTATAACTGAGATATGAAATCAAACTGAATGGGTTAATCTCAAACTTGGGTAACTGAGCCTTCCCTCCCTCGATGAGGCAGTCATATTCAATTTTCTAACTAACATAATATACTCGTGGCATTTTCCATAATCAGAAAATACGAAGAGCAATGCCAAGCAGTGGTTGAACAAGTTTACCAAGGTGTTCAAATCTCTGCAATACTCCGCCCAACTTTAGCGGGGGGGGGGGGGATGCATATAGATAGAATCGGATTTGCTCGTGGAGAGCCCAGATATTGGGTCGGTCAAAAGTTTAGTCAGTTTTTTGACTCCAACGGCGGATACTATAAAGATAAACAATTACTCCAAGTTATAACCCATGCAGAATTCCTTACTCTTTTTTGTAATATGAAGGGATTCGTTGAAAGACTGTCGAGATTTTCGCTGGAGATGACAACCATTCGTTTTCACCATGTCCAAATTCCGCTAACAAAAACTTTATTGGAGACTTTCAGGAGAACTTTGTTAGCAGGCAGGTAGGGCAAACCTTCTGCCAACTGAGGCAACTATTTACCTTTATGAACCTTTTTCAGCAAGTCTTTTGGAAATTTGCTAAAGAATTTTCCAAAATTGTAGTTTTGGAAAAATCATATAACGTTATTGAAGCAAACATTGATAAGTTTTCAAAATACTGAGGTTTTGGAAATATCGTTACTATTACCAATCTCACAAAGTAAATGAGCAGGTTTTTGCTTCAGATTATGACAATTTTCAACTCAGGGTACTTCAGTGCGCACTCTGTTGATAAATACTGCGAATTTGCTCACAATATTTCGCGTGTCTGGCCAAGAAAAGATGAACGTTAAAAAAGCAAAAAAAGTAGCGTCGAATGGTACCTAACCGCTTTGCTATCTCAAGTTCTACGAAGTTAGAATAGGCTGAATACAAAATTCAGTCACATCAAAAATACATTAGGTTATCCTAAAAGTTTTGTCGGTTTTTACAAACGACTGTAAAATCCCGTACAATAAATGCTTCATAGGCGTTCGATGCTTTTCCTTTCTATTTCTTATGGTTATAAATCCTAATCATAAACTCCTGGAAAGTCTTAAGATAATTGCCAAAAGTCTTCACCCTTCATTTCTGCCCGCTCTTATTTCAGAATTTTGAGGAAGAGTAGGGATTATATCTCAGACTCTCGAAGAGTAGGTAAGTTTCGAATAGAGCAAATCCTGGACTATCCAGCAGTGCTTTTATTCTTCTGATCTGCTGTTAGGGACTTTAAAAAATTATTTCTTTGGAGTTGTCGCTTTTCAAATTAAAGGCAGTGGATCGGCAGAATGGACTCCTGTCAGATTTAGTTTCAGGTAGTTATACCCTCCAAGTACACCGTAGCCCCAACCCCGCCCTCCAATTCATGCGCTAAGTCCTGTTAAGGAGCTTCAATACTCCACCAGCCCCGCCCACTTACATTGAGTGGGCGTCACTGGTGGAGTTTTGAAGCGCTTTTTTTCAGAACTTAACGCGTGAATTGGAGGGGTGGGATTGGGGCTATGATGTACTTGGAGGGTATATATCTGAAACTACCAAAAACTGACAGAAGTCCATTCTGGTGATCCACTGCATTTGAAAACTTACAAATTTCTCCAAATTAAAGCTTGACTAATATTGAACATCATCTTTTGCAAAACAATCGAGCTCGACTTGGCTTGAACAAAAAAGGATTTTTAGAACTTTCGTCTCCTATGGGCTGAACGTGCGCAAAAACCCCAGGTTTTATCCCGCTTGATAATTATTACAGACTTCAAAAACCTGATCTACGTAATCCAAAATGAGTATGACGTGACCAATTTACTCTACTTGATAACTGTTAAACTTTTTTAAAATAATACGACAAGCTTTGAAAATTGGGGAAGATTTTACGTCATTGTTGAGCTGCCCAAAGAACCATTAAGATAACATCGCAAAGACTGCATAGATCAGGGGGAAAAACTACGAGAAAGAGCATAAAAATCTGAGTCGAACGGTACTCAAGTCGTTCATCGATCAGTGTTCTTTGGATTTTGATGACCGATCAAAGAAATCGACAAGACTTTCAGACAATAATATTTCAGAAATTCTAAAATACATGTCACAGGGCTACAAAGATTTGCTTCAACTGTCAAAAGTTCTGCCCTATCTGCGCTATCAAAGATCCTCAAAAGTCTCAGATAAATTCTAGCGAATGTTAGACATGGTAAAAACGAAGTGTTGTTCAGCGATTAACTCAGCACTCTCTCAACGAATCACATTGGGAATGGCTGTCGAAAAGAAGAAGGAATTCTGCACCGCATACAGTTCCAAGTGTTTTTTATCTTTTGTGTACGGTATTCGCGGGTTATTGAAAGCTGACAAAACGTTTGCACCAACCTAATAATGCACGTAACACAAAGCGGTTCAAAAGATGGTGGAGGCGCGATAGAAAATATCAGAAAAACATATAAATGGAGCTTGGCGTTAGTCACACATTCCGGAAAAATTTTTTAGATGCGTCATAGATTTTTTGAAGTCCCAGAACCCCGAATAGAAAAAAGGGACGGCGGTAACTACGCCCCCAAAAATTTTTTTACAAGGCTAAGTCAAATTTTTGAGCAATTTTGAAATTCATTTCAATCAATTACAAATTCAAACAAATCATTTGCACTTTTTATAACTCATGCAACTATCCAGAAAATCGACACACTTTATAGAGGGGAAGTGGGGGGGGGGGCTTGGTCCGCCACTTCGCTCCATCTTATAGATAAAGCTGAATGTCTGTCTGTATGTCTGTCTGTATGTCTGTATGTCTGTACGTATGTGCGGAATAGAAATTTTTATTTCTGAACCGATTTGGACCAAACTTGGCACACATATACTTCGGGGCAGGGAGCGTGTCACAGGCTACTTTTCGTTATCGGTCGATATCGATTTTATCGATTTTTTGCAAAATTTGAGCTACGGGGCTGGGAGTTGGCACAGGGGGGTAATCGAGCATGCTGATTACGAATATAATAATGACAGGGCCGGGCGGAGCCGGGTTTGCCAGCTAGTAATCTATATACCAAGTAGGTCCGGCTTGAAGGGCTGAGCTCAAATAATGTTGTCGTTAACTGCTAGGCGTTAATTGTAGAGCAAATTATGGTAGCCTCTCTGTCATGCTCGCCGGCAAGTCCAGGTAGTGCGACAATATTGCAGGCTCGTTTGGTAAGCAAGTGCTTAGATTTGAAGTTGTCGCAAAGTTTGATCATACTCGCTTCAAAATAGCCAGTGCTTCAGCTAAAGACAGCTTAGCGTTCCAATTTGATTTTGAGTATGTAAAAATACCTCTGGTGGTCTCACGATTTCCGTTCGAGAAAAGGAGCAAGAAAAAAAATTTTTTTTCGACTAAAGGTGCCAATTTGGGATGCTCCCCGAAATTTTTGCGGGCCCATAGACTTGAAATTTTAGGAAAAGGAGAATTTATTTACAAAACCAATTTGAATTCTCAAATGTGTGCAAAAATTACATAAATTATTTACAAGTACGAACAAGTCACTTGCACATTTTTATAACTCATGTATGTGGCTTTCAAAAACTTGACCCATTCTCATGGCAAGATCCTCTTCATCTGATGGCAGAGCTCAACCTATCACAATGGAGATCAGCGATAAAGACAATGCAAGACAAGGTACCCACATGCGAAACACTTCACCTAAGCTTACTGCACATGACAAGAAGAAATATATACACAAACCTGCTTGAATACCAGAGCTCTGCAGATAGCAGGACAATTGATTCGACTTTGTCTCAGATCTTGAGCGGTTTGCCATCCAGGCGTTCTACTCTCTACAGAGAGTCTCGAAAGCTAAGCACAAAATTAGGGACCCGACTAGACAAAAAAGACGGTGAAAGCAGGTAAGTCACCTAAGAAGCATGTTACATTTTGACAAAGACAAAGTGAGCTTACCATGAATGACCCTCCAAAAGCATCCGAGTCAAAGTTGATTTCAACGGTATTGATGTATAAGGACAAGCCTTCGATGACTTTGTCGGCAAACCCGTAAGACGAATTCTCGGAAAGAGTACTGAAATTGAAATTTGAATAAAGCACAAGAGAACCCGGCAGACTCTAGTTACAGACCTTACATGACGATCTTGCTTCCTAGAAGGAGACTCACTCGTTAACACTACTTCGACATTAATTTCATCAACAAACTAAATACGGCAAAAGAAATAAATTTGAAAATCAAAGAGAATGAATCGCAGAGACTTACAATTTCTACAGGAGAACTTTTTAGCCTAGTCCACGGTACACTTACAGTCACTCCGATGCAGTATGCTCGCTTTATCCTCAGCCATGACGGTAATTCCTGGAATTATGTTACTGAATAAACTAAGGAGAGTAAGTAAAACTTCTGCACAAGTTGATCATAAAAAATTCAAAACACCTACAGAAAGACATATTTATTTTGACATTCTAGCAGAATTTTTAAATACTGCGAAGCAATCGACTGTGAGGTAAAGACCAACCAGTACGTCCGTAAGTACTTCTTCGTTGAGCTCTATGAACTCGAGTTTGCTCTTCCCCTTCAATACATCCAGCGAGATCTGTTCAGGTTTCAAATTTCGAGCGAATCTAAAAACGATGTAGCATTTGCTGCGTATAATGACAACACTCTGCATTCATCTACGGCAGTATGTCACAAAGATTACGATGTACTTGTGCCATTCACGCTGCTATTGAGGATATACAGAACCTTTTGCCAGACAGATACGTACGTAGTCTACAGTCGTCCTCATTCCAGCAATCAGCTACGTGGCTGCACTATTTTAAAAGCATTGGAAAGCAAACGTACGACACGTTTTTCTACTTCTTCCATCTTTGCGTTAATTTTTCGCCGTGTTACACCTTTCTGCAATTATGACAAAAACTCTGTTTTCGTCTCACTTGGAATAGGCCCCACGAGCGGCTCGAAGCCCGCGCGACCGCCTCACTTGTGATCTGCACCGCATTCGCTGACGTGTCGTCTCATACGCTTTCATGAGCCTGCGCTTCCGGATGAGGGGTATAGGGCTTTGCCGGGTCGTGGAGCTCAATGAATTTGCGGTCGCTCGGACAGGATGCCATAAAGGAGGGGCTCGGCAAACTGAGAGCTTTGGGGGGAGAATGAAGGAACGAACACCTCAATTAGGCACCGCCTCCGCGGCCTACTGGTGCCAACGCGATGCACAATAGTAGGACGAAAGGACCAGCAGCCCGCCAAGGCTGTGCCTAATTGAAGTGTTCGTTCCTCTACCCGCTTTGGTTCACCGTTCTTGACTCCCTTGGAAGAGCCGGAACTAATACTGTGCTTTGCAGCTTTGGAAAATATTAATAAGCGTTTCTGGAGTTGAAGCTGCTGTCTGGGCGGGACGCGAAGCCAACCTCTTTGTAGAACGATTGGCTGCTGGATCCAATGATTGTCGCCGGGATGGGTGTAGTGACTCCAACTCTCCGGACTCCACACGCCAATGGCTCTCTAGAAGGCGGGCTTTCGCTTCCCGCGCAAACAGCAATTACCATATCCGCAAAAGCGAGTTATTGACTTCTTCAGAAGCTGCAACACAACTCAGCTCATCAAGGGAAATCGAAAACGATAAATATATCAGTCGCCGATCTGCCGAGTCACTGCCTATAAGGACTCAAAACAGTCGCCCCGTACTTTTTAGAATCCAGATATGTGAAAGCTGACATCTGATAGCAGAAAAGCGTTTGACAGGAGAAAGAAAACTGAGAAAGCTGGATACGTGGACAATGGCCGCAACCTCACCGATCTCCACGATCAGGTAGAACTTTACAGCGTCAACCTCACGCTTCTAGAATTTATCCATATACCGATACCGTTTCATTGACTCAAGCTGTATCACTAGGAGTTCCCCTCTCATGTGCGAATGTGCGAATGTATGCCGTAAAATCGTGACGACGGATTTGAATGCGGTCTTTGAGCCCGCAGGTGCAGAAAAGACTCATACAAAACAGCATCACCTCAACTCTCAGCTCACCTTTTCCAATGTCTAAATACTGTCATACGTAAGCAGAAAAAACATTCGAGGAGAGAAGAAAACCTAGAAGATGCGATTGTCGTGAGGTGCGTACGTGTCGCGCGCGGTCGCTCCATCGTCACGATTTTTCGAATACCCTTTATATCGCTTTTTCATTTGCACCTCAATTTGCATACTGTACACCACGCCCGCTATTTCACGGCTTGTACGATTAGAACCTGTTGATTTTCAAGATCTCTCCCTTTTTACTCTTCTTTCTTGGTTTGAATGAATATGTGCTAGGTAATAGTACACAACCCCAGTTATTCCACTGGACAAAATTTCACTGACAAATCACTGGTAAGACTTCGTTCGTTGCTGCGTAGTGTGCAGGTCCACACATCATGTTACGAATGACTCCCGCATATGCTACAGGCGCCGGACTTATCCGCTGGCATAGACGCTACGCAATTTTTCGGATCAGAGATCTGACTAGTCATGAAGAGGCTATAGGCCGTCCGCGCTGCGCACGGAGAGCAACGCTTTTGCGTACATTGGAGGCAGTTTACGACTGGAAAAAGCGCAGAGAAAAACAGGCGGCGAGAGTGCATGAGGAAAGAGGAGTGACGCGCAATACACACCTTGCGCACTCTCCGCGCCCTGCGCGGACGGCCTATAGATAAGTCTAGTGCGCCTGCCTATATAGACTAGTAGATCTGACGGCAAACATAGCGTCCCGTTAATGCAGAGATCGGCTGGTAAAATTCGCGCATGAACAAATAGCCGTACCCATAAATATGCTTGAGAACATTTGCCCCGACATTTGGCAAAAAAGGTGTTTGATGAAAACGCTTGATATAGCAGTTCAGTCCATGACCAGTTCTTATTTTGCCGCTTCTGGTCTTTCACTGCTCCATTGCATATACGTGTGCAGTTACACAAAACAACTGCTGCGGTCTACTGCACCATCGACTCCCAGAATGTCGCGAGGGCGAAGACGTGAGACCAGTGTTGAAGCATAGCTGATGAATTCGTTATCGGTTGTCGAAATTTTTGCGGCCCTACAACCCCAAAATTTCGAGAAAAGAAGGGATGGCGGCAGCCACGAACCTAGAAAAAATTTTTACAAAGCTAATTTAGACTGAAGAGCGCCATAATATCTGAGATATTTACAGGTATAAACAGCACATACTTAGGGGTCATGCGAGTAACTTTCAAAAATCCCCCTCGGTCCGCCACTGGTTCACAGTACAGTCAAGCAGTTCCGTTTGATATAGTGTGCTTGCACTGCAGGTAAAATGCGGTAAAATTAGCGCGTGAACAGGGGTGGAGGACTATATGTCGCCGGGTGGAGGACATTAGGTCGCCGAATTTGGAAGAGTCCCGCGCGGATTCCCTGTAGGAACGCATGTCCGCGTATATACAAGGGTGCGTATTTGTCGCAAATGACCGCGGGGACCGCCCTCTTTCGGCGACCTAATGTCCTCCACCCTATGTCGCCGAATTTGGAAGAGTCCCGCGCGGATTCCCTGCAGGAGCGCATGTCCGCGCATGTACAAGGGTGCGTATTTGTCACAAATGAACACGGGGACCGCCCTTTTTCGGCGACATATAGTCCTCCACCCCGGGAACAGATAACCACGTCAGTGATGCGGGCATTTTGCGAGCGCAACTGGCCGGCGTCACAGAAGCAGCTCTTGTCCACGCGCAAATCTTAGATACCGCATTTTACCTGCAGTGCAAGCACACTATTGGCAGTGTCCGGGCAAGAAGTCAGTTTTGAGGTTTTGTGCTTATCCGGGCCTTTTCGTTACACTGGAAAGCGCAAAAACTGCGAAAAAAGGCTCTAACGCAGGATGGAAATCAGTAGGTGGGCGGGGTCTTGCCCACTGTGGACTCGCGCTCCCAGCTTCCGGAGCGATCTCCTTGATTTCGCTAGCCGCCCTGACATTGCCACCGGCCAAGTGCGATGACATCGGAACCGAGAAGATCGCTCCGAAAGGAGGGAGCATGAAGTCACAAAGGCGAATACCCTGCCCTGCAGGATTGAAGTGTTAGTATAGGGCACGAAAAATCGTGACGATAGCGCGACGTGCGCGACACGCACGCACTTCCGGCAACCGTACTTTTTTGGTTTTCAGCTCAACTCAAATGGTTTTTCTGCCCACGTATTATAGTGGTTAGACAAAGTGACTGAGCTGAGTGTCGAGGAAATGCCTTTTTGTTTGAGTGTTTTATGCTCCTGTGGGCGCAAAGACCGCAGTCAAAGCCGTCTTCACGATTTCAAGAATGAATTATATGTTCGGAACGTGGATCACAAGCGATGCTAAGTCGCAAATCTTAACTGCCATACAACAAGTACTAAGTAAGCTGTTGTACAATTACAATCCCTAATCGGACCATAAGCGAAAGATTTATATGCAGCATGTCCATGCAACAGCATTTTTTTTGCGCTGGTTCGTTTGTTACTTATACTTTCAACCTCTGTGAAGTCTCGCGCAGAAATCAGATTTTGCGGCAGTGCGGATCTCATTCGGAAGTAAGTATGGAAGTATAGGGCATTTAGAAAATCGTGACGATGGCGCGACTGCGCGCGACACGCACGCACTCCCATTTTTTGGTTTATATCTTTCATCAAATAGTTTCTCTGCTTAAATACGATAATATTCAGACACTGGAAGTGACTGAGCTAAGCGTTGAGGTGATGCCATTTTGTATGGGTGTTTTATGCTCCTGTGTGCGCAAGGACCGCAGTCAACTCGTCGTCACGATTTTAAAAATGAACCATACTATGTATCGACCCTTCCACAATTGCTGCTACCCTTGGTCCGAGTCTCTGACCTGCGGTACGCGTGGCTGACATGTTGGTAACATGAAACAACGCGTTGGCGTTAAGGCCAACAGCCAAAATCTTTCGCCAATTTGTTGCATGTTGCCAACATGTTAGCCACGCATGACTCGGGCGCAGGTAGGGAGTAGGTAAATGTAAAAGGGACGATTACATCGCCGCGCAACCGCATATGGCAATCAATTAGCCATACATAGACTGAGGGACCCGTCATACTTCGCCGAGAAAAGCCTAAAAGCGCCCAAAAAGCCTAAAAAAGTCCAAAGCCCGAAAGCGCCAGAAGGAGCCGGAACGCGGAAACGAACTTTTGGTAGAATCTGACATTATTTTGGTGTGCAGACGACAGAAAATGAACCAAAAAGACTTGTCTGCGAAATCAACACACATGCCTTAGCGTCAAAACGTGCGCGCGGAAGGGGACGTTTCGGCTCTTTCTGGCGCTTTTGGGCTTTTTTCGATAAAGTATGACGGGTCCCTGAGGGTTGCTGGAATGAGTTGTTACAATAGAAAGCCCAAGAAATTAGAGGGACTTACTTGGAGGAACTTGCAATGTCAGAGGCATGATCGATATCTTCAGAGCAAATTTGAAGATGTCAGTTATGACTCTCCACAGGATGCATGCATAGCCAGATCATTTCCAAGAAAAAGAGGAAAAACACTTTGTATGTGACGCATTGAGCAGGATAAGTAACTTACGGCAATGTTTCTGACAGCGGCAAAATGGGGGTAGGCATTGTGTAAGGGATCATAAGGTCTACTCCACGCTTGACAAGCTTGCGAAAATGACAGCACTTGCTGAGGTGTGCGCAATAAGACTGTGTTGAAGAGATTCCTCATTCGGCACTTACATTATGTGTGCAACAGTCGGTATTCAAGAAGTTTGAAATACAATATGGAAGCTCGACTGTTTGCACTTTATAAGCTCAATTTTTGACATAAAGCATTGAGGCTCCAACCAACAATGCGCGCTGCGGTCACTGAGACTATGCGCAGATTAAGTATAGTGCAAGGTTGAATCAAAAGAATGAGGTTTGCAATGAATACGCGCCTCCACATAAAGCAAATAAAAGAGCCTACAAAAATGGATTATAGACTCAACTGTCTAGAGCTACCAACAATTGAGCTTCCAATAACACCAAGACCATGGCAACAAAGCGGTCCGAACAATGCAAAAAAAGAAAGCAGATACCCTAGGACCTGTTAAATTTGCAGAAAGACCGCATTAACAATTGCTCTTCACTGCTTATACGTAGGTCAAATGCCTATCTGCGTACTGTGTACACGTCTTCCTATCGATCAAAAAACCCAGTCTCTCGTCTGTAGATGCTAAGAATACAAACCTCCTTAAAAGCTCCACTATTTTTTCAGTCATCTCACTTGCACAGGAATAACGAAAGGGTTGAGAAGATTGCGCCTTTTTAAGGTTGAAGATGTGAAACAAAACTTTTGGAATGATAAAAATGAGTAGGTAATGCGACGGACCCGGCCCAGTATTTCTCACACGTCCTTACATCCTCGACGGATTGAGACTCAGAGCACAGATCCAGATAGGATGAACTCATCTGTACAGTTATCATGAACTACATGCCCATATTATATGAAATATTGCAGCCAAGATTCTAACGTTCAACGCAAATTCGTAGTAGCTGATTTCGACCGCGATGGCGTGTTATTCCCCTGTCCATTCATTATCACATTTGGTTGAAGATAGAACATAACTGAACAGTTTTGGCAAGAATAGCAAATATAAACAGGAAAGCAGATTCGAAAACGATTGCCACCTTATTAATTACTCAAAAGCCAGTAAAGCCCTCGCTCTGTGCAGCACCGATACGGCGATAAAAGGTGTGTTTTACAAGAGTAGAATAAATTCGAGGAGGACGATTACATTAAAACAGTCAGAAAAGCAGTAAATTGATAAAAATACAGGAATGTTGCAAATAGAAACGAATAAAAGAAGAAGCAATGTCGCTTACTTGGAAAGATGCTTGATGATTTGGTTTTTCAAGATGTTAGCCATGACAGATCCGTCATTCGGGATGTTGGTGTTCCGTTGCTGAGCGAGCCGACCGTCCTTTCAAGCTATTAATCACTGAAACATTGATTAGCCCCGCTTTGATATCCATAGGAGCGCGAAAGAAAGCTGCAATGCAAACAAGCTAGCGTCATACGCTCAAACACTACTAGAGAACCAAAATTCGGTTTCCGGAAAGAAATTCATCTCAAGAACGGTACTAAAGCAAGGACTAAGAAGTTGAAAGCTGTGACAGAATTGTGGGTGTAGTATATAGACGCAGCCACACGCAACACACCCCCGGTCCCTCATTGTGCGCGTTGCTATCGTCTGCCAGCGACTTCTTTACCATCGTTCGCTGTTTTCGATTTTTTTATTTACTAGCGCATCGCACCACTGAAATATTTCAAAGCCTGTGTCGTTTTCCTTTTTTTCTGCGTCACCTAAATGATCCGTGGAGGATGAAGTTTGATCCTGGTGTCGTTGCAGACTTCCTTTTGAGATGTTTTGGGCATAAATCGGCTCGCATATTCGTATTGAGCTGGATTGCGGACTTCCTCTGTTAATGTGTATGAACTTGTTGAACCCCCTCGTCATAGCATTATTGTTCATACTCTCTCGCTACCGAAAACCGCCACACATTGAGTTGGTACGACTTCACCTTTACACGAATCTGGGAGCTGATGATAGATATAGACTGCCTGCCACTACAAGAACCTTATTCGTCACTCGTGTCTCGCTTCTCCAACAGTTGTCCTAATAAGCACAAAGTCTCAAAATCTATCTACTTGTCCTGACACTGCCTTTCAGCTCGTTTTGATTCGTCATTATTGCCAAGCGGCGTAGGGGAATTGTGTCAAATAAATCACGTTTTCCTTGAACATGCCCGCTTTTTAGACCAAAAGAAACTGTGCTAAATGATGTACCAATACAAAATCACCTTTTGATGCAGAAACCATAGAGTACATCATCAGAATACCACTTCAGTTTCAATCGACATGTTTATTCAGGCCATATTTCCATTTTTGCGCCAGTAAAGAACTGAACTTATGGAGCGGAAGCACATACAGTGTGCTAATCAGGGTCAAGCGTGTGATGCGACTGTCGCAACGGGGGTCGTAAAGGGGGCCTACGGTGAGGGGGGGGGGGGTCGTAAGAGGGGGTAATTGGATAAAAAAAACCGTACGATTGAAAGCAAATCAAAGAAGTAATTATTACATGTTCTCAACAATAAATTCATGGAATGCCGTGTACCAATGTATCAAATAAAAACGAGTGAACAATAATTTGGAAACATTTGCAAGCGTAGAAATTCGCTTCATTTGCTGCACCTTTGAAAGATTATGACTTAGTTCTTTTTTTTTGTGGGAATCGCTATTTTTCCCGTAAAATATTGTCTCAAACGGGGATCGAACTCTGCTGGCATGACTAAAATTCAAAAATAAACACTTTCAGAAGCTCAAATGCTACTAAAGGCATGTATGTGTGATAAAGATGTTGGATGTACGGATTGGTGTAGACATACTGCTTCCGAAGGCTCACTGAAGACTCGCACACTCGACAAAAGCGCACATGTAGATCAACGATGACAATCAATAATGTAATGCCATTTATGAGGCCCTTACAGTTTATATGTACTTTAGATAAGCCCTGCTACTGCTATGCGAAATCTGGTGTTATTTTATAAACTGCGGATTTTCTTATGATTTTATATATGGTAGCAAAAAATGAGAAAAGGGGGGGTCGTATCTGCGCCTGATCTAAATTTCTCCGGAGCTACTGGAGCTTGTTAGCTGCAAACTTGCTGTAATACGAGGCCATCCCTCTAGTTTTTATCATAAGAATTTCAGGCTGTTTTATAACTTCTCTAGTAAGTTACAAAATTTTGAGCTCAAAAATCCCAGTTTTTGCTTTTTAGGATCGCATCTAAATTTGCGAGAGCCTGATCTAAATTTTTTCGAGCTTACTGTTCCTCAAGAGCTGAAACTTTTTCTTTGGATAGTCTGGGCACCATAGATGCGATAGGTGGAGAAATTTCTCTGACCCCCTTCACTTTAGGGCCGGCATCTGGCTGACCCCTTTCACCTGAGGTTGAGACTAATCAAGGCAAACAGCTATTACAACGGAACTTTTGTTTGGAAAGGAAACGCCAGCTGCTCTTCTCCTCAGACATCAAGACTGCAAGAGAGTATCGAATCAACAACGTTTCGTTAAAAAACGCATGCTTGAGACCTTCTGCGCGCTCAAAGGGCGTTGATAACAAAACGTAATCAAAAAGTAAAAGGTGATTTTTTGAATAATTAACGTTGTATCAATGAATACATACTTTGCAAAAAAGAGTTGAGCAAGAGTACAAAAATCTGAACCGACTAGCGATGGATGCATGTTTATTGACAAGAAATCACTCCATATCTTTTTTCACTAGAGAGAATAATAACAAACAAAACAACAGTCAGATTACTCGTTTTTCATGCTTTCGATTCATATATAAAAGTTCGAAAAAGACCTTCTCGGTTCGAAAATATAATTATCCAAAATTGGCTGATATTGTAACTAGATAAAACTGCTCGTATCTCGCTTCACAGAGAAGCTACGAAAAAAGAGACGGTCTACGTCGATTCCTCGCGTTCTTAGCTATCGAATGGTATAAAAGGTGTTGGCGCACAAAGCTTTCCCAGTCCAAAAAAGTCTTGCTCCGGCAAACCATAGAAAGCCGGAGCGGGGTGGAGCAAGTTACTATTGAATATCTCCACCTCATTTTTGAGAAAGCACAAGTTTTTTTACCCCACAACCTGTATAACATCAGAAAGCCCACAAAAAAAGGATTCGACGTAGACCGTCTCTTTTTCTCTAGCTCCCCTCTACTTAGAGTTACACGGGATTTTACCCAAAAAGATGTGTGTTTTTGTCGAGAGATTTCTGCGTGAAGAATGGATAAAGGTGCCTGATTTTCTAATTGCGTCACAGAGCAAGACCTTGCCAGTAAACGTAGACCGTCTCTTTTTTTAAATCTTTGTTCTTTCTTTCAAAAATAAATTACAAATTAATTACACAAAATCAGCTGGTGAGTAGGCGTATAAAATCGCTCGTATCTCGCTCTACAGAGAAGCTATGAAAAAAGAGACAGTCTACGTCGATTCTCCATAATCTCAGCTTTCGAACGGTGTAAAGCATGTTAAGGCTTTTTTGCTTCCCGGCTCTAAAAAGCACTTGCTTTGGTGACCGATAAAAGCCAATACATTGGGGGAGCTAAGTGGAGCCAGCTTATAGTAAATACCTCCACACCATTTCTAAAAACTGTCAGGTTTTTTCGCTCAGCCATCTATATACCATTCGAAAGCCCAGGAAAAGGGGACTCGACGTAGACCGTCGAATTCTTTCTAGCCGCTTTTTACCGAGAGATACACTGCATTTTACCTGAAATCATGTTCATTTTCGACAGCAAATTTCTGCCAAACGAAGACCTAATCTGCTGGTTATCTATCTGCGTTACAGAGCAAGTCTTCATTAGCAGACGTAGACCGTCGACTTTCTCGTAGTATTCTTTTGGAGAACAGAAAGAGGAAAATTAGTTGACACATGAAGTACATAAAATCCCTCATATCTCGAGGCACAAAAGACTTAGAAAAAAGCCGACGTTCTATGTCGATTCTATATGACCTCAGTTTTCGAATGGTAAGTAACTTGTTGGGGCATTTTGCTCTCAGGGCTCACTTACCCCCTTCACCTTACAAGGATGGGAGTAGCAGAGACCCCCTTCACCTGGAGAGGGCCCGGCTCCCCCTATCGCACCTATGCTGGGCACTATACTACAGAACCTGTGCTTTGCAGCCTCTCAGTCTTTTCCTGGCCTTAGTTAAGAATTTTCAAACTACCTTGCTCATGCACGTTTTTGACGTCGTTCTGGACGGCGCTAAGCGGTTTTTTTCGCAGGAAAAACTGTGGAAGAGGTAAGAACTGAGCTTCTTAGTCGAAAACATTTTTTGTAGTTCAAGAATGTCATTTTGTTCTCCGTGTAAAAATTTTTGTCGCATACGGGAATCGAATTTGCTGGCCTGAAGTATGCCTGAAAATTCAAAAGTAAACTTGCAGAATCTCAAACATTATTGAAGGTGTGTGTATGTGCTGGAGATGCTGGGCGCACCCATTGGCCTAGAAATTCTGCTTCCGAAACCTCACTGAAGTTCTCACGCAGGTGTTTTTTGAGATTGACATTCGTTTATGCAGGTTACCGCGAGAAATGTGGGCAGGGGAGGTAAGGGGGATAGATGGGGGAGGGGAAGGGAGGGGGGAGGGGGAGGGGTCGTACGGATGGGTACCTTCATGGGGGGGGGGGGGTCGTAAATGAGGGTCCAGGATCGCATCAACACGCTTGACCCTGGTGCTAATTAGATTTTCCGCTTGTATAGTGTGCTCGCGGTGCCGAAAAAATGCGCTAAAATTTGCGCGTGAACAAATAGCCATACCAGTAATGGCGGCAGTACACTATATTGTAAAATCTACTGAACAATATCATATTTGATTTTTCCCTCTCCTATCCCTTGTCGCCACATGCATTTTACTTGTAAATGCTTGATTTGCTCAAGCTTATTTCGGTCAACATTGTAAGCGAGCAAAGACATTTGAGACACTATTTTGTATGCGTCGCTATGTATCAAGCAGGACTCGGGCAGGCGCTATAATTGATCCACTTGATCCGCTTGATTCACTTCGCTATTGGTGAAATCAGTGAACTGACCGATAGCGAGTAACGAGTGGATCAAGCTGATCAAGTATTCCGCGTGCCCTGGTAAGGAAATTGAAATAGGAGAGTTTTGTTTTCAAAAGCTAGAAACCTTGCCTTGTGCCGTGCCCTAAACGCTTATATGAGATTATTTTGAAAGTCGTGCCTTCGCAAAGTTTCAGCCGCCTCTGCGGTCACCGCAGACAGAGTCAATCTGTTCGATGAAAATCTGTCCCAATCGGGATCAGGCCGCACCGTTGGCTTGAATTTGTGCGCTCGCAGCGCTAGAGGTTTGCGCTGCATATATGCGCTGTCGGAGAGAGCGGAGATTGCATAGAGAACAGACAAGCTATTATTCCAGGAATACACAACCCAGAATGAAAAATCTTGGATTTCGCTAAAATCTTGTATGGGGGTTATTTGACGTGCTAATCACGAGAATGATATTTATTTCGCATGGCACCGCCTTTTTGTGGGGCTATGCTAAGCATACGTTATCAGGTCAGAATCTCAGATATTGCTGAAACTTTGCACAGAGGGGTTATCCTACATGCTAATCACAGTTGTCACACTTTTTCCGCACGAAAACGTCTCCCTGTATCGAGCAAAAGGGTTATTCAGCACGCCGTGCAATAATATCATATCAAATTCGCAAGATAGCGCCATTTTTTTGGGGTTACGACGGGTTTACGTTAGTTGCGTCAAAGTCCCAAATTTGCTCAAATCACCCTGAAGGGGTTTCAAGCGTGCTGATACGAATATCATGCTTGCTCATTGCAATGACGACTTATTGTGAAGTTACGGTAATCTGCAGCGTACAAATAAGCACCATTTCTGCTTCCAGGCCATTTTACAGCCCCAGAAATCCGCGAAATGGCCTTAGCATGCGAAATGAGCGCGATTCGTGATCAGCATATCAGATAACCCTTCTGCACTTACTTTCAGGCAGATCTACGACTTTGACCCATTACCGTTCTACCGCAACACCACAGAAAGGTCCCAAAATGCATGTAGACTGCAGTGTTGATAATCATCATGTCGAATAACCCTTCTCGCTCAGATTCCAGCCAAATCTACGATTTTGACCCCTACTGTGCATCTACCGTAACCATACAGCGAGACGTTTTCATGCGGAAATAGTGTGATAATCGTAATCCGCATGTCGATTAAGTTTTCTGCGCAAAGTTTCAGCAAGATGTGAGATTCTGACCCCATAGTATGCCTATCTAATCCCCGTACCGAGGGGGGGGGGGGGGCGCGCCCCCCCCCCCCCCGAGAATGGGTCGCGAAATTTTTGAAAGTTACTTGAATGTGTTATAAAAGTGTGCAAATGACTTGTCTTTACTTGTAATTAATTTTTAAAAATTTTCAAAAATACAAATTAGTCTTGTGAAAAAATGGCTGACGCCACGCCCATTTTTCCAGATTTTAGGGGTTGGAGACCCGCAAAAATTTCTAGAAGCACCCCAGAAAATTTTTCGGAATGCATGGCTCACGCCACGCACCTTCATTAAAAAATTTTTTTGGCGCGCCCCCTCCCCCCGAGCCGAAATCCTGGGTACGCCACTGCTATGTACAAAGTTTCAGCGAAATCCAAGGTTTTTCATTTTTGGGTTGTGTATTCTGGATAAGCGCATTTTGTCCCTTACCTTACCCCGTAACTCCAGCATTTGTCGCTACTGTTCTTGAAGGCAGTGTCCGGGCAAAAAGTCGATTGTGAGGTTTTATGCTTACCCGGGCCTACACTATGCTGAATCCGAAAATCCACATTGGAAAGCGCAAAAACGGCAAAAAGGGGCTCTAACGCAGGAGGGAAATCGAAAGTGGGCGGGTCCTCCCCAATGTGATTTTCGCAGTCTTAGCTTCTGGAGCGATCTTCCTAATTTCTTTAGCGCCCTGAGATCTCCACCGGCCAGGTGCGAGTGCATGACTTGAAATCGGAACCGAGAAGATCGCTCTGGAAGCTGGGAGCGTGAATTCACAATAGGGAGGACCCCGCCCACCTGCTGATTTCCCTCCCGTGTTAGAGCCGTTTTTCGCCGTTTTTGCTCTCTCCAATGTGCATTTTCGGATTCAGCATAGCGAACAGGCCCGGGCAAGCAAAAATCTCATGATCGAGTTTTTGCCCGAACACTGGTAAATGTGATATCCGTGGTTAACATGCTAAACGAATAACCAAATAATCGAGTAAATTGGAAATTGAGAAATTTCGAATAAGCGAATATCGAATATATTCGAGGTTTTGAGATTCTTGATCGAATTTCGAACGATTTTTATTCGAATACTACTCGAATACTCGAATAATCATTCGATTCGGTCCATAGTATACTGCCGACGGCTTCTGGCGGCGGCTAGCGGCGGCTGCCGGCGCGCTAAGGCGCCCTCAGGGTTCGAAACTCAAGGTTTCTTGAACGGCTTCTGGTTGGTGAAGAGATCTTCTTGTGCTTTCAATTGAGCTTTTCAAACCACAAGTGAGTGTTCTGGATGCCGTTCATCATTTCTTGTATTTTTGCCAGCCATTTCCACTGTGTTTCAACTTCGTTTTCGTAATCTTGACATCTTACAGTGAGTTGTATTGAATGGAACCGGATGGGAATGAGAATGACCTGGATGTGGTTGAAGATTTCGCAGAGAATTTCGCCGAGTGTAAAAATTCAGGTGAAGACAATACCCCTTTCTTACAAGGATTACCTAGGGCCTGCTCAATGGAGTCACTTGATGTGGTCTACAACTTGTTGACTCAAATGTGATCAGCATCTTGCAGGTATCGGTAGTTCCCTGGGCGCAAGATACAGCAGAAATAAGAAGTTGCCAGAACACACGGCCCTCGATTGGTCTGTACACATAGAGTAAGTTAGCCTCGCGGGGCTTCTGCTAACGCTTCTTCGCAGTGGAAATTCAGGGAGAATGAAATCCAGATGTACGGAATCTTCTGCGGTTTCAATGGTGGGGCTGATGTAGCGAGATTCGTCATGAATAGAATGGTTTATGAAATTTTCAAAGGAGAACATCCAATAACAAAGACAATGAGTGTCGAAGAAGTGGGTCAACTCGAAAAGATTGCTGGTATAGTGCCAAATTCGCTGTTGAACCTAGACATGTTGTGTCAGTGATAGACTGTACGGGAGCAACTAAACATGAAAAGCCGTGACGTTTCGTTCATATGAAATTTAGGTAAAAGGCGCCCTGCATGACAAGTTTCAAAAGGTGGATGTTAGCTATCTGCAAACCAGGGAAGACGATCTCACAAAAAGATTTTTTCTCATGGAAGATCCGGAGAAGAACGAAATCAAAAATTCGCAGATTTCAGCACTAAATGCAAAGGTATTGTAGCTGATAGCGAAAATAATCAATAAGTTTTTGTTAGCCGATGCTACCACTAATTTCAGATACGTAAAGGGACCACAGCCTTCGTGGTGTTAAGACTGGATCGCCATCTGTATGTGCTCAACTGCGGTACTTCGTTGTGAGTTTAGAGCTCGTCGTGACTGTGCAGGGTATGCGGCGGGCGCTTGACCGGCACTGATAAGGGCGTTTCTTGCACAATTTTCGAAAATCTGGAGGGACAGCATCCACACAGCGGCATGGCTTCTACTACCACTCCCTCACCGTTACAGGCCGTGCACAGTTGCCTTATCGCGGTGTCGTAAAAGTTGAAGGGAAGGGAAATACCGGATAAAAACCCCTTTTAGTCTTTCGTTCTGATTTTTTCAAAATCGAACTAGATTAAATAACTACCTATAATAACTGCAGAACAGAACCAAGAATTTTTTGAGCTTTTTTGTAAAGCAGCTCAAGTTTTCGGATTTTCAGACAACTATGCCCTGCTTTCCGAAAATCTAAAATTTCTCAGGTGCTTCTCAAACTTTAAAAGTACATACGTACAGGGTGCGCCGAAAGCATTTGCGTCAACTTTGCATGAGTGCTGCAAAAAAAACTATTTAAAGTTTTGATTTCAAAATTCATGTGGTAGAATGCTGCAATCATCCTCTACAAAATAACGTTTTAGGAGCTGCCATACCTTTGTGCAAATAATGAAATTGTCGTACTACTACTTTTGAAAGGTGCAAAAACCTAATTTTTCGGAATTTTTGATTCATTCCGTAACTGGAGATTCTTAAGACATTTTCAAGGGGTTTTATGTCCACAGTGTAGAAAGGCTTCGCGCTATCGAATCGTACTTGCGTCCGCCAACAATTATTCTACCAAAAATGGCAACAAGAAGTACGCAAATGCCACCCGCGTGTCAGTGGCCGTTTTGTTTTGAAATCACATTTGTAAGCTATAGAAACGTGCCTGTCACCGGATTCAATGCTATAATGCTTTCACAAAGCTTCTAGATAAATATTCAGTTTTTTCCCACTGATGAAATTGAACTCCAACCTGATTTGGAGTCAATTTCTGCTTTTTTTTTTCGCTCATTCGCACTCCTGTGCGGTTTTTGAGCATGTAGCAAACACATGACTTTGTTTAAACGCCGATAATTTTCTTGTCAGACCATCCTAGATTTTGCGCTTATAGTACATGGCAGCCGAAAACTTGCTTTATCATGTGGTGTGTTCGGTGCATCACAGGAGCATTTTTCTATGAAGAAGCAGAAGTTTCTCTGAAAAAATACATGCGTGTTGCGCGCAACTTAATCAATAAGATATTTTGTAAATTTTCTCAAGCCGCACTTAGAAATTCCAATTCATGCTATAGCCTCTTAATGATAAAACGTTACCAAAACAAAATAGCTTTTTGCCTATCGCTGATCTCGTGTCTTGCACGAGTTTTGCGTTGCAGAATACACGCGCAAATAATTCTGGCGCACCCTGTACAGTTGATGCGTCGGCCAGATCAAATCCTTCATCTCAGTGTTCAAAAGACCTAGATAAACCCGACGATTTGAGTCGAATCCCCATATCCTAAGGCCTCGGGCATACCTCACGCGATTTCAATCGCCACGCGATTTGGCAATACTCCAAATGTTCATAACTCATCCTACGGGGTTTCTGAATGTACGGAAGAGGGGGCATTTTATCAACCTACGAAAGTTATACATGCTGTGCATTTGTGGTCTTCCAGTATTGAATTTGAAGACATATGGCAAATTGCTAGATCGCGTGGCGACTGAGATCGCGTGAGGTATGTCCCTTGCCTAAGCTTTCCAATCGTATATATAAAGCTGAATGTCTGTTCGGTACTGTATGTATGTGTACGTATGTTCCGTATACGAATTTTCATTTCTGAACCGATCCGGCACCAAACTTTGTTCACTACACTTCGGGGCGGGGCGAGTGTCATAGGCTATTTTCGTTATCGATCCATATCGCTTTTGTTGATTTTTATTGTTATTATTGTATTGTTGTTTTTATCGTTGTTATTATTCATTCTAAGTTCGACATAGGGCTGGGAGTTGGTACCGGGGTAAATGAGCATACTGATTACGAGTAGAATGTTAGTTTTCAAAATTATCGGTTAATTTCATCGTTTATCAATTTGTTTTTGCAACGTTCGAGCTACGGCACTGGGAGTTCGCACAGGGGGATAAGTGAGCATGCTGACTGCGAAAATAAAACCGGAATAGGGAATTGGCATGTAGAAGTGGGCACAGGGAAATGTTGTATAGGTCGTTTATAAAATTGTTACGATGGATTTGACTGTCGTCTTTTCGCCCACATGAGCAGAAACCATTCATACAAAAAGGCATCACCTCAACTCTTAGCTTCACTCCCAAGGTCTAAATTCTGTCATATGTAAGTAGTAAAACCAGTCGTGAGGAAACGAGAACCAAGAAAACACGGTTGCCGGGAGGGGCGAGCGCGTGGCGCGCGGCGCGCCATCCTCACCATTTTTCAAATGCCCTATACAGGAATAGGGATGAGGGCTGGGCGGAGGCCGGTATGACAGCTGGTTATACATAAAGCTGCACGCACCGCTTAAACTACTGTAGGCTTGTTACCTTTGTCGCGTGAACTTCTGTTTCTGTCCCATAACATAGATTATGATTAAATTGAGATGAAGATTCGATGAAAGCTTATATCTATACAACCAGATAAGATCAATAAACTCCTGATAGATTGTCGAGCTGGTAAACCCATGTAACATTTTGCAAGTCCAAAAGCATAATACACACGAGGCAGAATCCATTATAAATCATGGGGAAGGTCGACAGTGTAATTTTTTCGACGCGATCTCGTTCACCCTTCCTTTGATGAATTTCGACCCATATGGTATGACAAAAGCACAGAATGATCTTGTTAACGAGAAAGTACTAGGCATGATGAAATTACAGCGGTTTGGCTGTTCGATCTGACCGTTCTATTGTGCGACTGAATCCACGCGTTCATGACAACGAAGATCGTGGGGAGTACGAAAGACTGGAGAAGCTGAACATCGATCCTGGGGTACCAAATTAAATTTGTCGATTTTGTAATTCCATTAGTGACCCTTACGCAGACGGTTTTTCGACCTACCCGCGCCCTGGGCGACTACTTCCGGCGAGACCTCTATGAAGAACTGGAGGAGTTCGCAAATGCCAAGGGTAGTCCTGTAATCTCCGATCCCGATGTCTATGATCACGAGGTTTGTCAAATTCAGTGCTGGCTCGTGTTTCATCTGTATTTATTTAGATAGACGAGTCTTGGAAATATCTTATACTGTTGTCAGACGGTGTGCTACAAAATCTCAAGGACTGCGGTGTAGAAGACTTTACAGCGTATGGGATAAATATTTGTAGTACTTACATATTGAAGTTTACGTTTAGTGAGGTGGCAGAAAGGCTAAAGGTGCAAACCAATGTTCGAAGTACAGCACAAGCTCTTGTGGATGAATTTAGCAGGAAGCACTACTCAGCTTATTGTCGAGTACGTCCTACTCCGGCTTCGTGTTTATCATGTATATATACTAGCTACTTCTTACATACTTGGAATCATAGCAGTGGGCCTCTTCCCTGTATGCTTTGTGTTTCAGAGCGGTGACCAGGGAAGCAACCGATGTGAAGAAATGACCGTTATCTTCGTGCAGTTATGGGATACGAACAAGCTTGTTGATATGTCGTGTGGCTCTTTCACCGACTCTTTGGATGCGACAAACTCGTTATTGACCGGACCACTTGCTCCATATGTAGATATAACGGAAATAAGTCCTGAGATTCGAGCAGAACTTGAGCGCTTATGTCCCGAGATTCCATCAAAACCTGAGCCTTTATCGAGTCCTTAAGGGCCGTTTTAGTTGTAGTCGTGTAAAGACTCTATTCTCAGATCCTGTTAATTTTGCTCTAGTCGTACCTCCTGTTAGTACAAGATACCTACCTGGAGGTTTCTCATTTCACTCCAAGACGGGGAAGACTTTTGGAAGATACAAATGTAGCTTAGAAATAACCGACAAATATTGTGTCTGTTACACAACTCCAGCATTTGCTACAGATCCAAGAGAGTTGTTACTGATTGTTTTCTACTTAACAAAGCGAAGCTTTCAGCAATGCTCCTCGGCAGATCTTTGTACAAAACTAAAGATGTCTATTTCGGCACTTACTTTACTCAGCGGTTTGATTTCTAATTCTGGGATCTGTCACAAGATTTACGATAACTGGTGTCTACTTAATGATTGTATGCAATTGTAATAAACTGTGAATGGTTACTTAGACACACTCTTGGTCTTCTCACAGTGCTCATGTTGTCGACTTTTCTTTGATTAGACACATTTTTCCCTTATACTGTAGTCGTACACCGATTTCCGGTGTGTGCATGCGCTGGCGCTCCTATTTATCTAAAATGCTGAGACATTTCATAGAAAGTAAGGTAAAATGCGGCAATTCAATAGGTACATTTGAATCTAGCTGGTACTGTATAACTTGTGTAATACTTTAGTATTTGAGATTTTCCCGAATACTCGAGACGTATATATTCATAACTGAGAAAAGTCGATTCATTCCCAGATCGATTATTCAAGATGAAAAAAAGTCGCATAATCGAGTATCGAACATTTATCAATATGAATAATCTCGATTAATAGGATATGTATTTCTAAATTGTGGAGATTTCGAGTAATCGAATATATGAGATTGTCCCGAAATGTCGGGTTTTTTGATAGGTCACCAAAGCTCACAGTGGACCGACGAATGAATCAAGTATCATTGAACTCAAAATTTTTATCCTCTTTCTGGAAGCTATATTTTCTCACTCATCCATGAGGTCCTTGCAATGCTATCGTCATATCTCTTCATGTAAGCTTACTATGAAGACAGAATTCTACCATCTATGTATTTTATCCTGAAAATTTTGAAGAGCAGTGGTTTTGTAAACCTTTGATTACTTTTTTGTCTTCTTAGCTCACCTAGTTGATGTACAAGTCTCTAAGAATTGTTGATTTGAGGAAAACCCCATCTTTTCAAACACTTGTAGCGCGAAAGCGTACCGAAAGTGCTAAAAGCTAGAAAGCTAGTTCTTCGAAGCAAATCATACTTGATTATCTTGCGCAATTGATTCATTAAAAATTTGATTCGCAGAAAATTGTAAACTTCAGTGTCTTTGCTACAGTTTTGTATTCCATGATTTCAGCAAAAATTGAGATATCCAAACAAATAATTTTGTAGAGCTCCTCGCATCAAAGGAGAAGGAGCTCTATCGCATTTTCCAAAATTTGCTCTATTTGCCCATTACCTAGTTTTTTCGGGAAGAGCCAAACAAAACTATAAAATAACCCGAACTTCGAACAGATAGAAATGACAGGCTGAGGATTTTGGTGATTTATCTGAGAGCGTTCGGAAGATCATGTTACGTGAACATATTTCCAAAAAGAGAAGACAAAGCTGCATCGAATGCATATTTGAAAGGTTTAGATCATTGTTCGGGTTTATACTCGTACAAAAAATCCGGCAAAACTTCCGGAACAACCTAAAAGTTGAGCAAAAAACTTGAAATAATCGAATATTTTGTATGGACCATGTCGAATAATCAAAAAAGTCAAAATGGCATTATGAAGGTCCATGCAGTCTGAAAACTTAGGTTGACAAACGATATTTACTGATTAGCAGTCAAGATGTGGTGTATAATTTTGGACTAAGTGGCAAATCCGATTCTGCTCGGTCCTTGTCCGAATATCACGATGAAACTTACCACTTTGAAGCATTGCACACACAGTTCTATATCCAATGGTAAGGGAAATTCAGCAACTACAATGGGCTCAATACGCCTACACCAACATCCACATTTGCTCATTGCAAATATTCGTGTTTGACTGAATATACACATACATTATAGTTGGAACCGATTATTCGTATTCGAATAATTTATTCGAAATATTCGACTATTCGTACACGAGCAGCCGAAATATTCGAGGAAGTCCGATCATTCGATTATTCGAAGTAGTCGAAGAATGAAAAAGGGCTTTGCTCGAATAATTCGTTCTTTTAATGTTTTAGAAAAGTAACTTATTCCTACTCGAATATTCGAGGAACTTTAAAAGACGGTTATTCGAATACTCGATTATTCGAGAAGTTTTGAAAACCTTTGTTCGAATCTTATACAGGATGTCCGTAAAAAATGTGCCTACTGTTTGATTGTGAATAACTCTCTTCTAACGAAGTCTTTCGAGAAGATTTAGGCACCATTTTGTAAAGCTGGCTTCAACTTAGATTTACAGTATAGAGCGAATCGCCGATCTCTCATTCTTACTGTAGGATTACGGTAGAAACTTTAAACATATGGCGTCAATGTGAAAAAAGCTGCCATTTTAAAATTTTTCAAAAAAATGTGAAGACTTGTGCAATAAGGTTTTCATGGACGCTGAGTTCAATTTTCAACTAGTCACAAGATTGCGAAACTTTTTAAACGGTGTAACCGCGCTTTTTAGCGACATTGAAAAAATGGCAGCTACCTCTTACCTGGCATAAATCTTCAATGAAGCATCATTATAAGTTGGGAATTTCACAGTTAGAATCGGCAACTCTAATTAGCCTAGTGTAAAAGTTTTCAGGCTGTTTTGTTTCTTTTTTGAGGCAAAATATGGCCTTTTACGGCTCAAAACCCCTTTTTGAAGTTTCCACCGTAATCCTACAGTAAGAATGAGAGATCGGCGATTCGCTCTATACTGTAAATCTAAGTTGAAGCCAGCTCTACAAAATGGTGCCTAAAGCTTCTCGAAAGACTTCGTTAGAAGAGAGTTATTCACAATCAAACAGTAGGCACATTTTTTCACACCCTGTATATAAAGCTGAATGTCTGTCTGTATGTCTGTATGTCTGTCTGTACGTATGTGCGGAATAGAAATTTTTATTTCTGAACCGATCGGGACCAAACTTGGCACACATACACTTCGGGCCCCGACGGGTGTCATAGGCTACTTTTCGTTATCGATCGATATCGATTTTATCGATTTTTTGCAAAATTTGAGCTACAGGGCTGGGAGTTGGCACAGGGGGGTAATGAGCATGCTGATTACAAATATATTATTGACAGGCCCGGGCGGAGCCGGGTATGCCAACTAGTATCTGAATATTCGACTAGTGCATGCGAATATTCGAATATTGCATCCGACTATTCGATGGTATCCACTTATTCGTTTATTCGAATAGTCGAATATTCGATCACGTTCGGTTACTCGAATATTCGAAAACTCGATTTTCGGATGCCCAGATTCGATTATTCGAATCCCAATAAAAATCGGAAATCGAATAATATTCGTTCATTCGAAAAATTTTCAAAATCAGTTATTGATATCCATTCGTTCGACAATTTTCAAAAATCAATAATTCATTCGTTCATTCGATGAAAACCCGTTCGCTACAGCTATAACATACATGTCTTTGTTGATTAGATTCGTACATGCTCAGCATTGGTGAGAAAGAAGCCAATGCTCACACGTTGCCCAAAGTCTGCAGCATTCCTCCTCTCACATTCAAATCTTGAGTTTGTGAATCTCATCATCATTCGGCGGTTTACTTGCAAAAGAATTTCAGCACCTTGAAATAGCGAATACTGACACCGACTATCGCCTTGAAAGTGTCCATTTGATTGAAGGGGTAAATGATTACGTTGATTGTGATGTGTTACACCAGTAGCTGAGAAGATCAGCTTGAGCCCACTACACACAGCACTTTTCTCGCATCATATCACAGAAAGGCGGAACAACAGCTGGTGTGAGTCCAGCAATATGTCCGCAGGCTAACCGTCCTCCGCACCACACGCCTCATTTATTTTATTCGCAGCTGGACTTATTATTTTAGCTAACCGCAGACTCTTAACTATTATCTCTTGATAGGTACGGCTTATGTTTTCCCAATTTCGCAGATTTTCACAATTCACCAGCTATTTATTGTGGAGAAGGCAAAAGTGGTCGTGAGACATGTGTTTCGGATCAAGTTGCGTTGCGTTACACTTAATGCTACGACGCAACAACTCTGCTTGTTGATTTATATATTTTCATTCTTCTGTGCGATTTGTGATCCAAAATTCCCTACAGCTGTCTCTCTTGTCTGTGGTCATTCGAATAGCTGACAAATCACAACACTTCAGAGTATTAGATGCTCTTTTCGTGAAATGAATGAAAGATGTCGATTCTCGTAAACCAACACGTTTGCAGCTCACTAATACTAATTGATCAAAAAAATGTGGAAACTTTCGAGAGCGCGGACACGAAGTGCCGTTTTTTCCTGCGACGCGAGTGCAGTGTTTGAAATGCAAGTGAAATTCTTAACATCTTACTAAACTCTGGTTTATCTCTCACGATATGCCGCTTCAATAATTTTGCAAAATATGTTTTCACACTCGTTAAGACTGCTAAGCACGAAATATTTCTTTCTATGCATCATTTAAAATGGTATGTGTAGAAAGCCATAGAAGTAATTTGAACTGTTTGTAGTGAAGGCATTCAAGATCTCAGCAATCTTCGAAGCATTACTTTCCACAAAGCTATTCTTGCATGTTGTATGACGGGTTCCTTTGCCGATTTTTATTCACGGAGAGCAGAAAGTTGCTTTAACTTTTGCTTCATATCTCAACTGTGAAGTAATGACGAAAGCAAAACATTGTTATGTTAGAGAGAACGTATCAATAGTGCAATCGCGCAGTTTCGAGACCGTCAGCATAGAAAATGCTTCAAAATTCCACAAATCTGAACTCTTCAAGGGTATTGGTGTATTCCTCAGAGTAGGATTCGTTATGTGAAAGGTACGTGTCCTGTTCCTCAAACCATGATTTTCACAACAATAAAAACGAATGCGCTCCTCTCGTTTAACATTTTTAGCGATAACGAACTCTCTAGATAATGGCATATTATAGTATCCCAAGGATTAGTCAATTTTTTGTTGCACGTTAAACTACCCATCAACATACTGCGTCAGGCTGTTCATTTTGCAAAGCTCCTACTTTTATGTGACGAGAAGAAGTGATAGCCTTTCAAACGATCTTTGAAACCACCTGTTCGACATACTTTCAGCGAGAAAATCTTTTTTGTTGATCAGCAGTTTAGTTTTACCTTGTGATGTGCTACAAATATAATGACTATGGTGACCTCTGTCAGCATAAATAACTGTTGTAGTGGCAAATTGTTTGAAAAGTGAGTATCACGCATTTAGAACTGTTCATTACACTATTTTCAAGTGTATAAGCCGTACTTTTCAAATTTTGTCACGAGCTGCTCAGCAGCTTCAGTGTATTTCGAGAAGCAATCCTTATGCCGCACGATTCTTTCAGGCAATACGCAACACGGTGTAGGGTTGGTTGCGAGGTCCTTTGATGTGTTTGGGCTTTTCGATGTAAGCTAGGACTACCCCGCTGCTTATACACCTGAAAATAGGTAATTCCTTCTCACCTTCGCCGCGAACCCGAGGCCGATCGAGCCGGCTAAGTCTTGTTCACCCGCCGTTCATCTAGTCAGCTGCAAAATCCTGCTTTCAAGAACTAGAAGTTGGAACATCTGTGCGTAGATTTCTCACGAAGCGTTCACTCGAAGAGTGTCCAGGAAAACTGAGTACCTGATTTTTATCGAAACTGACAAATGTCCAAGCGGCAGCTCTTACGCTTCAATAGAGGAGGAGCAGTACTCACTTCTCCCAAATCTTTTCGAGTCCATCACCTCAATTACGGTACAGCGCTACCGCTTGAAGGGTGCAGCTGCGCGCAAGCTTTCAATCTCTCCTTTGCCAGGAATCATACTGGCTGCTTTAGGGATGACCTCAGTCATTCTGCACATAAGACTAGTTTTACCTAGATATGTTGTCACTGCCTCTAAGAGTGTATAATCTTAAGCGATCCAACCACAATCAAAACTGTAAAAAGCAGCTGTAGAAAAATGCTTGAGGATTTGCTGCTAATGACTACTACTGATTTCAATGCAGTGAAAGTTACTGGGACTGACGTACACTGAGGTCTCAATATGACTTTTCTGGCTTTCCTACACCAACTTCTATCACTAATGCAGGGGAGGTTTCAGAAACCGTGACTTGAGCAACAATTATTTTACCTGAGCTCTTGCATTTTGCTCTGCAGATCCCATCATCGAAGTAATGATATGATCTAAAACGATTAACAAAACTTCTGAGGGTGTTAACACGTTTCGGACCGGTGCTGCACATGGTGCAGCACGCTGCTTTGAAGTATCTTTTTGACGTTTACAGAAGGTTTTCTTTTAGTCCAAGGTTATCAAGTCAAAGGCCTAAGCTCCTACTTTTTAAATGACTCTGTAGAGCTGTGCCGCCCGTATTTGTTTAGGAGATATGAGGACAAATTGAACAACAGTTGGAACAAAGCGCGGCAACGCGAACGACGCGTGCGACGTCGCAACTTTTCTTTGCTTCGATTTCAAAGAGGAAAACCGTAATTTCAATAATGATTTGTACATATACAACATAGATACTTTTAATTACTATTAGAATCTGAGTTCTTGTTTTCATCTTTCAAAAAAGCACGGAAGTCCCTCTCAAGCGAAAAATTTCAAACACTCCGAATTCACTCGGAATTTTGAGTATGAGGCTTATCTGACATGCTGATTACAGATGTAGCCCACAGTCTGCGAAATAAGGTTCCTTTGTGGGCTAACGCTGAAAGTACACTCTTTTTCGCCGCGCGCGATTTCGCGGTCCGAAACGTGTTATAGTCGTCCTCACCCCACTAGTCGGTCGGTGGACGAAGTCGAATTCGAACTGGAGCAGGTAGGTCGCGGCAGAGCAGGCACCTTAGCTCTCCGTTCAAATTCACGCATTCACTTTGCGTATGTCTTCGCCATTGCTTAGCAGTTTTTGTATTGTTACAACGTTTTTGACCTATATTGAGTTTTTGTAATTGCTGAGCGTTGTCTCCTGCCGCGCTCTGCCGTGACAGGCCTGCTCCAATTCAAATTTGAATTCGTCCACCGACCGACTAGTGGGGTGAGGGCGACTATAAATCTGGATGCTACGTCAGAAAATAAGGGTGAATTTTTAGTTTACAGCTACAAGCTAATGGTGTGTAAGGGTAACCTGAGCCTCTCTCGTCTCCTCTCCCAAAATATATAGTCTACTAGCGGACAAAGGCGCAAATGTACTTACTTAGATGGCCCGGCTTCACGTGACGTGCGGGTCCCAGCACAGAAGTTTCCATTTGTCCTTGTCCCTCGCTTCAGACATCCACGATCTTCTTGGTGTCGTCGGTGGCTGTGTGCAGGTGATCCAAAGGCGAAAATCGTATCCAGTTGATTTCTAAGCTGATCCATTCGTTCCACGAACACGTCCGTCCATCTCGTAGGAGGTCTTCCTCGAGGACGTTTCGCTTCGCAGGAAGACCTGTGATCCACTCCGATGTTCTTAGTGTCCATCTGTCGTCTGCTTCTCCTAATGCGGCCGGCCCATCGATGCTTCGCTTTCTCAACCTATTCCGCTGGGTCAAGAAGACCGGACATTCTTCTAATATCCGTACTGCAGAGTCCGACAAGATGTGTTTGTGTCGGGTCATCTTCAGAAGATTGTGCTCTAGCGCCGTGTGAGTGGTCCTTGGAGCTTTCGACGTGGCTACACTGTCGGCCCAAGTCTCAGCTTCGTAACAGAGCAACGGGAACGGTTTAGTCGAACAGGTGGGCACGAAGCTCCGGGTCAGTTGGTCAGTGACTTCCTTCAGAGGCCCGAAGGCGGCCTAGACTGCTCTTCTTCTTCTGTTAAGTTCTTCCGTCAAGTCGTTCTCCATGTTCATCGAACGTCGGAGGTACACGTAAGAAGACGTCTCCATGATAGGGGTGCCTTTCAGTTCCATTTCTGCATCTTCGTAGGGCGTTCTTCGTGAACTGAGTCTTCTTCCGATTTATTCGCAATCCGATCTCCTTTCCTACTTCGTTCAGTTCCTTCAGCATCATCTTTGCTTCAGTGATACTGTTCGAAAAGAGAACGATGCCCTCAAGACGAAGGTTCTACAGGAATCTCCCATCAATTCGTATGTCTCTCTCGTCCCAGTCCACTGACTTCATTACCCACTGCAAGGCCGCGGTGAACAGCTTCGGCGAGATTGTGTCTTATCGGACCTCCTTTCCGATTCGGATGGTCAGGGGGCGACGGAACAGCTGCATCGTCATTGTACAGTCCTTGTAGCAGTAGGCTAACGTCCTTACGTAGGCTGAGTTTACTCCTTGATCGACTAGCGCTGACAGGATGGCATTGGTTTCGACGCTGTCGAAGGCTTTCTCGTAGTCGGCAGAGGCAATCGGTAACTTCTGGATGTTGTCCATGCAGCTGAATCCATTGCGAAATCAGCTTGCTCTTGGGGTTGGGCTTCATCCAGTGTCCTAGATATGTGAGCGAGGATAACTTTGTGAAAAGTTTGCACTGACACTCAGCAGGCATTTTGGGCATAGTTCCGAAGATCTTTCCGTCTACTCTTTTTGAAAAAGAACGGTTCGTGACGTTCTCCACTGGTCGGGAATCCTCTCCTTCTGAAGGTAAGAGTCAGGTGCGGCGCGAGAATCTCCTGTAGACGTTGTCCTTCGGCTCGCAGAAATTCGACGGAAAGGTGGTCTGGTCCTGGAGCCGTAGACGTCTTCATGGTCTGAATCGCTGTGCGCACTTCAGCAGGTGGAATTTGTAGTGGTACTTCTCCAGTGGGAACAACGTGCATCGGCACGGGTGTTGATGAGCGGAAGAGGTTGATATAGAAGTTCTTCTCGATAGATTCCATCTTGTATCGGGAAGAAATCAGGGTCCCGTCTTCGTTTGGTATTGCAGCCAGCGGCACGTGATATTCACAGAGGTCCCTTACACTTTTTGAAACTTCGTCTTCCTTCGGTTGCTTCCAGTAACTTGGCTTGCCTGTGCTTCTCGAGATCCTCCTGCAAAGCTGTTCTGCAACTGGCGTTGACTATCAGTCGCTCGAAATGGGTTGCATTCGGATCCTGCCTCAGAAATCTTCTTCTTTCGAGCAGTTCCTTGGTGGTTTTGAAAATGCATTCCAAGTTCTTCTCAGAAGTCACTGCGGCGCATTCTCCACAGGCTAGCAATCCTTTCAGAAGCCGGTCGTAGTCGTACGTTGGGTGCTCCCCTCGATGGGTAAGTCACAGCTTGATATGAGCTCTTCCGGCCTGTTACCGTCATAAACGACTCCTTCCCTTCTAGCGGCACTGTACCAAATCTTCTTTTTCAGCCTTTAACTAAATCGTATCTTCGCTCGAAGGAGGCGGTGATCTGAGCCACTGCAGAGATATAGAATTACTGAGACATCGAGCAAGTTCCACCTTCGACTGGTGAGAATGTGGTCGATTTCCGCATGAGTCGTTCCGTTGGGCGATTTCCATGTCCAACGGCGATGTTCTTTCTTTATGAAGGTGGAATTTCCATGGAAAAGTCGTGCTGCGGAGAGAAGCCCAACGAGACGGTTGCCGTTTTCGTTCCGGAGCCCATATCTAAACTTTCCAATCCTATATTCCTTTTCTAGTGGCATCCCGATTTTCGCATTGAAGTCGCCCATAACATACTTGTAGAAGGACTTTTCATTGCGGACGACCTCCTCCAAGTCTTCGTAGAAAGCATCTTGTTCTGAGTCGTCAGCTGCTGATGTTGGAGAGTAGCAGTTGATGATGCTGATGGTCTTCTGACGTGGAGGTTGTAATCGTAGGATGGCTAGTCGAGGTGACAGGATCTCATGCGAATCGACAAGATGGACTATAGATGGGTGGACGACAAAGCCAATCCCTCCCACGTTTTGTGATTGAACTTTCTCACCACGAATGATGAGATTCCCATCACTCATCTGTCGCACGTCCTTCCTCCTGGCTTCATTTCCTGCAGAGCGATGACGTGATACTTGATGTCTGTGCAGTGTTGAGAAAAGCGTGGAGGTCAGCGTTTGTGTAGACTGTCCTGGCGTTGTGGGTGCAGAACTGAGGCAGTCTCCATGGCGCGTCGTCCGGGCAGACATGCCGCTTTTTGTCCAATCCAAAAGGCGCCCTGAGGACCTGTCATCGTTCTTGCTACCACTCGGCGCCGTAAGCGGGGTCCGATGTACAGCGTGTTTTTCGTTTCCTCTTGCTGACGGAGTAGATAAAGGCCCCTACAACAGCAGACTTACTAAGCCTACTCTTGATTTCCGCGGGGCGATGGCTGACCTGGGGGTGGAGCGGGGAGAACTTCTTAGCCACCGCAAAAATCTGTCCTGGCCGGCTCTTAGCCAGGCATATGGTCGAAACCAGAAACGTCGAAGTCCTTCACAGCTTGGGAGGCCTACCAGAGTATACGCTCGGCTTGCATTGCAGTTCGACGCCCGAGGCCACCCCACGCCACGTTGAGGCGGCCGACCATTGTGGGCGCAAAAGTATAACCCTAATTTCACGCATACAAGGCGCGGAGACTTTTTTTTTCTAAAACTGACCAGCATGGAAAGCCAAAGGACTTTGCGACCAAAGAAAGCTACACTGTCTTGTGTATTGCCTAAGAGAATCGCATAGCATGAGGATCGCTTTCCGAAACACAGTGAAGCCGCTGAGCTGCTCGCTCAAATAATCAAACAAAGTGCGCCTCCCACGCATGAAATCGGGGTAGTTGAGCTGGCGCGAACCTGCGCGCGCATCTTCATCGTTGCACTGCGCCTCATGCGCTCTGCGGCTAGTACCGCCTTCACGCCCTCAGGTTTTACGCCTTCGTCCGGCAGTAGCCTATACTTCGCGAATCCTAGCCGCCAAGCAGCTGACATCATCTCAGTGGCTGAGCTCACACCAAGACAACTTGTCTAGTTTTCCTGCCGAAAAGCTCCGGCGCGATGGCAACATAAATTACGCTGCGCGGCTGCGCGTCTGTAAGCTCCAGCAAGTTAGACTGCGCAGTACCTGAAAATGCAAAAAGATGTGCGATTTTGCGACAATCCCCGTGAATGCCCTTTTGTTCGATCACAAATTCTATGAAGAACTATTGGTCGAATTTTCAGCGATGGATCTTCTTGCTATCCACTATTTTCGCAGAATATTTTTTACGTCATTACTGTACATGGTATTAATCCCATCCTGTGTATGTGTATATGGAGATGATCCTTCTGTGCAAGGTGAGTTCCTATCAATCGTATTAGAAATGTATGTTTCTGGATACAAACATATGTACCATATCGTATCATATCTACCATTATTATATCCTAGAGGAAGTGGGAGGGTGGGGGGGAGGGGGGGAAGTGGGCAAGTAAGAAGGATGGCGAATTTTTCCAGGATTTTATTATGGCTTTAGCCACGCCCTTTAAAAACGTTTTGGGCTACGGGCCTGCAACCCCGAAGTTTCAGGAAAAGGGGAGATGGCGACAGGCACGCCCTCGTAAAAAATTTTTATAAGGCTAATTTGAAATATGATAGGGGCAAGTACTTCAGTAACAAGAGCGTTGGTGAATATCTGTCTGGATGTATTAAGTTGGAAAGAAAAGAATGTCGTTTTTTATACAGAGCGACAGGATATCGGAAAAATTATATGAAAGGCTCATTCGATAGAGCAAAACAAGCTCTGCAAGATGACGTCTGAATGGCTTAAAGGCAGCGGCTTGGCAGAATGACAACTTTGGGATATCCATCGTTCTCGGTTCCCCTGGATGAGCTAAGTCCAAGACTGTGCTTTGCAGCTTCAAAGGACATCAATAACCCGCTTTTCCAGGCTTGAAAAGTGCTATTTGGGCGGACCGCGTAAGCCCGCGCTCTAGAGCGCATTGGCTCATGGGTACGGTGGATACGGTATCTCCACTCACGAACCAATCGCGCTCTAGAGGGCAGGCTTACGCGGTCCGCCCAAATAGTGCTCTACACGTCTGGAAAACCGATTGACATCTTTTGAAGCTGCAAAGAACAGTCTTGGACTTAGCTCGTCCAGGATAAGCGAGAACGATGGATATCCCAAAATTGTCAATCTGCCGAGCCGCTGCCTTTAAGTCGCAGTTTACCCAAAGTTCGAAGACAAATATAAGAGCAACTCATGGTGCCAAAAATCGGACTTCCGCCCCCGAAGAATCCCACGAATCTCTCACTTGCTCCAGCATGTAGCAGACACATGCACTTATCCATATGAGCACGCCATATTTTTTCGTGATTAGAAATCAAAGAAAAATTCAAAAAACGAAAAATGGCAAACTCCGCCCCTAGTTGTCCTGGGGTCCGCCCATACATGCGTTGTGTACTACAAATCTTCGAGAGTTTAATCATGAAAATCGGGCCTTCGTACTCTCTAGTTCTTCAGAAATACCAATTTTAGCTGAAAAAAAATGGAAAAAGCGACTTTCTTTTCTTTCCCACATAATGATTCCAAATTACGATGCTATCAACTTTATCGCAGATTCGACACGAAGTCAGAAAATAACACTGTGTATGAGCTGAGTGTGAAAACTTCAAAACTCACACTCTGTGTACACAGACAGGTCCAACATAATCTTCCATCCTCTCGACCTCCCATGATCTTTGTGTCGCGCTGTACCCAAACATAATCGTCAAAAGATTTGAAGTTTTGTCATGTTTCGCTACCAATAAGCTCGTAACGGAAGGGAGAGGCACATCCCTTTCCACGTAAATCACACTTTATTCATTTATGTCTAAGATTAGTATCTCATTTGAAGTGATCCAAAATCAGAATCATACGTCTTATGATGATACCGCACAAAAGGCTAACATATTAAAACATTTACGAGAGAGCACGATAAGGCTTCAGCGCGATTATGCACGCGCTGGTTAGAGGGATTGAAGATGGAATGGCATGAAAATTTAAACAGAGTAAAAAACGACAGGGTGACTTGCTAGGTAATAGCGTTCAGTCTGTGGAATAACGGCCATTTTGATGTTGACCAGAGCGCCCTGATTGGTCCACGCTCGATCGCGATTGGCTAGGTTGTAAGCAGGGTCAAGTGAGGTTGGAGAGTGCGCGCAAGCATGCTTTTTCTTTGTACTCATGTCGAATGGGATTAGCTGGCCGCATCAAAACTGGATATTTTAGAGATCTCAGCCGAAAACTGCAAACTATTGTTTCAACTTGGTGATTGCCAGTAATTCCTTCATCAAATAACACCAAGTCCTCAAGAAAAAGTTCAAGTATAGATGATTCATGTTTCAGAACTGGATATGTTTGAATGGTCCTCTGGCATACGGGTTGCTTATTGCGTAGATGCACCATTGCCAGATCTGTTATCGCCGTTTCGAAGAACTTTTTCAAAAGTTGCCACTAAATACTGCCACAACATCACCGCATGCAATCTGAAGGAACAGTAAGCCACCTTTATTGTGGACATTCATGCACGTTGCATATTATTTACTCGTATATATTGATCATTCGAGTCCCTTTTACAGATTAGTGTTCGGACCCGAACACATCATGTTCGTCGAGGGATTCCCCAGAAGAGAATATGGAGCGATACATATCAAATTCTATGTGGTTTTCCCTCATAATACAGTAGCAGCTTCAAAACAGCCTCGTCCGCTTCTACCGAGAGCTGTGCTGTCAGGTAAGCCTTTCAATGAACTAAAAAAATCGAGAGATATCGAAGAGTGTGAAGAAATGCACCAAATTCAGCCCATTTAACGAAATACCCCTTTTGTGGATGTTGTTTATACCCTCTTGATTTTAGATATCATCTCTAAACACCTTAAAGAAATTTCCGACCGTCTCGGCTGGTCAATAATAAGTTACGAGAAGTATCCACGATTTGATTCCATGACTGAATTTATGAACATTGCTATCATACCAATTGTGATATTCTCTGTCCCTTTGATGATCTTCCTAGCATATTGGACGTCTTCATTGAGGTCAGCCAGATATTATTTTTTTTTCAAGTTAAGATGCCTACTGCAGACCTAACATGTCATCCGAAGCATGGCTTGTGACAGGTGCAACTGGAGGAAAGAACGCAGCTTTGAGGTAAAGTGTGCAAATGTCCTAGCAGTCTTTTCCAGAGCTTTTTTTCTTCCAGACGGACCATGGAAATTATCGCTGAGCAAAATGCAGAGATTGACAGGCAAAATCGTATGGAACTTACGAAGCATGCAGTAATAACAGGAGGACATGAAGGAATAACGTCCTCCGGTCAAATGCTTCTCAATGTGGCAAGGTTAGCAAATGCGATGAGAATCCAGCTTGCATTGAATCGCAAGACTGACTCAGCGAACGCGGATTACATCTGATCACAATTCAGGAAGTCTTCTCAAGCCAGCTTTATACGGTCGAGTCATTACATTTGAATGCGACACTGTACAGAAACACACACTTTCGTTCCCAGCGAGAAGAATTCTGGTGTCAAAAACACAATAGATCGATCATTTATTACCGTTTCATCACCATGAGAAGATTTGGCTCAAAAAGGCAAGAAGACATATAAAGAACACCATATACGCCTCTGCAACGTGTCTGCTACAAATCCAGGTTAAAGACGGCAAAGACGGGCATTGTGTGCAGTGACACATTTGATCGGAATGACTAGACTGCATTACAGCAAAAACTTAAATAGGGGTGCATTAAAAGTCTCAAACCTGTCTTTGCAGTACTGTTACAAGTCTACGATTTTGTTCTCAACTCAGGGCACAGAGTGGTACTATCCAGTGGCGGTCCCAGGATTTCCGTCCGGGGGGGGGGGGGCAAAAAAGGCTAATTTGAATTTTTAAAAATTTTGAAAACTTATTTTAATTGTTCACAAGAATAAACAAGTTACTTGCGCATTTTTATAACCCATACAAGTAATTTTCAAAAATTTCGCGACCCATTCTCGGGGATGGAGGGGGGGGGGGGGCGCCCTCCCCCTCGGTCCGCCACTGATACTATCATATGTTACGGAAGTACTCTTTGTTTCACTGGAAGTGAATGGGGTGAAGACGGAGCTTCACTACCTAGTCAAGCCTAGGTGATTGGGAGAGATGCAGAGTACAAAGCCTCAAACACCTTTCCTCCTAGCTAAACAGAGGGTAGCAAGTATCCTCAGCACCAGACAAGCATCACTAACCTGTAGAAACTCGATTATGCTTACTATTCTACGCTTTTCGAGCTGAGCTATCGTACTGTAGCATGTGTACATCATTTTATTGTTGTGCAAAATGACGCCTTGTACTTGTTCCAGATCGTCACTTACTTCCACAATGGGCCCTCAAGTTCCGCAGCCGAGCGATTCACGTTCGTCTCCACCGCCGCCTTCATCTCCAAAGATAGTAGTCATTCCATCCAGCAGTGACAGCGAGACCAGCAGAAATCCGCCAATGTCCGTCTCTTCACCTCGTGGAAGTATTGCCACAATTCAGGTGCCAGCACCGCAGTTGCTCAGTGTAAGAAGGTAAGAAAATAATAATCTCTCCCATGCTTGGTTTCCCTTTAAATGGGAGAGGGAAGCGCCTTCCCAAAGGGAATGAGTCTAAGGGCCGCATGCATTGAAGGCAGTGTCCGGCCGCATGCATTAAAGGCAGTGTCCGGCCGCATGCATTAAAGGCAGTGTCCGGCCGCATGCATTAAAGGCAGTGTCCGGACAAAAACTCGATTTTCAGAAAACCCACTTGCCGGGGGTATCCGCAACGCTGAATCCGAAAATCCGTATTGGAAGGAGCGAAAACTGCGAGAACATGCGTTTTCCAAAGCCTTAGCATGGGTAGGGGAACGAAAGCCGCCAGTTTGAGCCGCCTTTCGCGGCTAACTGGTCCTTTCGCAACGTTGTTGCATGTCGTTCCAGGACCAGCAGTCCGCGCAGGCGACCGAAGCTGGCGGCTTTCGTTCCCCTACCCCCTTAGCATGTGAAACTCGACGGTCCCCGCCAAGGCTGAGACGCAAAGTCGCTGTGGGACCCTACGATTTTGACTATTGCGGCATGCGCACTCTGCAGCATGGCAGGAATTCAAACGGTCGGAGGACCCTGCCTCAAGGCGTAAGTTTCCCCACTTCCCTATCGTTTTTCTTGCTTTAATCGAAAGTTATAACCTCCTGCTTGCGCGATGCTGTGTCTCAGGGGGCAATGCATGGCACTGAAACCCCAAAACCCCCACCTTGTCCGGACACTGCCATTAACATCCCCGCCGGGGTGGGGATCGCAGCTTGAATGAAAGTTTTATATCTTGAAGCTCCACTCTGGATTTCATGCTGTCTTCCTATCCGTAAGTACTCCCACCATCCTTCACTATGAACTTATTGTACAAGGTCGAGAAGCTGTACATGTTCATCTAGTTTTTGTACTTTCCCCTTATGATCCGCGGCGGCCGACCTCTTTTCTTCAAAGTCATTTTTCTTTCTTCAAAGTTAACGAAAACATCCCAAAGGCGTCTAACTCACAGTACTAAGCATGTTGCTGATAAGAAAAATGATGTTTTGGAATCATGGAACTTGCGATGAATCACAAGTCGAGAGATCTGGTTTGTCGAAAAATTCACTGTTTCAAAAACTCATTTGTTCTTATCAGCAGTATGCTTAGCAGTGTTGGGTTAGATAATTGGTACAACTTTGGAGTGTTCTCGGTCTTTGAAGAAAGAAAATTGACTTCGAAGAGAAGACGGTCGGCCAGCGGGGATCAGCGTCTTGTACAGCTTCTTGCCCTGTTCAATATGTTCATAGTGAAGGATGATGAGAATACTTACGGGTAGGTTATACGACGTAAAATCCAGATATCTGGAGCTTCAGGATATGAAGCTTTCTTTTAGGCTGCGATCCCCTGTCTGCATGGATGTTAATGCATGCGGCCCTAAGGAATCAAATCATGCATACAAGGCTTTTTCGGCTGTTGATCTGCTTCAACGGACCATTTTCTGGACCTATCCTCCTATTTATCTTCAGCCGTTCCAGTCCTCGAAAGCATTCGCGGCGTCAATCTTCCGTCGAGGACGTTAAACAGGCGAGAAGATCGCGGAACATCCGTTCTCATTCGCAGGCTAAGCCATGGAAAGCTGGCAGTCTCATGTTGGGAGGATTTGCCCGTAGAAACGTGGAATAGTCTCTTCTGTCAGTGTCACTCTCAGGGAACATACTTAGCTTTTTGTGAAATTGAAAGAACACAGCATCTTTTCCGTACGGTGCTGAACAGAAGATTTTCCCCTATGTCACCAGAACACATGATACCACGCTTTGTCACCCTGTGTTATTGTTCTAGGTTGTTTTACAAGGTTGCATTCAGAGTTGCCCATGTGCCAGCGCCGTGCTAGCCGTAATAGCACCCACTGGACGCACCTCATATTGGATCGACTGCGCGGTACACCTCAAGCACGGAGCTGGTACGGGAAACTCTGAACCTAGTCTTAGAGTGAAACGGGTGGAGCCCGTCTCCCAAGCATACGTAACCACTGAGGACTGGAAAAGTGAACACCAAAAAGTTCAGCTGTTTCTGCATGAACTGAAACTCGAGCTGCAATATAATCTACTTTTTTGGCTAGGACTGACACTGAAAACGTCGTTCCGATGTTTTTTTTTCTATTCCTCTATTCCTTGAGCTTCTGTATTTTCCAGCTAGAACATTTTATTATGCTCTGACCTGGGTTTACGACCTATTTATTTGTTTTGTATTTACAAACATTATTTGTGCGCCAATGTGATGGGTATTTCGAACATTAGTAAATTCAAAGGGATACTTCTCCTTATTTCTGACTATCGAGTTATCGACTGACAATCAACTAATAAAACGGTTAGACAACTCAATAAGTCTGCAACCCGGAAATGAATGATGGAAAAGCTAATGCAGTTCCTTTCATTGAGAGCAGTGTTCGGGGAAGGTTGGGGATTTCGGAATTTGCGTGCCTGCGAAAGTGGATACCTTCGGACACGCCATGGTGCAAGTGCGAGGCCAGGCGTCTGACCAGAATCAAAAGATACGGTCAGGAAGTTGGAAAACTTAGGCCTTGGGGAGAGCCTCGCCCATGTGGATTTCCTGCTCTGAGGCAGTGTAGTCATGCCGCCACAATTTCAGGTGTCCGAGCCAGGTAAGCGGAAAGTCTTCAGTCGGCGTTTTGCCCCGACTCCGCTTTCAAACGTACGCTGGAAACTTCCGTGATCTAGACTATCCGTTTGTAGGTAGATGTTTACAAGAGAATGCTAATTTTAAATGATTAATCTTGGTGCTCAAGGTGTGAAATTTGAAAAAGGCGACTCCATATCATCTAAAACTATGACAGGTGTAGTCTGCGCACTTTACCTGAAGTGATTTGCTAATCTATAATAACTCCGGTTCCAAGAAGAAGAACACTAAAGCGCACGGTTGCCGGTTTTGATAACGGTTACGTTTAACGTTACTGTGCCAGAGGTTTTTTGAGAACTATGTATTAATGTTATTCGCTTGCAAAATCTGGGATTCCTCCCACAGACTATCATGATCTTGACAAATTTCAATCAGTCTCCTGTCGGACAAGCAGTTCCACCATGTGAGACATGCGGTAGCCATTCAAAAAGTTGAGAAGCTCTTTACAACGCGTAAATAACAGGCTTTCTGGAAGTTAAGCACCATCTGCATATTATATGACATATCAATTATTGATGAACGCTGTCGATGTCGTTGTGGACCATGCTTATAGTGCAAGCCACGATCAAGAGCTAATTAAAAACAGTGCGGGAACCAACGGCGTGATCGCAAACACTTCAATCAAATCCTGAATAGAATTACGTTAATGCATTTACCTTCCAGATGCCTCATTTTGAGTAGGTGAAAACTTCAAATATAAGAGCAAAGGCAATGAATGCGCATAGTGTTTAGTTCTAAGAATTCGTTATCGTTTAATCAATTTTGAGATTTTCCGTTCGAGAACGTTTCGTAAGACTTATGCGCATGAGCACTGTAAGCTCATCGTCTTCTACAAATCAATACAGTCGGATTATTTCTGGTAACTACGTGTTGAATATATTTTCCTTAGTTAGCCTTACCTTTCCGCCAAATCCTTGTAGATAAGCCGTACAATAGGCATATATACGTCTTCCGTGGCACGCAATCCAAGTATAAAATCGATGTGTGTAAAATGATTCAATTGATATGATCCCTGAAAAAAGAAACCGTTACGTCTGAACTGTAGTTAACCTTTTTTATAAAAAAAGTTTTATTGGCATTTATGGAAGTAGACTGTACTTTTATGTTATAGTGGAAGCCAAACCGCAAGGCTGTCTCAAAACCTTCTATTCTTGCTTTCTCTTCCTATAAGTCATCATATTTCTTAAGCTTTGAATGACTGCCCTTTGATAGAAGAAAGCAATCTACAAAGGGTCACTTGGAATTCGCACAAAGTTTGTTCTACGCAAAATTCAAGGCCAATATCTAAAATAAAAAAAGCGTCGAGAGTGAGGGTGCTGAACTTAAAAATGAACTCAAAAATAGGCTCAGGGAAGATGGAAATGTCGTAAAGCTGACAATCCCAGTGAAAAGCGGACGTATGACAAATCCGGGTACATGAAAACCCAAATTTGGACTTGTGCCCATCAAAACTTCATCGCACACGATTTGGGTGGACGGTGCCTTTGATGCGCAAAAATTGAGAAAAAATAATCCCCTAACATAATATAATTCAAACAGATGTTAGAATTTGAAAAAATCCACGGAGATCTAATTTGCTCAGGCATATGCTCTCCACATCGTAAGTCATATCTACTTTTGCCGTGTTTCTGTCATGGGTCAAAATAAACTGAATGCAAATGTGTTTACTTTTTTGTTAAGTTCTAGCTCTGCAGCCTCATACAATGAAATTACCAATATGGGAGCAGCCCAGTACAGCTTTGAGAAAGACCTGTATTGTTTTCATTTCTAATCATGGAAAAAAATGTATATAAAAGTCGGATTTGGGGAGTGCTCTGAGCAAATAGGCAGTTTTTAGGATATTCCAAACAAGAACCGATTTTTGTCAACATTTTTGCATTCAAAATGTAGAAACTTCGGGCAGAGGTTTGTGTGGTGCCTTATGGAGCTTGCTTTGGTCTGTCGAATGATACCGCGAAACTCATTCAGAAAGGAAGTGGAATACTACTTATTGCAAGAGAAAGTGAAAACATAAAAATTGTGAGACAAGCTAATATTTTTGATTCAGCTGTTGAAATGACGAATGTGTTCCGGATAGGGCCCGGCATGAGTCTGTTTCTAGGCTTTTTAAAAACGAAGACTCCCCGACTTTTGCCAGAATTTACGAAGTCTTCTTTGACCCCAGACCTTATCTGTAAAAAACCCTGAAAAACGAAACGTCGACTAAAAAAACGTCGCGATTTTCGGTCACGGAAACGATATTCCCTTTGCTTTTTCGCCCCAAAAACGAAGTCCAGCCTGCTTCTATACGATCTACGCAGGGCCCGGATTCCGTATATGTTTCAAGAAAGAAAACATTCGCGAGACAAGCAAAGCGGCTTTTATTGTGGAATAATCTGAGGAGCGAAACCAGTCTATTGTATTTTCTTACTATCATTGATGATATTAATATTATTTTATCACCATTCCTATTCAATCACATCATCCAAATTCCCAATCTCTGCGCAAAATTTTCCTAATCAAAAGCACACACCTTAAGCGAGCTCCCAAGCTTTTTGATAATATGCTCTTGAACGTCGGAGGCTGGGGCCAAAGTGTCATCGCTGCTCCAGAATATATACATGGGTGTGTTGATCTTCGTTATATCAAACATTGGTGGCTGCTTCTAAAACATACACAGGCACTACCGAACTCTAAAAAAATCCTGTTGTGAGAACCTGTCCATAAATTTCCATGTTGCGAGTGGTGCCGTAGTCAAGTTTTCGCAGCTCATGGTAGCGCATCACTTGCGCCCAGTGAAGGAGGTTGAGAGCTGACGAAGCCGATGGCAAATGACTGACCACAACATCCCAGCGTGACTAATACACACTTTTTGATGTTAGTGAAGCTACTACAAGCAAAAAGTTCGCAGCTTACATTGTTGAATTGGGTGAGCTGTTCAGTTCCCATTCCCACAAACGTAAGGAACAAACTGCAAATCCTCGACATCATATCCACGGAACAAAAACTAGCAATACCCCTTTTAAGTGCATGAGGAACATCCAAAGGAATTCCACTGAGCAGATGAACGGCATGCTAGAAATGATCAGATCAATCGGTACACGTTTTCAGAAGAGCTTTGTAATGAAAATCTCGAACTAGACCTCTGTCAGCATGTAAAACGGGATGGAGGCCAAATAAAATAGTGGGATTGATCTGGACAGGCCTCCGATAGGACCCAATCCAAAAAATGCGCGAATCTGAAATGTAAAGTGATTAACCTTGTTATGGAACCTTCCTTAGGTCCTCAAAAGTGTTACTGATTGTGTTACTGAGACAGGGATACTGGTTTATGCAAACTGTAGTGAGTTACGCCATGTGATACCTAATTGCCCTGCCTTTTACACGAGCTCGCGAGAGCGGTTGTAGAAGGGGAGTGTGGGCGGTTACCCTAGTTAGACGTTTCCATCTTGAATGTGTTTTCGCGTAGTACAATCTAGTGTCAAGTAGTACTCCTTCTTGCACAGGAGCTACGCACCCGCAACGCGAAGGCTTCGCTTGTGCATGCTCCAATCAATGGGCCCAGTTTATGCCCAAATCTCGCGCGCGTGAACGTGGCAAAATTACGATTTGTTTGGTTCCGCGCAACCTCAGGGTGTTCCCAGGTTGCGCGGGAGCAACCTAAGTTAGAAAAACATTTACAACTCTTCTTATTCACATAAGTTTTCAAAAGTTTTCATACTTTCCTTTTGATCATGGTTGCGAAGCTACACACCAAATTTGGTGGCTCAGTTTTGCTTACCGGTTGTAAACAAACTGATTATTTTTTTTTTGTGCACAAAGAATGTATTGTAACACGCTGAAATCGTGAGCACACAGATCTGAGCACTTATCCTGTTTGTAACGTGTTAATTTACCTTTTACTTGTGAAATGACGTCAGAGCTGATATGAGGGCTTACTAAAGGTTAACTTTCGCCCACTATTATTTAGTCAGAATTCAGTTCTCGCGAATCACTGGGAACTTTACGAGTTTCCTTTCGCTTTTCTCTAAGAAAACGACATCCAGAGTGTGAAAGCGCCGCCTCTGCTGCTCTGGCAACGATCCTTACTTTGGGATAGAAACAGTGCTTTTCAGGCTTTTTTGCTTTTCACCCTAAGTTAAGGGTCTTGAGCTTTTGGCCGCCTGAGACATCCTATCAAGCCAATGCCCAAGTCGTGGCGCAAAATGTAGCTTCTGAAGCGAGAAATCGCTCCGAAACAACGAAGAGAGCAGAGAACCTCTCGGCGGCAACGCCACCTTCAGTAATGCCCACCAATCCGTGCTCACCCATCCAATCCCTGCGCAGGAGTACCCGCCCCGTGGATTCTCCGGGACCGGGATTGTCGGGATTTTTGTGGTCAACTTTATTTTCGGAATTAAGGACATGAAAAGGCCTTGGAACCACAAAAACATGGAAGTTGGGAATTTGGCTGGACGGTGTCTTATCTGTATTACCTTGGCATTGAAAGCTGGGTCTTCCGCCAGTCTCGCGAACATAATGAGAGTTCCTTGGCTGTGACCAACATAATAGAGTTCCGGTTGTTTGGTGACATTGAGCACATAATCCACAGTACTTCGAAGATCGTAATGAGAATGATCGTACCATCTAAAAAAACTGTATGTACAACGTCAAGATAAAAAGTGCTCAATACTGCAAATATTTGGATGAGCCTTTACGTTTGGAACAACCAAAAAGTGCATTGACTCACTCTGAGATCACAAAACCTGATAAAAAACTGTTGATTTTCTGAAACACGGTAGACTTAACTAGGAGAGCACAAACCTTTTGCCTCTTTTACATGAATGTTATGGAAAAATCATCATTCACAGCAGCTCCTACAATATGTTTCCATTCGAATAATTACTGTTATAAGCCTATGGTACAACGATATTCGAGGAGTATAGTACTGTAGTACATATTCTCACAAAGGTTCAGACTACGGTATACAGTACAGTCGCAAATTTGGCATTAACTTTTCATAGTGTGGGAGGTGCACGATTTTTTGGCAGGGGTGTAATAGCATTCTTCAATACGGTGGTGCATCTGATATATAAAACTTTTCTCTAACTTCAAAAATAATGAGAACTAGAAAATACATGATTTGGCGTGTTCTGCTGTTATGTCAAAAAAGAAGAATATTTGTTGTAGTTTCTGATTTTGCCGTTTCCCCGCTATTCAAAAATCCATGTCTTAAACGCTAATTTCATTTCAATTCTAAATTCACGCGTATTTGCCCTCAATTTCTGTTATCAAACATTGTTTAGCTGAGGTGAACAATAGACGACAGGTGGGCCAAGGCAAGGCGTCAACTGATCCTGATTGATGATGAACACATAGTGCCGCAATCAAAGGAATGTGGTGTTTACACGGACTGCCCACTTGCATAACATCTAAATTATTAATATCTCAAAAATCGTTTTTTGCGCGTTGTTAGTTCGGAAAAACTTTTTACTATGAGAAAGTACGAGAAGACAGCAGAATCTCGAAAGGAAATGGGCTTGCAGCTGCAGGCCTTTGAAGCTGCTGAGAATACCGGCAGTAGCAAATGTAAAATTTCCTTTTTTGTCTTCACGTGGTAGAAACGGTTTACCGTCATATGAAAAATACTCTCACGTGAAATTCCAAAACGCCTTCTCTTTGACTTTCAAATGAGTGTGATTCCTTCCATACTCATTCCCTCGCGTGTTGGCCATCCATACATCAAATCCAGCATCAGCAAGAACAAATCCTGGACGTAAAGATACTTTTTGATTCTTGTTTGCGTGGCAAATTATGTATACCTAGGCTCTGGGCAGGCAAATTCAACACAAAAACTGATGAATCACAAAGAAGACAATGCATTAACAGAACGGGTGGCCGCACATTTGAAGTGTGAGGTGCTGGTCTCTCTAAAAATCATTCATAGCAAGATATCAATATCCTAAGGAATGATGTCTTGTTAGTAATCACCGCAAAATTTTTTGGTAACAAATCATATGATAATTGCTGAAAATTTTTGCGAAATATGAGAGTTCACGCTTGACCTATGATTCCGCAAGGTGACAAACAGAAGGAATCGTCAAAATAGGACAAATTCTGATCAAAATTTATATATCCAAACCCAAGAGAATGTGAACGTAAAAGAATCAGGTGTTTTGGTAGCTGGATAAGTAGCGAATCCCACAACAAATTTATAAATACTGGAAGTCTTAAGCATAGTGCAAAGATAAAAAAGAGCAAACTATATGCTTGTATGGGAGACAAAGAGTATGGCTATGATATCATGGGCTTCTGAAAGAATTTTCACATTGTGGAGAACTGTGAATGGAAATCATTTGCTATACTTTTTTGCAGTGTAAAATGCACGGAACGAAGCTTCATAACAGACCATCTCTTCCAACTGGAATACGGTGCACAGTCAAAATATAACCATCTTCAGTAGTGACGGTATGCTCCTCAAAAGGATACCCAAAGTGTGCGATGAGTTGTGGCTGTAAATAAGAAAACTTTATCACTTACAAATGTGAAGAGCGCAAGAAATTTTCAAAAATCTTGGGCACACCGTTTTCATAAACGTCTCTTCGCTACGAGTTGCATTTGCTACGGTAACGGTGACTAAGAGGCAAAGCAACAGCATGGGATTGCTCACAGTGAAACGTACTTATCAAAGTTATTTGGTGAAGGTACTTGTTTACCATACAGATAAGCGAGAGTGCGATACCGAATGAAGCTGTGGCACGTTGTTGGACAAACTTAGCTATTGTGCAATAATTAGTTCGAAAAATTCTGTGCCTTCATTTTCAAAAATTCGCATTCTCTTAGTCTTTGATGTAAAGAATCTGTAACTTGATTCCTACGTTGAAAAAGAAATTGTGTGTGAATAAGATTAGCCAAGCGGGACGATTTTGAGCCACGTTGCTACACCTTCTGGGAACGCCGCAAAACGGAAACAGTCAGTGAGACGCTGGATCCAGTGAGCAAAGAGAACGATGAATCGCCACTTAAAACGTGACTCGGCTAGAAAAGATACGAGAAATAATGCGGTGGATGCTGTCGAGATGATAAGGAGGAACGGATGCCTTCGAGATGATACAAGAGGAATGGATGTCGTCTAGATGATATAGGAGGAAGACGTGGAACTACAAGAGCTCAACGATGGAGCCAGACATTACCGAACCACCAAGGCTTGCCGGAAAGAAACAAGCCAAGTTGAGCTAGGTCAACTTTGGAAGCGGATAAGAATGAGAGAGAAGCGGGGGACCGCTGGAGGAAGGAAGTCGCCAAGAGGCTGAAGACGAGATAACACGGGAGTACGAGCGTGGAGGGGATCATCGCGAATTCGCGGAGTATCAGGAAACATTACGACTTTTTGTCGTTTTCATCGCTCTTACGCTCCGTATGTGACAATGCGGAAGTCCTTGCTTTGCATGATTCCGAGCTGAAGCTGCATCAAGGTAGTTCGGCGCAGTTGATGGCGCCTGGTAACATCCTTAGCTGAATTAGCTCTACTTAATGTTCGTTCGCGTCATGCCAATACCAGTGCCATAACTACAGTTGTCTCATTCATGTTCAGATACCACATATCAGTAGAATCTTTTTATGTGCATGCCGTTATTATTTTTCACATTTCACTTATCGACAGCGGTTTGATTGACCAAAAATGAGGTCGCGTCTCCTTCCAAAAAGAGCAACAAGCAAAAACCCGTGTAGAGTAGTTGAGCACAGTAACCTCCGAAACCTCTTCATTACCTAGTTGAAAAGTCAGATGTGAATTTCGGAATGGCTTTATCGGCACGAGGACTTTGCCCCTCAAATAAATTTCCTCCGAATGGGAGAAACCCGTGAACAAGCACTTCCACAATTGTGAAAATCAACAATTTGTAATATATTCAAGAACTACATATATGTAGATGAACATCTTCTCATGCCTTCAGATAGTAAACTGACCGCCCCTATGTCTTAAACCAGTACAAGTTTTTCTTCCAATGTCGGGAGTATCAATGAGGGTGATGTGCGACAACAGAACTTCACACTGTTATTACTGTCTTGTTCAGGTGCGGATTTTGATATCACTTAGAAGAAAATATCACGGCGAGCAAGCTGGTATAGACTGTATTGTCTCTTCAAAATCCTTCCTTCTCTAACTCTAAAAAACTTTACCAGTATAGTAGTTGCAAAAGATGCACGGACAAAAGCTCCCTAATTTTCACTTTGTGTTCAACTTCAACCAAAGCCCAATAGACATCTTTCTGAGCTCGAAATGTAAAAGAGATATCGTTTGTAGGATAACTGAAAAAGTGCGACAAAAGTACTAATAATTGAATAATTAGCAATCGGTCAGCAATCGGTTAGCCCTGCAAAGAATTATTTAGCAGATGTATTCAAACTAACAACCTCTTCAACCCAGCATTTTGTCGCCCATCTCCTCTTCCCTTCCCCCCCCCCCCTCTCCCCCCTCTCCTCACTTGAAACTTTCCCATTCTTACATATCGCCATGAATAATGTTTCACATCAATCTTATACAATCAATCCATCAATATGTAAAAAATCCCCCCACTTTCACCCTAACCGCCTTTATCTCTACCTCTTCATCTCTGTGGTGTCCCACGTGTTCGTCATGCTTCAATCTCATCCGCAAAGCAACAATTTCGAACTATGCCTTCTTAGAAACGCAATGTGCCTCAAGATAAATAAGTGGCTTATTTTGAACGAACATGTCGGTATGGCCGAAAATTTGGTATTGTATGCTCAGATGGGGTTGGAACAATGTAGAAAAACTATGAAAAAAGCCGTGTGAATTGAAGTCGTGGAAAGCTTTTTAACAAGATTAGGTGGCTTCGTGCCACCTGTCGAGCCACACTCTTTCCTCATATAATCGTCTGAACTTATCCACCTACATTTCAAGTCTGTAGAAGAACTTCTGAACCATCTGAAACTATGTTCTCCGATTAATTGGAACTCCAAAAAATTCTACATTGTGACCTAATCCTACTTTAAGCGCATGCGCTGAAGACATCATGCCGTCAATGCAGAACATACAACCGTCAGTATTTCTGTTTATTGTGCGTTTAAAACTCATTTTGATCAATTCTATTTTTGTCTCTCAGTCATGTTTTTTTCTACAAGGACCTCATGAAGGATGTCGTGAATTTTTTCGCAAATAATGACCACGTTTCGAAGAATGTCTGGATCCAACTCTTTTAAGTATTGAGCCCTGCTTCAAAACGGATAGCGAAGAATTGCATCGAACTCCGGTCCAAGCTTCAAAATAATGGGTAATGATTGCAGATACGAAATTTTGCAAAAACCATTCAATCACGGCCTTCTTTGTCTGTTAACATTTATTGCGAAAAAAAAGATGGAATGTCATTGGGGAGGAGAATATTTCATAGGCTTGATCTACGATTTTGCAATAAATACAAAACTATAGTCAAATCGACCCATTGTCCATTAAGCACGAGCCAATCTGATACTTCGCGTAAATGCTCCTTCACAAGAATCAAAAGGGTTGCATCATTCTTTGCACAACCACTAATTGCAACAGCGGTTCCATTTATATTCGAAACAATTCTCGAAAAAATGCTTTCCAAATTATTCTAATATTTTAGAGTTTACAGCCGTGTGTTTCAAAAAGCGTGAAGGAAAAGCTAATTTTGAAGAATCTTGTTGAACTACCGTTCAATGAAGAATCGCTAGGAGCCGTAAATTCACCCTTGACCAGACCGAAGACAAACTTCGGCATTCTCACAATGTCCTCCAGCACCTCCACACACATCAGCTCAAGAATTCGTAACCTACTGAGGTTGCTAGTTTGAAGTAACCTTGCATTTTGTACATTTTTCAAAGAGACACGTTCTAGGCGATGCACATTTAGAAGAAGAATGCGACAGGTCCGCTAAAAAAATTGTACCTTGTAGGCTGGGTCAAACGAGACATTTTCGCAAATAGTGTCGCCTAACGCGGGCATATACAACCCGATATGGTATAGAAAATTACGGCATAGTTTAGAGAAGTTTTTTTCTCGCCAAACCAAACGACGTAAACAATATAGCTGAAAAGCATTCAAGTGATCGAAGTTTGTCGCTAACATTACTGGCAATACAGCATGTTACCGAAAAGACTGCAACTGAAGAACATAGAGGCTCAAAATTTACTTCTTCATAATGCAGAAGTAGCAATGGAAAAGAAGCTATTGCTAAATGGAACTTTTTTGAATGACAACTGTGTAGTGGGAACAGTGATTATGATGAAAGTATGCGAATCCAAGGGGACATTTTTCAACTGCAAAGGCACATACAATCGGCTTAGATGAGGACGGAAGCTGGCTCTAAACAAAAATCAAAATGTATGACACAACACACAATGGGAATAGAATATTCTTCAAAATACATGTTTTCGAAATCGCACAACAATGAATAATACTTAATTTCCCAGAGAAAATAATTCGAGAGCGCCGATGTTCTACCAGTTTCTGTTTATGCATGAATGTCAGAAGATAGACTTATGCACAAGAAAAAAATTTACACCTCAACTTCGAAACCCGTTTCAGTCGCAATTAATACAAAGAGATATGCTAATTCAACTAACACTGGGACAATAAATATTCGTGAAAGAGTTCACATCGCACCGTCATGTCTAATAAACGTGTATATAAATGGCATGTTCAGTCATTGATACGTACATGATAACATATGATTTTTGAGAGAAGAAAAAACATCATATGTGGAGAGAATGAGGGAGAGAGATCAGGACTCAATGGAATCCTTCACCAATTGCGGCACTTTCGCCTTGTTCTCTTCCGTCGGAGGCTCCGTCGTTATGTGCGGTATCTGATGTTTTACCTAAAAGTACGAATATCAAAGTGCACATGGAGCAAGCAGATTTTGGTGCGCGGTGCTTCGTCAAAATTGAGTAAAAGTCGTGTTCCATTTCTGAGCACGTTTACTCATTTTTTATTGTGGTTTGGCTAACTAGCATGTCTCGTGCTCAAGTTAGAAGAGCCATACGAATCTACGGGTATCGTAAGCACATAGCAAGAAATTCTCTAATGCTTAAGGTGCGTCCAAAGTGCCGATGTGATAGCGCCGTGCCAGCACCCATGGGGAGGAGCCCGCATTGATCGAAACGGTGCTGGCACGGCGGCTCTAAAGCAGCCTAAGAAAGGAGGAAAAAAATCATGCCACATAATTTCTCTTGCACCCAAGCCAGGGTTCGGCACGGGTGGCTTACGGGGCAAGCTGGATAAGGTTTTGGAGTAAAAAGCAAGGGCAGCCCCCTCACCCCACACTTGTCCTTAATGTCAGCTTCATTTTGTATAGAGGACGCAAATTTTCATTCCTGCCTTACCAATCCCATTCCTTCAAAAACCAAAAATCTCCTGTTTCAACAGGTTCGCCAGTTAAGCGCGCGAATTCAAACCTGCCCCGAAATAAACACAAAAACTTGTTTACAGCGAATAGAAAATGAAATAACACCAAAACTGATGTGTAGATGGGCAATAGGGAGTAAGGACTATGTACGAAAAATTATGAAAAAATTATGTGAATTGAAGGCATGGCAAACTTTTTTCGGTGTTAAGTGGCTTTCCAGCGACCTAGACTCACATGTTCAACATTATTCTCTTCTACATCAAAAACCCTACAACTGAGTTTCTGAATCTCCCTAAACCCCCTCTTTCTCGCCTAGTTACGGCCTTCCAAATATTTTGTATGGCGGCGGCAAGCCTGCCCCAAGCGCGCAAGGGTGCGCGCCGGACACAGCACGCCGCCAATTCGAAAAATACGAACATCTTTAGTTCTTTTTCGTCTGCTCAATGTTGTTTTTATATTTTGTTCCATAATTTTTTTTCCATTTTGACCCATTCCTGATCGCGTCAAAGGAAGTCTAGGAGGACCTCGTTTTTGAGAAATTGAAAAAGCCACCTCATACCGAGCCATGACCCAAATGTAACGAGTTGATATGCAACTACAGATAATTTTCTTCAATGTGTGGAATGATTCTAGTTCATGCCCCCTCTACTTAGAGTTACTTTTAGTAAAACAGACTGTGTCAGAACTGACTACCGAACCATCCTGGTCAGCCATTAGCCGAGTCGTTTGTTGATGATTGATGTGACCGTGCCTCATGAACGATGGAGCCGTGTTGGTGAGGCCTCTTCTGAAAATGCAAACTTGTTACAGTATACAACGCAGAAAGGATCTTTAGAGTTACTGCAAAGGTTCCCATCTCACTCAAAGCAGAAAAACTCGCACTAAGCCAGCTTTATCTTCTCTAGAACTCATAAGCAGCACTTCAAGAAAAGCCACCCTCAGCAAAATGTGTCTACTGTCTGAACTAGCCTTCTCAGCTTGCAAAAGATATTTTGCATGAGAAAGTGCATGAAGGAAGGCAAATTATAGGTTCGAATGAAATTAAATGTTCCAAGTGAATTCTTATGGAGTTGGTGAGCTGCTGCTCACATCATTTTACATACAGTGGAGGTAATCTGATAAGTGCGGTTTCATCAATACGCAAAAACAACGATTTTGATAGCGATGAGGCCCGAATTTACAGCTGCAGGATACTACTAGCAATGCTAAGTTGTGCGCAATCAAAATTTTAAGTTATGAAAGGTTCACAAAGTAACCGCTGCAGTATTTCCAGGTAAAATGGAAAGAAGTTGTTTGATGAATTTAAAATGGGGGGTAGCACACAATTTTCTTAACCATACTCAGAAAATAAAAAAGCAATAACATACCCATGGTGATTTCTTCCCATATAGCTGGCATTGCCGTCGCTGCGAACTCCAACTAAGTCTTCGGTCGTTTGTGGTCCAGCATTGTTGAACTCACGTTGGTTTTCTAACTGAAAATTATGCCGTTCACAAATTAACCCGACTCTTGATTTTGATACGAACTTTGATTCGAGATCAAACTGTTAGACTTTTTCTAAACACTGGCTGCTACGACAAAAAAAACCGACATTTGGGCTTTGAGCATTTTTTCATTTCGCCTTGTAGATTTTCTTTAGCACTAGCGCAACTACCTTTCTTTTGTTCGCGTCAAGTCCGCCACAAATAGAATCAAATTGAGCATCAAAAAACAAAAATCCAAAAACCGAATTAAGGAACAGTAGAATTCTTGCATGAAAGAGGGGGTCTCTAGAACACGATGCAGAGTGAAGCCATAATCTCAAAACACTGCCTCTATATGATAAAAAAAAGGTGGTGAGAACTATTAGATACGCGAGGGGTACCAGTTCAACTAATCAATGCCATAATTCAACGGGACCACCCTTTTTCTCATTGAAAATAGAACTGCATGAGGGCTCCCGATCAGTTCGTATGACAAGTATTAAACAAACAAATGCAACGCAGTAAGACCTTATATACTAAATAAATCATCTGCATCACCAAAAAGTTTTTCCGGGTTGAAGAGAGAGCTAGGCACGGTTTTGGGTACTCCACTATTACGCAAATCTATACATCTGCCCACTTTGTCAGCTTAGTTGAGATGATCTACTCTTCCTTTTGCTTTTCCATCAGTAAACGCCTAGTCATATTTTAGAAAGCCATGGTTCAGCGATGTAACTCAATAATTTATCAATGGAGCGCAGCAAGTGATAAGCAAATGGTGCAATTTACTTTCTGAGCCTGGAAAATTGAAGTTGACAAAATTTCATGCGCTTGCGTCGGAACTTCGTTCTCAAATGTTCAGACTACTGTGAATTTTTTTTTAATATTGTCAGATAAATGCAACAAAATATCTCTTAGGCCCGCATACCTCACACGATTTCAGTCGCCACGCGATCTGGCATTTTGCCAGATGTCTTCAAATTCAATACTGGTAGACCCCAAAAGCGCAGCACGTATAACATTTGTAGGTTGATAAAATGACCTATTTTCTCTACATTCAAAAACCCCTTACGATAAGTTATGACCAATTAGAGTATTGCCAAATCGCCTGAGGTATGTTTTCGGCCTTACAATAGTTTTACTGCAGAGCTGCTTTAAAAGGATTGTTACGGTGGAAAATTTGCGCATGGTACTGGGAGTCAAAAGCAGTAACTGATTAGAGAAAACCGCAAAAAACTAAATGGCGTATTCTTGAGGAGAAATGCTTCAAACATGTTGGGAACTTTTGATGTCTCCGTTTGCTCTGAGTAACAAGTACTCATTGCTGAACAGAAAAGCTCTGCCGAAACTACAAGGTTCTTCTTTTTAAAGGAAGTAAATGTAAAAGAAGCTGACAAGGGAGGTCGGATCAGTCGAAGTGGCCTTTTCAAATGGGTCATATACTATTTTGAAGAGCGTTAAACGCTGATTCCGAGTCTTTCTTCGTTATCTGCCGAGCGCCTCTGGACGCCGAGTTATAAATGTTTTTTGGAGCGAAAAATGAACGCAGAATTCAAGTAAAATTGACTATTACGGACTTTTCAGCGCCTAAATAGAGCAACATGTTGTATGAGTGTTTTGGGCAAAAGGTATCCTTTGAAATGGGGTGCTCTGGTAACCAACATTGGACCATTTGAGCAATTCTGACGAATTTTGCCCTAATTACGCATTCAATTTTTTAACCCAAAGAACGCTCATAACTCGGCGTCCAGAGGCGCTCGGCAGATAGCGAAGACAGATTCGGAATCAGCGTCCTAAGCTCTATAAGACAGTATACATTTCAAGATGAAATGCCACTTCGACCATGTATCCTTCCCTTGTGAGATTGCCATCTCCTATTCCGCATGTAGCTTCTATTATTATTCTGATCTATGCATAGATCAGAATAATAATAGAAGCTACATGCGGATAGCGCAAAGGATAGAAATTTTGCCTAGATGTCTGCGGGGTAGATGCCTGGAATTGAAAAACTGGCTCGAAGAAATTATGTAGGTTGCCGCAGTTCTATTTTGATCAATTGCTGCCTAGTTCTTGTTTCGAAGGGTAAAACCAAAGGAAAAGTTCTTTTGTACTTCACAGTTGTGATAGCTCGTACTCCTTTCAACTACACCTCGGTGTTCCTCATGGTTCAGCTGAACCGAATTTGTAGTATAAAGCACAAAGTTCATTCTCCACTATAGCGCATGGAAAGAGTATGAGAGCATAAAACTACTTCTTTTTCAATAAAGCTTTCAACAGTAAAATGACCCCTATAGGATGGGAGAAAGGAGTGGGTGGAGGAGGGAGAAGGGGGGGGGGGGGGTCAACAAGTTTGACTTCAAAACGATTTGTTCAAAACTATCTCCAACATTTGGCTTTGCTGTGTGTTAGTTTTTGGTCATTCCTTAATGCCATGACTGACGCAGAACGCGATACACAAGTATTTTTCACGCTGTTAGCTAACCGAATGTACTTCAATAGCTGTTAATCTTTGGTTCACCATTACTGTCTATTTGGCCGAATTTCGCGGATCTCAAACCTACTATCAGGAAAAAGGACTTACATCCAACGATGAAAATTACTGGTAAAATTCAAAGTAATGATCAATGCACCCATGGTAATCCGCTACTAATAAACTACATCCAGAATGCTTAGCGAAAGCAGTATTTAAGTTTTTTCGGGCTGAGGCTTTGCAAACTTAGAATGAGGATTTTGTTCCTATTCGTTGGCAGAGTTGATGGAAGAAAGATAGTCCTTACCTAATCGCTGGGAAAGCTCAAGGGACGAGGTAGTGATTGACAAAGAAGGTTCGAGTCACAGATACACATTAAGTACATGCAGAAAGAAAAGATCTTGGAAAGATTCTGTTTGCACGGGTCGTATTTAGAATTACACACCTAGGCTGGTCCAGTTTGTTCGCACCCTTTACGAAAAATCATAACTTATTTGCACTTTGAGAAATACTTTTTGAAGTATTTTTGTTTGTAATAAGAAATCAAGCGCTTTACAGCGGTGCTGATATGAATTGGATGAAAATGCGAGAGTTCGAAGGAAAAGAAGAAGATTACCCAATTTATCATTTTTCAAGCAGGGTTTCAAAACTTGCTTGAGGACGCAAATTATGCGCAGCACGCTAGCGCCCTTGCCGTGAGCCAGTATGAAAAAAAACGCGCGGGAGTTAAAAGCAAATAAAGAAAACTACTTAAAACCTAAATTTGCATCTCTCAAGCAAGTTCACCTCAAGGTACAGGCTTGGTGAAACAAGCGGCGAAACAAGCAGCATGGTGTTTCAAGCCATCATTTATAGTCTTTCCTTAAATTCGCATGGCGGAAAGTTTAGAGAGAAAGTCACTTTAAAATTATTGCTAAAAGCGATCATGATGTTTTTGCTACAATTTCTAGACAGTTTTGCTTCTATAGAAAACAGTTAAACAGCTTTTAGGTGGTCATCAATACTGTTTTACCTCAACGGAAAGGATTTTGAAAAAAACAGGTCAAAACGAATCAAAACGTGTCAATTTTTTCCTGACACGTGGAAGGGAGGCAGTCCTCGGAAAATCTATGTTAAATCGTTTTCAGACTGAAAAACCTATTTTATGAATGCCTTTTAGAGAAATGGGTCCGGATAACGGAAAAGTATCCAAAAATAAACAAAAAAGTGTTACCAACCTGATAGTCCCAATTTCGGCGGCGAGGTTGTGCTCGCCTGTTGCGTCGAATACAAAGCATGATTAGGTAGACGAAAAGAAGGAGGTAACCAGTGGCAGTTACCAAAATGAAGCATAGTCGCATATCGGCAAGATAGGTGGCAACATCGTGAAGATCATCGGCCATCCGGATGAACTTGTACGATTCGCTGCAAATTAATCTATTATTCAGACGGAAGATGATGTGTATTTTTTACTCATGTTATAGTGCAGCACTACCGGTGCTCAGACTTTTCTGAAGAAAGTGAAATTATCCTGACTGGTCTTTATTCCCTCCATTACTAAAGGGTCCAAGTTTTCTAACAGGACTTACTAATTCTCCTCTCCTGTACTAACCAAGCCTCTTTTTTACCTGAACATGAATGGCCGAAATGGCTCTGCAGCAAAGAATGAATCGGTCCTGAGCATTTGAGTAAGTGAGATTAATGTGGGATTCAGCGCCTAAGATTACGAAATACTGCAGACTCCGGCTTTCGACTTTTTATTGAATGTTGAACTTAGGTTGCGAAACAAACTCCCAAACTGGTTTTGATTTGACTACAAACTCAGTACATGACTGAAACAAGAGTCCCAGAGAAAGCTTTCAATTCCCATTTCTTTCGAAGGGCACAGTAATCGAAGCTCAAGTGCTACAATTTGGACGTAGAAGAGCGACTCTCATACTGCTATTCTTATAGTACAAGTACATGGTATCGCATGGAACTTGGAGGGAAGGGGGAGGATCGTGTGCTCAAAAACCAGACACAAATTGCTGAGATTTTTTTGCATGTGTCTGGTTTATTTATCAAACGCTTGAATTAATTTTGTTATACTTCAAACCATGTTGAAGGTTTTTTCTCAACGTTGTCACGCGAGATTATGAAGCGCATAAGGTTAAGATATACAAATCTTTTTCACAGTTTTAAACTGCCAATAAAACACAACTGCGATTCTTAAGACTAATTCTGCATTGCAACACTGACTAGTCAGAAAAGAAATTTTATGAATTTTTCGATAAAAATTCGTATACAAAACGTTGTCAAAGCATAGCTACATCAATTTTGCGCAAGAGAACCTGGAAGACTACAGTAACTGCGAGAGCTTAAAGTTTGCGTTTTCGTCCCATAACCTCAAACTTCAAAAACAAAAATGTTTCTAACAAACCAGCAATAAAATATTGTTGGCCATTCTATACCAAGCAGACGATAGAAAACTTATTGCAAGCTTTATCCCCAGAGCACTCATTGTTTGAAAATGCGACAGATGGAACCTCTGCCTACAATTTGTCTTATCGGATTCTCTGCTCAAGACGGACAAAAAAAATTTCGTTACGCTTTTAACGGCGAGGTTCCCAAGATGTTTGCGTCATTCACTACCATAGGCGCTCTAGTTGTTTTCAGTTTATACTACGTTATCAGATCAGAGCCGGAGCGTGGTGGCTATCTGGAGTTCTGGGAGCGGAATTTCCTTTAACTTCATATAGTTTTTGTTGAAGGGGAGATCTTCTAGTAGTGCTTCCAAACAGACTAGCTGAACACCCAAAAAAGTACTAATACATCAAAACGGCTGAATCTTAGATATCAAGCTTTCTCTACTAGAACCGAGAGAAACCAGATTTCAAAGCGCTTCTCGTAGTTAGGCTTAAGGTATCGAAAAACTCATACTAAGAAAAAAGCGAAGGAAATTACGTGAGGAGATAGGAATGAGTGTTACTCTGGGAACACCTGCAACTCTTTCAGCACACGTTTTTTGTTCACATATTTCCATACTTTTCCTTTAGTCCCCGTTGCTGAGCTAGTCACCAAATTCGGTAAGTTACCCACTGCCTATGCGCTATGAAGCAGCCGGTTGTTTATCATCTTGTGCACAAAATTGTGCTTTGAACTTTCCGCGCTGGCGAGATGGCGTTGAAGTGCCAAATTTCCGGGCTGCTAAACTTTGAATTGCTGTCGCAGATATACCTATTTAACATTTTTCCGGCTACGCTTCAACTGTATACGATTTTTCCCTCGCTTTTTTCTAGAAAGACGATATCCAGCTCGTAAAAGCGCACTAGCTGGGCCTCTACCGAATGTCTTTTGAACAGTCGATCTGATTGGACAAGATTCAGGGGACATGGATGGCGATGTGAAATAACAACTCGGGGCATGCTATATTGGTCTTGAGCACTTGGAAAGGAGAACCTTTGTCTGAAAATATAGAAGAACGGCGCACTAAGAGAAAGTGATTTTTCGTTATGAAAAGTAATATCTCCATCAAGCTAGGTACACGCACCAAGAACTACGGCAAAGCTAATGCATAAAGTCATTTTCCTAATGCCGGAGCATTAGCTAATTGGGTTTTTTCTCTTTTTCTATTGTTAGGTAGCTGCCCGCTTATAAGCCATGCAATGCATCCCACGCTTCTGCTACGCCATTCGAGGTGCTCGAAAGAAGCTGCGTGAAATTTGTCAAACGCTAAGTGTGACAGTCCATGAAGTTCTTATTTCTGCATTCATGGAATAGCGATGCAGGAAGGAGCAGATGAGCTAGATAAAACTTGCAAGGAACGCTTTTTCGCCTCTGTTGCTGCTGACTTGCTCACAGAAACTTGCTTCAAAAAATGGTTATTCAAGAGTATTCTGCATTTTCGGCAGAAAAAGTAAGAATAAAAGCCAAGAGCTGATATAATGTCGCAGTTCAAATTTAATGCTATCAAAACTCATTCAGACCATGACTGAAAGCCGAAAATGGTAAACGAGTAGAAGAAGAATACATGTAATGCCTCATAAAAAAAACTTCAATGAGCCAAAGAAAGAGAGTCGTGAGAAGAGTCGAGCACAGTTCAGGATTTTAGAATCGTTAGGTAGAAGTCATACATCAAAGCTAACCTGTATTCTGAAGGTCGATAGTAGTCCATTGAGAAAGTGTCGCCAGGATGAGTGCGGAACGGCTATTTGGACTGCGAAAAGCATTGAGACAGGAATGCATCAGCAAAAATCGTTTCACACACAGAATCGGCTTTTACAAAGGGTCGTCAGAAGTCGGCAGTATTGAAATAGGAAATTAATCTTTATTGTAAACAGCTTATGGGAGCAGCGTTTCGAAAGAACTTGCGGTGAATTCAGTTGCAGCCACATCATGCTGAATTGCTCATCGCAAAGCTATTAGGCAGCTATGCAATTATAAATTTGCCCTGGATTGTGCAAAAAAAATTCTATCCTTAGCTAATCTCAAAGCATTTGTGAGACGAATTGAGTCAGATTTAGTGGAAATTTAATTATCTACTATGATAGACAAACGCTGCCAGAAGTTAATTAGAATATGCCAAACACCAAAGAAAAGAGACATTATTATATGCATCTTGGGCGGAGGATAATAGCTGTTCTTTCATAATGTGGTAAAAGTGCGTGGTTTTGAAGTGAAAGGGTAAGGAATTGGTAGAGAGCAGACTATATATCGATTCCGAATACGAGTGAGGGCGAGTAGCAGAGGGGGAAAACGAGACAGCCAGAGAGAATTGAGAGCCGTGCAAGCAATACATGGCTCTGAAAATTCTGTCCACTAGTCGTCCTCATTATCCAGTTACCAATACCGGCACCTTCGTTCCTCTGTTTTTCGCTGCTTTTCGCGGATTCAGATTTCGTGAAACCGCACGAATCGAAAGCGTTTCGTGTGCATGTTGCTTATGCCCCTAACTTCCGGTGGAACGCTTTGAAATTTGAGAACCGCGCATGCGTGACTTGCAGGCTACAAAGGGTGCGCATTATTGGAGTTTCGATAATTATGAAGTGTTTGAGGCTTCCGAAAGAACGGTTGAAAAAAATCTAATGCTTGGGTCTTTATCTGTAATCGACTCGGTTTCATAACGGAAAGGCAAATGCTAGCAAAGAATCTTGAACACTGCTCTTTCACAAGTAGATTTCTTCTCCCAAGAAAAGTATAGGATTGCAAAACTAATCGCATAAAAAAATGGTAAGAATCCAAGAATTAGAACACGTCCAAAACTCTGATTCTGTATGAGAGAAATTACAACGAGTTCAACGGAGTCAAGCAGACGCTTTGAATGAATCGACTTTTTGATCCAAGTCAAAGCCTTTACCATGTAAATCACCACCTATTATTTTTTTTGTTTCTTTGATGAATGTCTTTCAAGCCACCATAGCACGCAGGTCCAATTTGCATTCAATGCTGCTATAAATTCAAAATTGAATCTTTTAAAGTATGCGACTTTGTTTAGCTTATTCACGCGATCACTGCGGATTTTTTTCATGTATTGTTGATAGAGGTCTGCTATTTCCTGGATACAGGAAGCTATTCATCGAAATTTGCGAGTGTTGAGTGACAAAAAAGTTTAGAAAGTAATCGTTCCGCACTTAAATTACATTTGTGAACTTTCTGCAATTCTCTACTTCAGAACTTCCAAACATTTCGCACTTGGCAAATTGTATGCGCTTCTAAAAACCTACCAATCATTTAAGAAAAAGAACAAATCGCACGGAAAGGTTAATCGGCTATACTAACTTGGTTAATTACTGCAGAAAACTTTGGTTTGAGTGATTTACTTAATCCGAAGGTTTGTCGAGCATCTAAATCACTCTGCACATATTTTCGTTAAGAATTTGGTAAAAATCTGGATTTGATAAAAACATCTGAATAATCATTGAATGCTTTGTGGAGAGTTTCTAGTTTTTTAGACTTATCTAAGTGGGAAATGCCGGAAATGCAATAGTATACCTGCGACTTCATAAAAAAAAACTCTTTAAAAAGTTATAAGAAAGTTATAACCGTTTTGAGATGATAAATGCCCACGGCAAAAAGTCTGATGTAACCCTGTTTCCGAAAGAGTTAGGAGCTCATTTGTGGGTGCGAGATCTTACCAGCTCCTCCTCCCTCCTAATTGTATAATCATCCTAGAGAAAGAGGTCTAAAAAACGAAGAGGATATGCATTGACTAAAATACGAACTTTGTCTGATTTCACTTCAATGAAATGACTGAAGGTTTATCGCAGTAAGAGTTTTTTTTAGAGCTGCATACAGTAATATTCAAAACATTCTGAAGAATCGAATGTGACTATCATGCCAATTATCAACAGAACCAAGCTAAGATATTCAACAGAGATTTTTCTACATCTTGCTTGAATAGACTTTTTGTGAGTTCAGTAAAAGGCTAGTATTTGATTTGACTCTTT